GCTAACATATTATTGATAAGAGATCTAGGGTTAGATCCCGTTGTTGTCCGAGAAAGTTTCCCTGCATTTTCGAACGTGGTTACTCTTTTCAGTGTTGCAAGGAACATAGCCTAATCATTCGGATGAGATGGAAAACCGAAGTCTCGTGTACATGCGTGCTCGTAAAAGATCCTCATAGCACACTGTATGGCGTATATACGTCACCATTAGCCCGAGTGGAGCAGGAAAGTAGAACGTTAAACCATATTTCATTTCATTTCAGGTAATTTTTTAATTCGTATCATAGAATTATCTTCAATCGTTTGTGCTGTTAAAAACAATTCAATAGTTCATGTTGTTCTCGCGATCTCAGTTTTCAGGCATTATACTAGGTTCCCACTGTCATGCGGTGAATTATGATAATACTGAGTCCACGATCTGGTACATGCAGATAATTTAGTCCGGCGGCTGAAGGGTGGGGGTGAATCGTCACCCGAGCTGTGAATTTATGAGACCAAGTTTTTCTAGACCAATGTTTTGTGTAGATTCCGAATCTGGGTGGTGATCAGGCGTTTGAGGGGGCGTTTTCGAGATATGGGGCGTCCAATGTCTACAATTAGGTGGAAATGTCATTATGTTGACATAAATGATTATCATGTTATATATTAATAAACAGAAATTTCTAGGACTGTTCATCTCTAAAGAAGTGTATATGATGCCCCTGGACAACGGTTTTGATTTGTGGGGAGGTAGGATGGGGTTAGCAGGTGAACGTGTAATGAGAGGGGGGGGGGAGGCGCGTAAAATTGGCGGGAAATGAGTTCACGTTGATTTTAATGATATTCTTAGAGCTTGGTAAAAACATTACTTTTTAATTTCGCTGCACATCTCTAAAGATTCCCATTGTATGGGGCGGGGAGCGGGGTCAAATGTAATTTTGGGACAGAAACCACTTGGTTCAAAATTGACCTGAAAAGTGTTTCCTCGTTAGCCTTTTCGTTCAATCAGATTAAAACACAGATGCTATTTCGTTTCGTTTTTTAGTTCAAAATTTCGTTTTACTGTCTTCACAACACTAGGACCTGGAAGAGTTGTTATATAACAGACGGTCTAGTTGATGTGAGGAATTAGCCGATGAAGCTGTTTGTTGCAGCGAATTCTTGGCGTGCTCTGCACGGAACTGTGGGTAAACCCCTAGAAACGTCAGCGCTGATTGAATAATCAATGTCTGACGTCATAGGGTCAAACGCAGCTCTATGACCCCTGGCACGACCTCCTAGTACAACTGGTCAGATTTTCACGTAGTGTAGGCCATCGGAAGTATAAAAAAAACGAAACGAAATATACATCTGTATTTTAATCAGATCGCTTTTTCGTTCAGTACTAATTTCGTCAGAAGATTCAAAATCAAAGTTCATAATATGAGCAGGATAGATATCTTCTGGATGGCTAATCAGCAGCTCGCATATATCCTTTGGATATGCTTCAGATACCCATTCACATTGTAAATCTTCATTCCAGCCTTGTACCGCAGGGTCATCTTGTTTGATCATATTCAGTGCCTACTAATCTTGATTGGATCAAAAAAAATTATCAAGATTAGTACTGAAAGTGTCGAGAATATCCTAGAACTGGCAACAAACCACGAGGACACCAAAATAGCTTACCTACTCCTCTTCGCATTGCAAATAAATGAAGGAGCTGAAACAAATTGTATTTTGCGTTCTTGCTCGGGCGAAATAGACATCCCAATCATTCTCCTCACAAACAATGATCCAAATATACACATTTTGATCGATAATGAAACGGACAAAGGTAGAAAATATTGCGGAAGGCGATATACATCAGTAGATGACGCTGGAATGAAGATTTACAATGTGAATGGGTATCTGAAGCATATCCAAAGGATATATTTTATGCGAGCTGTTGATCAGCAACCAAGAAGATATTTATACCGCTCATATTATGAACTCTGATTTTGAATCTTCTGATGAAGATTAAGAATAAACTAATATCTAAACATGTCTCTGATTTACTGTGTTTTTTATGTACATTTCCAGATCTCTTAAAAAGTACCTTTATAATTCAATATATTGAATGACCAAATAGGTACTGAACAAAAAAGCTAACGAGAAACTACTTTTAAACCTTTAAGGTCAATTTTGAACCAAATGATTTCTGTACACAAAAACACACTTTGCCCCCCCCCCCCAACCTCCTCGGGCACCCACCCTGGCCCCTATCCCTACACAATGGGAATCTTATAAACATAGTTAGAGATGTTTCATCAAGCTTTAAGAAAATCATCATTTATATCGACGTGAACTCATTTCCTGCCAATTTACCCCCCCCCCCCCCGCCACACACGCAAATCTGTAACCACCCACCCCACCTCGCCACAAATCAAAACAGTTGTCCAATGGCATCATAAACACTTATTTAGAGATAGACAGTACTAGAAATTTATGTTTTATCAATATATAACATGGTCATCATTTATGTCAACATAATCACATTTTTCCCCCAATTGTAGACATTGGACCCTCCATATCTGGAAAACGCCCCCTCAAACGCCTGATCACCACCCAGATTCGGAATCTATGCAAACAAAAAGGGCTAGAAAAACTTGGTCTCATAAATTCACAGCTCGGGTGGCGATTCGCCCCTCCCCCCCTTCAGCCACCGGACTAGTTCGGATACGTTTCGATACGATCAACATGTTTGCTACCCTCAATATAAGATATGATAGGATCAACACAACTACTCCACGATTAAAACCACGATTCCAATCGTAGCACGAATCGTGATAGTGGGGGCCTAGCTTTAGCAACGACCACGGCAATCTGACAATCAATAAGGTTTCGGCGACCGTTATTATTTATTGAATTAAACATTGATTTGTGTGCCGGTTGTCCATAAATTAGCTGCCATGGCAGAAATAAGTTCCAAAGTTTATGTTACACGGTTTCGCTGCAGACTTGACACACCTGGAATTAAATTACCCAAGGACAACCGCGTATACTCGATTTGTCAAACGTCGATTTGTTAGTTTAGTTAAGTATTTTGCATTTGATATTTATTTTTTTAATAGATTTTGTATAGTTGTTTTGGGTTATGGACGTGGAATATCACGGAACAACAATTTGACTTTTTACAGTTGCAATGGGCGAATGAACATTACTAATATGTAATTTATACAAATGTTGAACTGACAAATGTATTTTTCAAGCATTCGATAGATAGTGTTCCATATCCTCCTCCATACAAACACTGCGAACATATTATCATCTATTGACGTCTACTGTGAATTCAAGAAATTCATAGAAGATGATTTTCTTCTATAGCAATGACATATGAGACTCCTCTTTTGTTAGTATGACAAAAAACAATCAGAACGTGAATATCAATGGGACTAATATACATGTACAGGTTTCTAATAAATAATGCAGTAATAACTGCTCAACGGAAGCAAAGGAAAAGTACAAAAAACTGATTCAAAATAGATTCCTAAGGGCAATGCACCTTCAATTGATAATTTTACTGAACAACCGCGTTCCACTTTGTTATCAGCTTTAAAACTTGAAGTGTACAGTCATAGCTTAATATATCTAGGCTATGTTTGACTGAAGTAACCTTCTTAATAATTATTATATAATCGATATATATTCTAATTGCCCATCTACTCAGGGGCGGATCCAGAGGGGGGTTTGTGGGGTCGACCCCCCCCCCCCCCTAAGCTACATAAATTTTTTTGTAAATCAACACTTTTTATGAGAAAAGTTTCTCGGCCGTGTGCTTTATCCTTTATCGTCAGATGTTGAACAGGATGGGCACGCAAAGGCACGAGATAATGATATAGACATCATGAAATATCACAATTCATGATTTGCATCCATGAAATTGAATCACAATGTCATTGTATTAATTCATAATAAAAAATTGACGTCAAACGATGTGTTGAATTTCTCTGTTTAAAAAGCTCAATGTGTATGTATATACGCCAAAATGACGATAGAGACCATGCGGGGGGGGGGGGGGGGTATACATTGTCTCAGGAACCTGGCAAACCCCCACCTGCAAAAATTCCTGGATCCGCAACTGCTACTCTTAGCTTGTATATACGGAAATTAATATGCTGAGGAAAACATACGGTGTTATTTTGATTTTAAACGTTTTACTAGAATATTTAATTACCGTATTATCCTAAACGTTGATATGGTAATCTTTCCCTTTCATAAATCTTTTAAATTTGTCTTAGAGCATAGGAGGAGGTTAAACCCGATTTCATTTGTCTTAGAGCAAACATAAAATATTTTAATGCGTTTATTGATTACGTTGGATCATTGCTAAATATGAACTGGTTATAAGTATTGAAATGACCATAGATTTGAATTTTACATATTTACAGACTTTCGACTAATATTCGTCTGCTTCTTAATTACCATATTGCATTTTATGTATTTCGTGTTAAATCATTTAAACTGGGTCATTTCAGGCCTAACATGATTCAATTTTATTTTAATAATTCGCTTACTCGTAGGGGTCTTTTGAAGTGGGAGGAAACTGGGGAACCCGGAGAAAACTCACGAGGTTGGACAGACGACCCTTATACTCAGCGACACACCTTATGATTTAAAATGCACGCGTTAGACCATTCGACTATCCAACCTTCGAGCGCACATTGGTGTAATATGTGTATTTCATTTCGATATAAAAAAAAAATATGGGAATTAATTTTATCATGTATTGAGCCCCGCCATTAGTAAAATAGCCCATACGCTCGACCGGCACTAGAATATAATGGGAACGACCCCTTTAGCATTGAAAAATATTTGTGAAGGGTCCCCATTGCCATCGATCCATTAATAAAGACAGACCGAACTCTTAAATTAGTTGTGTAATTAATAAACCATGTGTTGATATAACTTGGCAACGTCGGTAAGATGTCCATAACATTGATTCGAGACTAAGCCGTGCAGAGTTCTTATCAACGCTTCGTATAACCAGCATGTGGTATGAAGCATAACATCAATTTTATACAGGGTGCTATAACTCTATTTGAACCATATCAACGATGAAATTGTTTAATTGGATTTGTTTATTTCATGCAATTATTTCAGGTAGGAATCAAACATATTTTACTCATCGATTGATCAAGAAGTATGCTAAAAATATCTAAAACCCTTATAAAAAAAAGTAGCCTAAATGTACTTATATTATGATATGAATATCATATTTCCGATATCTGAATGAACAGCTAGGAAAAAGATAGGTTGCCAGGCAACAAAACATACGCCCACAGCAGCTAAATCGTCCGAGCGGTCGTCAAGGGTTGTCGCATATTTATTCCTTTGTAGGTAATTTGGGGGCCTTTACAAGACAGTTCCATACAGATCAGATTATAAATTTTGTCGTTTGAGGGTTTACAAGGTTCTACAAACTGAAACAAGGGTCTCAACTCTGGAAGTAATCTACAGAAATTGTTGAAATTTGACAGGCTTTTTCGTTTTACTAATTTAAATAATGCATATAAATTTCATACAGATCACATTTGTCATTCAAACGTTCGCAATCGCCATAACTCTAGAAATTATTGACGGAAATTGCTGAAATTCAATAGATGCAAATAAATTTCATACATATCGGATGATAACTATTATCAACCGAGCATTAACAAGGTTTAACAAAGTGAAACAAGAGCAATAACTCTAGAAGTAATTATTGTAAATTGCTGAAATTCAATAGGCTTTTTCGTTTCACTAAATTAAATAATGCATATAAATTTCAGAAAGATCGGATGATAACTTTTGACGTTAGAGCGTTCACAAGGATCAATAACGTGAAACAAGGGCCATAACTCTAGAATTATAAACGGAAATTGCTGAAATTCAATAGGCTTCTTCGTTTCAGCAATCTAAATAATGCATATAAATTTCAGAAAGATCGGATGATAACTTTTGACGTGAAAGCGTTCACAAGGATCAATAAAGTGAAACAAGGGCCATAACTCTAGACGTAATAAACGGAAATAGCCGAAATTCAATAGGCTTCTTCGTTTCACTAATTTAAATAATGCATGTAAATTTCAGAAAGATCGGATGATAACTTTTGGCGTTAGAGCGTTCACAAGAAATTGTGGACGACGGACGGACGGACGGACAGACGGACGGACGGGGGCGACGGCAATATACGTCCACTGACAAACATTGCCATCAATCTAACTGAAAATTACTTTTGCTATTCTTAAAGCTAAAGAAATAATTTGTTACCTCTTTAGAGAACAATTATCAGTTATCATCCCAGAAGTAAACAAATATCACCATAAGCTCGTGAGGTTCATGAGCTTATGATGATGTTCGTTTACTTCTATCAGTTCGAAGATTCTCGCTATATTCTGTGATGTGCGTCAACAGAACTGTCAAATACGTGTACTGTATGTATATTATAATTTGCATTATTTTCATCACGGAGAATAAAAGGTTTTTGTTTTTGACATTGAAGAGAATTCTCAAATTCATCTAATGATAGTGCTCTTAGGTCATTCTGTTATCTAATTGTATCAGGAAATCAAAAATTTGCCTTCATCTGCTTTGGTCTGAAATGCTAGGAAAATGGGTTTGCGGTTGTCAATTTTTAAAATTTTCCTGGGGGGAGAACCCCCCCCCCCCGACCCCCTCGGACGCTCGCGCGAATTCGGCGCCCTCGTGACGTGCCTTCGGCACGTACTTGTGTGGGCCTTGATCAATGACCTGACAGGTGGGCCCTCGGCCCACCAGTCCGGCACTGTACTGAATTCACAACATACCATAATAAAATTGTAATAAATTCCCTAATATTCCAGAATACAAGTTGATAGTACTGAATTCACAACATGTCAGAATAAAAGTTGATATAAATATAAATATAAAGTATGATTAAGTAAATGAAATTGTTTTCTGCACCTGCAGTCGCGCTAATATAAAGATGGGAATACACAGTGTGATGTAAGTGGATTTCTTCCAGGTCAACGTCGTATTCCAACTGCCATACATTATTGTATCATTATTGTTATGATACAATAACAAGCTGAATGATTAAATTTACTTTTAAAGGAGAATATTGCTGCCAGTCATTATCACATATGTGATAGAACTAATTAAACACGTTCCAAATATAATTTTAACTCAGAGATCATTGCTACGATAGCTGAGTTATACAGGATTCCTGAATCGGAAGTGACGAACGCCAAAGGAAAACACGAGACATACCTCTATATAACTGGCTGAAGTGCCGACTGATAACAGATACATGGGCGAATTTCTGCTCACTAATAATTCCTTCGAAGACTAAAAGTTGTTGTATGAGACTGTGAGAGGATATCTAACAATTTATAAAAATAATTGACTGCCAGTAGATAAGAGAACACGAAAGAAAAACAGAAAAAAAGTCCGTGCATTACCATGTTTTTATAAGGTAGGGGAAAGCGGGGTTAGTCCGACCCCATTCATATCTCGCGCCCACTCGGCCAAACCTCAGCAGATTCCAGTACCCTACATCTAGCCTCGGCTGTATGACGAAGTCTGCCATTGGAACTACTTTCAAGTTCCTGATTACCAACGCCGTTGCCCATGACGACGCATTTAAAGAATGTTTTACCATACAAAGATTTCAAAGTCTGAAGCTGTTTTTCTTTTAAGTTTATCCTATTTCCTTTAGACACGGACCAGTTTGAACTGAAAAGTCTACATACGCTTCGAACGACGCAGTTTTGAGAACTTCTTTCTAAAAGCGGCAAGTTTTCCTAATAATACCCCCGTCAGACCGGGGTAGCGTCCTTACTTCGCTGCTACGGCGATGGGAAATAGTTTTAGAGCGCGTTAAGATCGCCATAAGCGTAGTGGAAACGCCAGCTATCGTGCTGTAGTCACCATGGTCGCCAATGACCGCCGAGTCACCGCGTTTATTTTGAGCATGTTCAAAGCAAACGCCAAGGTTCTGTGATCTGAACTGTAAAACTATGAGAATACGACTTTTCTTTCAAGTTTGTAGTTTTTGGGGACATTTTCGCGCGTTGTGTTCACGTTTGCCGGCGACCTTGCGCATTTTCTGGTCGCCGTACGGTCGCAGCAGCGCAGTAAGGACGCCACCCCGGTCTGACGGGGGCATAAGTAAACCGGTGCTGTATCGCAATTGTAAAGGCGTAGGTACATATCACTTACTGTCATACAGCCGAGGCTTGATGTTCGCCCATTCGGACATGGTGACTTTGAGATAAAATTACTTGGATACGCCTGTCAATAAAACTATTTAATGTATGCCGTAAATTAGCCAACTCCACTGTCTGTAATCTAGTATGGTCTGCGGCAGTGGTTCTCAAACTTTTTGTGCCAACGGCACACCTTGCAACACATGAAAAAACAGCGACACACCTGACTTAATATATATGAAAAATATTTGATTTTTTTGCAAAATAAAAAACATGGCAAATCATAGACGACATACAACTGTAGCCACAGACTAGTCATAGACACATAGTATGGCTCAAACTAAACGGCACACATAGGAAGATCTCACGGCACACCTGTGTGCCGCGGCACACTGGTTGGGAATCACTGGTCTACGGTAACGTAGCTTCAAAAGTTATCGAGATATGTTGGTTTCATTACAAATGGTGCGAACTAGCCCCACACTCCCCTGTAGAATGAATATAAACAAGGGAATGTACGGACTATTTCTATTTTTCTCGTGTTCTCTTATCTAATGACATTCAATTACTGTATTGAAATGTCAGCTATCCTCTTACAGTCCCATATAACAACTTTTGGTCTTCGAAGGAATTATTAGTGAGTAGAAATTCGCCCATGATCTGTTATCAGTCAGCACTTCAGCCAGTTATATAGAGGTATGTCCCGTGTTTTCCTTTGGCGTTCGTCACTTCCGATTCGCGAATCCTGTATTACTCAGCTATCGTAGCAGTGATCTCTCTGTTAAAATTATATTTGGAATGTATTTAACCAGTTCTATCACATATGTGATAATGACTGGCACCAATATTGTCCTTTAAATCAAATAACTGCTTTGGTTAATGAAGACGCCATACTGTATTATTTAAAAATGTATTGCTCGTGTTTTTCAACGGATTTAAAGACGATTGGCGGTTAATGATTTAATTAAAAAATGGATAATCGAGACTTCGTTTACTATCGTAACAACGGTAGCACTGACAATCGAGATCCCGCTGTTCTCCAACAGTCGTAACGTCGCTCAGAATAAAGTATTTTGACTGAAATTTTCAAGATATTCCCTTTTCATTATCTAGTTTTTATCTATTATAGCGAGATCTGATAGTTTTTATATCTAAATTTTAAATAATGCATTTTTAACTTTCTACTTTTCTGCACTGATGGGTAAATGAAGACACGGCATATCATTTAAAATTGTAAAGGTATATGGGCAGATTTCTAGCTAGAAAACACAGGGTTATTATTATTATTATTTTTTTTTTTTTTTACAGAAGTGCGTCATGATAGTTAATTTAAAGTATCGAGGGCTCCGAACCAGAAGTGAATATCTCCAAAAATATGATTTAGAATTTTGTTTCTTTGTTTGTTATGGACTTATACTTTGATATCATAATAAAATTGGAATATTTCGGCCATAAAAGTGTAAAATATTCAAATTAAATGAAGTATATTCAATTCTGGCAAGAAAAGTATTGAATGTTCTTGGTTGATATCCAGTTGGTGAATATTGGTTTGTAAATCAATTGAATGGTTTTATTTATGTAACAAAGCTCTATTCACAAAATCAGCTGAAACAACGTGATATCATTATGTTCAAGTATCAACTTTTGTTAGGCATGTCCAGCCAGAAGTGAGTATCTGCCATATAACCATTTCTGACATGAGTATTTTAGTGCTAGAAGTGACCATGTGCCAGGTATCCACTTCTGATCGACACGGTGTAATGATGGTGAGCGTTAATCAAAAACAGAGAGTGAATTTTATTTATTTTGATTAACTGTATAGGGCATAAACACTTTTGTCTCGAAAGATAACTCAAAAGAAATCGAAAGTAAACAAAACCTCAAAATTAGAAAAATGGTTACGAACACTCGATATAATCCAGAATCTATATTATATTGTTCTTTTATGCATTGATAGTTATAGAAAAAGGAGCATTGTTTTCAGTATTTTTTGACACTAGTCTAATATGTATAATTTATTAGGTACAATATAAAGGATATCTATATAAAGGAGCATTGTTTTCAGTATTTTTTGACACTTGTCTAATATGTATAATTTATTAGGTACAATATAAAGGATATCTACGGTGGCCCATATACGACTTTTAAATATTTTTTAGTTTTGGGTTTAATTGTTTTTTAGTTTTAGGTTTGTTTTTTTTTTTAGTTCTCACCTAGGTGATCAGTTATCACCTAGGTGAAAAGGTTATCACCAAGGTGGAAACGTTTTCACTTGGGGGGGAACTCACGTGTTACTAATAGGTCTCGTTTTCATGTCTACAAACAGGACGGTTCCAAAGAAGAGCGCAAATTAACTACACGGAAAGTGACCACGAGTATGGGAGAGAGAGAAATGTGGTTTAACGTACACATGACACAAACTAGGTCATTTCGGGACTAACATATGGATTATTTTTTTTATTTCAGTAATTCGCTTGCGCGTAGGGGTCTTTAGCAGTGGGAGGAAACCAGAGGACCCGGAGAAAACCCACGAGGTTGCACAGGCGACCCTACTCCTTGTCACGTACAACCCGGGAATCGAAACCCCGCCAGTTGACTAAATGACAGACCGTATGATACAGCGTGCGCGTGCTAACCATTAGGCCCCCCCCCCCCCACACGGGTATGACTACATTCTGAAAAACAAGAAAAGTATGTCATTCAGCAAAAGTGACGGATCCTGCTCGAAAACAAAAGACATTTGAAATAAAGAAATACATAAAACATTTTAATTGATTAATGTTTTATTACGCAATGTTTTATTCGCCTAGGTGAGAACTAAAAAAACAAACCTAAAACTAAAAAACAAAATATTTAAAAAGTCGTATATGGGCCACCGTAGATATCATATTTTAGTCAATTTTACTCCAGACTACTACTATGAAAAATTGAGAGTTGTTTTTTTTCCTTTTTTAAAGGCACAAAGAAAGTAGATGGGATGTAACGGTCACGTCGAATAGATACAGTAGATTTGTAGTATTATTAATTTAGTTTAATAAAGGTGGAATCGAAGACGAAAATAAAGTTATATAGTGGCTCCGTAGAATCGTGCACTTAGGGGGCTCCATATTTCTCTATTCTGCGTAACCCTTTCGGCCATCTAGTTATTACAGGGTAATGTGCGCTGTCACTCGGCATAAACGCCGTTTATGGATCGAAAAATTAAAAAAACTGGACGGCTTTTGCATTTTTTCGGACAACTATCAATATCGCTAAACTTACTAAAATTGTTTATTTCAACATACATATGCAAGAGCTAAATCTGCCTATTGCAGGTCTTTATTTAGGCCTGAAATGTAAACTCAATTATTAATTAGATAATTATTTAACTTATCCAGACCATAATCAACTCTCAGCAAATTCCCTTTACATTATCTAGTTTTAACTATTATAGTGAGAACTGCCAGCTCTTTATCTAATCTCCCATAATATATCATTAACATTTGATATAACAAAATAAAACTGTGAATAGTGGAAAACATCGTGGCTTGGATTCGATAAAGAGTCCCATCAAAAGATAGTCGGCATTGGTTTGATGCTATTGTCTGCAAGGGGTGTCGGAGGCAAAGGACATTTTCAATAAATCATACTTCTGTAAACACTGTAAAAGCATTCTTGGACTGGCATTTCTTTCAGAGATTCGACTTTCGCGACATAGAAAAGATTTGTTATCATTAAGGGGATATTGCCAGACTATAGATGTGTTTGATGGTGCAATTTACCATGGAGATAATAACTGACCTTGTCAGATTTAAATGATTCAAATATATCACGGTACATATTATTATTAGGTTAATTCTTGAACTAGGTATATTTTTATACGCCCACATTTTCATGTGGACGTATTATGCCGTCGCCCCTGTCCGTCCGCACGTCCGTCCGTCCACAATTTGTTTGTGGACACTCTACAGGTCACAATTCTTATCCGATTTTGACGAAACTTGAAATATAGGTTTATCTCCAAAAGATCTCGGTTCCTTTCGATATTGGCATGTATCGGATCGAAACTTCATGGATTATGGCCCCTGTTTGTACGAAAAATCACGTTTTTAGCTTGTGGACACTATAGAGGTCACAATTTTCATCCGATTTTGTTGAAACTTGAAATCTAAGTTGATAATCCAAAGATCTCGGTTCCTTTCGATATTCGCGCATATCGGACCGTAACTTCCTGAATTATGGCCCCTGATTGTACCAAAAATCGTGTTTTTAGCTTGTGGACCCTATAGAGGTCATAATTTTTATCCGATTTAAAAAACCGTTCAATTATATCACCGTTACACCCAAAGGTTGGCTGAGTTCGAATTTCGTGAAAATCGGCCCGAAATTGACAGATAAAATGGCCGCCGTTCGTTCTCAAATAGCGTAAAAATATGGTATATCAATGTTGTGGACACTATAGAGGTCACAATTTTTATCCGATTTTGTTGAAACTTTAAATCTAAGTTGATAATCCAAAGATCTCGGTTCCTTTCGATATTAGCGCATATCGGACCGTAACTTCCTGAATTATGGCCCCTGATTGTACGAAAAATCGCGTTTTTAGCTTGTGGACCCTATAGAGGTTATAATTTTTATCAGATTTAAAAAACGTTTTATTATATCACCGTTACACCCTAAGGACGACTGAGTTCGAATTTCGTGAAAATCGGCCCAAAAATGACAGACAAAATGGCTGCCGTTCTTTCTCAAATAGCGTAAAAATATGGTATATCAAGGTTGTGGACCCTATAGAGGTCACAATTTTTATCCGATTTTGTTGAAACTTGAAATGTAAGTTTATAACCCAAAGATCTCGGTTCCTTTCGATATTCACGCATATCGAATTGTAATTTCCTGAATTATGGCCCTTGATTGTAGGAAAAATCACTTTCTTGTTAGCTTGTTCTCTATCCATCTCTCGAAAATGTGGGCGTATCCTGCCTGGCAGCCGCTGGTATTCCTATGTTATTCTTGAACCAGGTATATTTTATTCTTATGTTATTCTTGAACCAGGTATATTTTATTCCTATGTTAATTCCTGATCTATGTATATTTTATTCCTATGTTAGTTTTTGAGCTATGTATCTATTATTCGTATGTTAATTCCTGAACTATGTATATTTTATTCCTTTGTTAATTCTTGAGCTATGCAAATTATTCCTATATTAATTCTTGAAATATGTGTATATTATTCCTATGTTATTTCGTTGCTAAATATGCCCTCTTTCAAACGTTATTGACAACATATTTTTAAATTGTAAACTAACCCCAACACCCACCTTTGAAATTAATAAGTACAATATACTATAATTATTGACCATCGTTGCCGCCATCTTGGTATTCACGTCGATTGTACTTGAATTGGCGAGAACAAGAACAACAAGATGGATAGCGCCTTGGGAACTAGTCTCTAGTTCCTGGCCAAGTATGTTGCAGATCACGGAGACTATATATTTAGTTGGTATATACAACTGTTATCTCGAATAAAAAAAGCAAGGTGTCTGTAGCACATAGACAAATAGCACACGAGAATGGGCTCGGTACGAAACCGATGATAACTTGTAAATACATAGTTCCAAGGGCGTGGCCAGCAATTTGACCATGGTGGAGACAAAGTCATGTTTGGCATGAGGTCTGGGGGATTACCCGAGAATTTTATAAAAATTAGAAGAAAGAAGCCATGCATCTGCAAGCAGGGGATGGTCCGAACCCCATGCACACCTCACATCTATTGAAATCAATAGTTACATTGTTAACAACTCACGGTTATTTAATTCAACAATGACGTCTTTTACCGATCTCTTTATTTCAGGTTCCTGTTATTGGATAGCATACAGTAATAATAAATGTTATTGGATTAGTGAGGTACAGTCGAATTTCACTACAGCTGAAAATTCCTGTGATTCTATGAATAGTTCATTACTCGCTATAGAAACCCTTACAGAATTTCAGTATATATGCGATCAAATAAACGATTTCTTAACATCTGATTTCTGGGTCGGTCTGTATAAAATCAACACAGGTTTGTATATATTTATTGTATTTTTTTGTATAATTTAAACCACTATAATGCAGGAATTCCAAAAGTATGTATATTATGTTTGCGTGCAGGTCCGGGTCAAACTCACCAGTGGGCATCCAAATTTATAGAAAGGTTGACATGTTTCTGGGCGTTATCTTATTGTACATGGGCCCTTATGGGGGTCGATTGGTCAGAGATCCGATTCTTAAGAATATGATCGTAATTCGTGTGTATCACATCCACCCATGTGCATGTCCACTGTTTGTTATTGGATCTTGATATAATGTCCCACGATTATCTCTCACAAGCCACGACTCTCAAACGATACAATTGTCTGGCATGATTTTTGAAAATGTTGAAACTGTAGGATACGAATGTTGCCAATGTCATTGTCGCGCACGCTGCAACATCTTGGGATGCCTTAAGCCCAGCGTACAGGGGGCAATTATATTTTTGTTTTTTGCCAGTTGTCTGTACCCGCACACGGAGAAGTCCAAAGCCCCTCGTTCTTTTATGGTGTTTGAAAGACTATAATTTTATAGTCTCGTGTGTGATAAAACGCAGATGTAAATCAGAGCGTGTTGCACCGGCTTCGGTTATATGGTGGGATTCGATTGTTTTTTTTTTTCTTGTTCCTAATAAACAATACGAAATGAAATGAAATAGGGTTTAACGTCCTACTGTTCTGCTCCGACTTGGCTAAGGAAGACGGGCATATGTCATACAGTGTGCTATGTGGGAAATATCGAATTCCAACTGTCAATGGATCTTTTACGTGCACGCCAATGTATATAGGGGACCTCGCTTTTTGTACCATCCGAACGACTAGACAGCTGTCCTGCACCACTGACAAGGGGAAACCACGTCGGAAAATACTGATGAACTTTCTCGGCCAATGTAGGGATCGAACACGCGACCTCCAGGCTAGCGAGCCAGCTTCTTACCCACTTAGCCACCGTGGCTCCCGACAAATTATACGTCAAAATGCAAAGAAACAGCTCCAAATAACTTGCCCGGATAATTTACATGAACTTGTCTGGTTAATTTATTTGGGAGTTATTGTCAATCACGTAAATATTCAAGGAAGCCCAGTGTCCATTTGTATAAGCGGCTTGATAATGAAGGCGACCAAGTGGTATTTGAGGACTTTTTGCCAACCATATATGGAAACTAGAAGTTAGTATTTCTTCGATAACGTACCACTATGGTGTGATTGGTATCATGTCGTAGTGTCGTTGTGCTGCCCGTCACAAGGCGACAACCCGACATCATGACATCCTAACCCGACACCACGACAACCCGACATCACGACATTTTAACCCGACAATACGACATTTTCATCCGACACCACGACATCAACAATGTCGTAATGTCGCGTAAAAATGTCGTATTGTCGGGTTAAAATGTGATGTCGTTATGTCGGGTTATCGACCATATTCCTCTCAATACTATGATTATGTACACTGATCCTGGTGTTGGTCAAGAAAGTTCCCCGGGATTTTGCAGCGTAGTTTCTCCCTGTCGGTAGTGCAGGACAAAGGGTCTGGCAAAGGACGGTGTCTAGCATTGTAGATGGGACAAAAAAAAACAAGCTCCTATGTACACATTGGCGTGCACCTAAAAGAATCCTTTACAGTTGAAATTCGATGAAGAAATGCCACGGTCCATCGAAAATTTCCGTCATAATATGATGTTCTGATCCCTATTTTTGACTACTGAAGTCATTTAATTTCACTAGGCGTTTCACTTCACTTTCCTCAATGTACCTACATTTAGATTCCTTGTAGCACATGACTGAGCATGAAACACACCTAGCTGACCTTAGTGTTAGTCGATGCTTACGGATAGCCACCAAATCAGATATTATGTTCGTTTGTTTGACGTGTCTGTGACAGTCTGTGTACTACACTGTGTCATGTCCGTAGGTTTGTCTTGTCTAATTGTGTGGTGTAGGCCCCTTGCACTTACTATTAAGTAGCGAAAAAAAATGACATGTCACCATTATCACCATGCCACACAGTGTGGATTTTCAAGAAGTACTAATGATGTTTGAGGCATATTACGAACCCGCGGGAAGTTACTAGAATTGTAATGTATTATTGTTATTTTCAGCATATGAATGGAAGGCTGGAACATCACCTGCAACTAGTATGTGGTTAATCGATGAACCTAACCACACCGGAAATTGTGTACGCTTGAAACCATTAGAAGGTGAACACAAGCTGGCAGACCATGAGTGCACCTTCGCATATCGTCACATCTGTGAAAAAGACATACCAGGTATACCGCATAACCATGAATATATTTATGTTGAATAAACGCATCAAAAATATAAATTTACCTCGAATAGCCACTTCCATCTCCCTTTATACCATCTCGACATTAGAGCTTCTTTCGCGATTTTTTAAATAACCCGTCCAATTTGAATTACAGTATATTTAGTTGTATAGGTTACCGGCAAGGGAGAGTGTCTAGTTTTATGGGTAGGCCGAAAAAAATAGGTCATGTGTACATGCTGGTTTGTATGTAAAAGAACGATTGACAGCTGGAATTTAAAATGAGATTGGACAGCCAATTAAGTCTCTGGACAAGCCTTCAAAAATGATTTCGCGGAATTTTGATTGGCAGGTTCTTTTGCTGTCGACAGATCACAACCTGGGCCCTGTTTCTCGAAAACTTAACTAATGATAAAATCCAAATTTTAGTAAATACTTCAATTTTGATTGGCTAAGCACTAAAATCAATGTAATATTATCCAATCAAATTACTAAAATTTGGATTTTATCTTAGTTAAAATTTCGTGAAACAGGCCCCAGGATATTACAGGGAGTGCATTATAAAGAAATGTTTTGATTAGATTGACCTGTGATGTATTTTGGATGTTCTAAATTGTAGCATAAAGTACCGGACTATCAATAAAAACCACCCTCAAAAATATTATATATACCTGTAGCAGGAATTTCAATTTTACGTACTTATACAAACAGGTTGTGAGAGGTCACCGCACACCGCTTCGGTATTTACAAATTTCGTCCATTTGATTTCTGCAATGTCCGCTATTCAGACAAAGAGTTATCTGCTAAAAGATATGCCTATATTTGGCTATAACTAATGATGAGAGTCACGGAAAATGTAGGGTATACTTAATTGTACCACTTGTGATATCAGAAAGTGGGACTGTATCGACAACGACGATTCGTCGGGTCCTATGCGTACATATATAGCTATACTTACTATTTAGAACGCCTTTACTACTTTATTTTAACTATCATAGCAGTGGTATCGGTAGTATGATTAATTGTAAAATATATTTCTATGTTATCTTTCAGGGCCCGTATTGACAACTTTAACACATAAAAGTTCGGCTTTATCTGCCAACCAGTGCCCATTTGAAAACTATGCAAACACTGGTATAATAAAATGTGCTAAGTTGTGTTATAAGAACTATTTATGTACAACGTTTGGGATACAGAAGACGACGAAGGCTTGCTGGTTGTATAGTCTTAAACTAACGTGCAGTGTGAACCTACCCTCAGTCAATGTGTTTTATAGACTAAACAGATGCGGGTAAACTTCATAAACATATTATTTCAGACGCACACAAACGTTATGTTTTATTTTTATTGGGGCGTATAGTTGTGAAGAAACGTGTTGTATGAACTGGCAATGATTGAACTTAAAACGTGTTTTGCAGACAAAGCAGATGAGGACATATTATTTCCAACATGAACAATCGCAAACTAATCGGCTGTAAATATATTCGCTTGCGCCCCCCCCCCCCCCCCCCCCCCTACGAGCCCATTCAACGAATTTCTGGATTCACGCTTCAATACACTGACTGTGTAGTAGTTTTTGGTTACCGTGCATCTGATTTAAGGAGAAGTGGAAGAGCAGTCGTAGAGCCACTAATTGCAATTTATTTACGCCGCCCATCAGTTAGAGGTAGCAGATAACGAACCGGTACAGTCACTGATCGTAATTTGGTGGATTATCTTATATTAATATCGGACCAGAAATGGTTCGCTCCCATTTTGGAATTTTCTGCAAATGTGAGGAGTATTTATTTTCAAAGTGGCTATTGTTACGACGAGTCTGAGCCAAGTTTAGAACGAATTCCAAAATGGCTGCCAATCTCCCCGACACCAGCTTTGAAAAAGGAGCAGTATTTTCAACAGTTTTCAGAACTAAAGGCAGCAATTCAGAGATGGGAGGAGTTGGGATTAGGACTATTTTTACGACTATTCAGTTTTTAACTTCGCCGATGGAGGGCTGTGAAAGCATCGTTGTAACAATAGCCTGAGGACTATTTTTACGACTCGTCGTAACAATAGCCACTGACATTTATTTTTATTGTATTGTTAATGATTTCTAAATAAAATGTTAAATATTCAGTTTGAGTACATTTTAATATAATTTGTTTTTTATAATTTTCACCCAAGTCAATTTTAATATAATTTGTTTTTTATAATTTTCACCCAAGTCAACTTTAATATAATTTGATTTTTATAATTTTCACCCAAAAATTTCCACTCAGCGCGTGACGTCATCTCAATTAGCCTCGTTTCCAAAACACTAATGACCTAGTTTGTGTCCGGCAGTTTCGATCAGATTTTCAAAAAATTCAAACTCAATCATCATTAGGGCGTAATGGTGATATATTCAAACATTTTTGGTTTTTTTTAAATCGGATACAAATTGTGACCCCTAGAGGGACCACAAGCTAAAAACGAGATTTGTCGTACAATCAAGGGTCGTAATTCAGAAAGTTAAGATCCGATAAGCGCGAATATCGAAAGAAACCAGATGATAATTGTGACCTCTAGAGTGTCCACACGCTAAAAAAAAGTGACTTTTCGTACAATCAGGGGCCATAATTCACGAAGTTTCAATCCGATACATGCCAATATCGAAAGGAACCTAGATCTTTTGGGGATAACCCTATATTTCAAGTCTCGTCAAAATCGAATAATAATTGTGACCTGTATAGTGTCCACAAACAAATTATGGATGGACGTCCGGACGGACAGGGGTGACGAGAATATACGTCCATATGAAAATGTGGGCGTATAAAAATATCTATTTGATAAAAGGTAAAACATAATACATTGCAATCTGCTAATTACAGTATGAGAACTATATAAGATAAAACATAATACATTACAATGGAAACGAGGCTAATTGAGATGACGTCACGCGCTGGGTGGAAATTCTTGGGTGAAAATTATAAAAATCAAATTATATTAAAATTGACTTGGGTGAAAATTATAAAAACAAATTATATTAAAATTGACTTGGGTGAAATTTATTAAAAAAAACCCAAATTATATTAAAATTGACTTGGGTGAAAATTATATAAAAAAAATTATATTAAAATTGACTTGGGTGAAAATTATAAAAAACAAATTATATTATTTTTCATGTCCCTTATCAGCCACCGTAAAAGCAAATTTGACGGCGCTGTTTAATTTATACTAAGCTTTTAGATACGTCGGTTGTAAGGACGGGGCAATTTTTTTGTGTGTTTCATTTGAGCACCCGTTTTCGTCAACATTGTTTATTTAACTGGGCTAATGGTGACAGAAACTGTCAGTGAGTTTGTCTAAGAAAGTTGGATCTTGCAAAATACTTAGCCCAGTTCTCGTTGTTTAACCACTTCAATATAGATGTATTAAACAGAACACCTTTGATTGAACTCAAATGGCCTCTATAATATTACAACATGACCCCTTGCAATTCGTTTAATAAGGAGCAAGTGGCAAATCCTGGCCCCGCCACTGCTAGTATATCAGTTTGCTCAAAGCGACATTATCAAACTAAAAACATTTCTAACCCGGGTATAGCTATGAACAGGATGTAGCATTGGTGGTAAGATTTCGTACCCCCACTCCCTCTAAAATTCTGCATCTACAATCAATGTATGCGTTTCCCGTTTGTGCTTAAACGATAGTTTGCCAAACTACAGATTGAAGGACGACAATATTTCAGAATACTAAGGGAAACAACTGCAATATGTTTATGTTTATTGAATATAAAGTAGCTAAGTCTCTAACTCAACATCATCCAAAGTCTTCGACATTGAAAACACGAATTATTTGTCGATTTAAATAAACATTGAAAAGATGGGCTTCTGATATCCAAAATTTAAGACAAAATAAACAGTTTATCATTGGTACACGAATGGTGTACCATAATGCGTTTCAGTGCCGTTTGTAACAAGGGACTCGAAGATGGCAGAATGGTTAGCGAGTGCGTATTGTATCATAATGTCTGTCATTGAGTCAACTGGCGTGGTTGTGATTCCCCGGTTGTACTGACAAGGAGTGGGATCGCCTTCCAACCTCATGGGTTTTCTCTAGGTCCCCAGGTTTCCTTCCACTGCTAAAGGGAGACCCCTACGCGCAAGTGAATTATTAATATAAAATTGAACCGTGTGTTTGTCCCGAAATGACATAGTTTGTGTCGAGTGGACGTTAAACCCCATTTCTCTCTCTGTTCTTGCCGGGCCCTCCGTCCTGCACCACTGACAAGGGGAAACCACGCCAGAAAATCCCGATAAACTTTCTCGGCCTATGCAGGGGTCGAACACCCGACCTCCAGGCTACCAAGCCCTTGTCTGACCCCCTTAGCCACCGTGGATATCGATCGTACGGGCTCGATGACTGTTAGTGGGGCTGAATCAGAACTGCCCGAAAAAAATTAGGGTTACAGACAGCGGCGCCAGTCTTCTGCGAGGGGCGAAAGAGTTTACCGTGTAGACCCCCCCCCACCCCAAGATAATTGGACGGCCGCAAAGGCATTTTCCTGCTATTCCAGCCCGTGAATACAGCAACAGCAATTTAGGTGACTGACTCGAATTCCAACCAACCAATCAAGCATTTAAAGTCCACGGACTATCGGACTCGGGAGAAAATTTTGAAATTTAACTGTCGCCTTTCCTGCTATACCAACCCGTAAATACAGCAACTTTAATGTGGTCCGATAGCCTACCTTGTAGGTGGCTGACCTGAATTCCAAACAACGAATCAATCGTCGCGGGGTTTGGGAGTCTCGCCCTTCCGGAGAAAATTTTGAAAATATAACCGCCGCAAATGCGTTTTTCTGCTATTCAAGCCCGTGAGTTAAGCAGCTTCAAAGTTACCAATGGTTTTGTAACCGAAATCCCACACTAAGCCGACCTGAATTTCAACCATCGATCGATGCCCGAAAAATATCGCACAAAGTATAGAGTAAAAATGTATTAATCCATAGTCAATTCAGTACAAATTCGTGGTATTCAATTAAAAGAAAAGTAAAATTAGTGTTTTATTAGATTTCGGGCACCTATTTTGCCAACTAGATGCTCATGATTCGCTATAGAAATACATATCCGATTTTGATCTTTGGTATAACGCATTTTGGAATAGCTCGCGAGCTGCCGAACACAATGAACTCCAACTTGTCGTCGTTCATTTTGAGCCGACTCAAAAGGATGCACTGCTTCATCTCGATGATTGTTGCTGGCAAATCCAAGATGGTTTGCCTCTCGCACGCATGATCACCAGCTTTAAAACAGTCGTAGATGTTGTGTTCATCAGTATAGATTATTACCCAAAAATACTGTAAAGTGCTGGTCGGAGTAGCATGTAAAAACGATAGATCTGTTTATGCTGCCCTGGGGACGGAATGACTGTATTCACTGGATCTGAATATGTATCTCCAATCTTGACTTTGAAACTGTTATCACCCAGATTATAAGAGTGGCTTCTTTTTGCCGCTGTTTCGCGCATGCCAACGCAATTTTCCAAGACACCAAGAAGCAACTGGTGATTGATGATGTCAAAAGCTACACTTAAGTCAATCGCAACGAAAAGAGATAAAAGCTGATGTCTCATGTTATCAATGAAAATCTTCAACGCCAAAGTCTCGGTGCTGTAATTAGCACGATACCCACTCTGATAGGACAGAGGGGATGCTGATTCATGTTTTGGGTAAAACTGACCATGGACGCCTTCTCGACCAATTTTGACAAGAATGACCGGTTGCTCACTGGGCGATAATTCTTTTTGATAAGGTCAAGATTTTGTTGCCTCGATTATTCTCAAAATGGAATTTAAAACATAACTGATCGATACATATATATATTTCTAGAACATGGTTTTAGTACAAAATCAAAAATAAATGTTTGTTTTATACATCAGTAAATCCATCACTTTTTTCCTAGAAGTTCGTCAAACGTAGTGCCAGAAAAACCCAGTTCTGCTCTTGGTATATCTGTGAAGCGAATGTAGACTCTGAAAAAATGAGAGTACAAAAAGCATAAAGAACTGGATAACTGACAAGTACATTGAAGAGAAACTAGTAATGATATACATATTATTCGACACTTACATTACATTAAGAACAATTGTTAGACAAATTTTAAAATCACTTGAAGTCAGAACAAGGTTCTGTTTGGTCAGATTTCCAATTTTCAGGGTATCCCAAAACAATACCATCTGTCGATACGCGTGAGAAAGAAGCTGGGTTCCACATCCATTCTATATTAGTCTAATCATTTTGGGATTGACATATTATGATACATTTTATTATTTAAATAATTAGCTTGTGGGTCTGAGGCTATGGAATAAAGAACCCTCAAATGTAGTCAGGTAGGCGATCCCACTACTTATCACGTATAAACCAGGGATCATGACAAATAACTGATCTACAGTTAAACCAATGGGACATCCAACTCTATTGTTTGGTGCGCAACTAAGTTTTGTATATAAAACTAAAGTTGTATAGAGGTCGGAAATGCGTTTTCCTTAAGATCCAATGGAGCCACCCTCTTGCGTTCACAAGATTTTCGGCAAAGTTGGATAACGCTGAATATCGACAGGGTTCGTCCTCTCATGACCTTAATGCTGCACACCAAATTTGAAAAGAATCCATAGAAAACTACAGCCTCTATCGCGTAACTCCGAGGACAGAAAGTCACAGAACGCTAAAAATGGATATGAGGTTCGACCTCTCATGCCACATATAAAATATGAAAAGAACCCGTCGGAAACTGGGCATAACTCCGGAATGAAAATCGATAGAGTTTTTCCTCTTATGACCACGATGCTTCGCATCAAATTTGAAAACAATCAGACAAAAACTCTAGACTTTATCGCGTTCACATGCCAATTATTGTTGACGAACAGACCGATAGACAGGGTGACGACAACGTCCACGCATAGATGTGGGCGTATAAAAGTTCTTGAAGAGCTTTGACCCGAAGAGTGATCACAATAAATTGTGAGCGGAATCTCGACAATGACAACGATATAAGTCCACATTAAACGTGGAAGTCTATAAACTATAGACAATATACCTGTTTTGTTTTAAGCCCAGTTGTTTTTCTAAAAACTCTCCAATCGTCTTTGCCAAAACCTTATTTTCTTCAATGCCTAATCTACCAATACTGCCGAGTTCGGCCGTACCACATGGATCGTTTGACCCTCCAAATATCATCTGAGCATCCGGTTCAACACGTACTGTTACATACTATAATATAACCAAAATGAAGTGAAATGAGAACGGGGGAAGCAAATCAAACTGTACACGTTTTCTAGGGACATTTCCGCAAAAATTATCACGGCAAACTTGACTTTAAAATAAAACACGTTACATATTACTTTAAAACAGTTAGTGACATTCTGATTTCTATACTACCCAAACGGTGTCAGGATTTTTCAATCTGGTTTCCCTTGTTGGTGTAGCTGGAAAGCGAGAGAAAAAGTATATAGTCGTTCGAATGGGACAAAAACGGGGTTCTTAAGAGTAATCCTTACTGACAATTGGAATTTGATGACAAGTAGGTGGATACCTCGTCCCGGGTTTTCGGAGGAAAAAAGTTAATATTTGTGGCTCATTAAGTCGCATCGATGTCATCCTTATCAGTGATTGTAGCGGCCTAGCGATTATTCACTGCTGATCAGTGTGTGGAAAATGTAGTATTGCAGGAAAGCTATAAAACGGATAAATAAATGAGGAATGATTTAGAATAGTGTGAACAGTGTTAATCCCGAAAGACGTCTCTATTGTAGTGCAGACAAGGATCGTCCCCAACCTCAACAAATAACAGATAGAAAAGCCAAAGTGCCCTCCCCCGCTCACATTTCCCTGTCTTTATTCGCGCCTGCATAAACTGACTGCTGTGTCATGATGACTGGCCTGTATTGACTAGTTACCGAGCTATCTCTTTACACCCCGACAAAGAATGACCCATTTTATTATTTATCTTCTTATGGGCGCCTGAATAGTATGCGTTTATTTCTCACTAATTTAACCAATGCACCAGGTCATGTTTGCCTGTTGATTGATGTAGGTTACAATTGAACTTTGTATTTCTGATTACAGATGATCATATAAAATATCAGAGGCGGAGTTTATCAGGTATACTCTATAGTCTAAAGAAAATATCCAGGCATGTTCATTTAATATGTCAGACATCACCTTAATTCTATCGAGCAGAGTGCTAGTGGAAGCAGTGTCAGCTTTCGACCCGGGGGCGGGGAGAAATTAAGACCCTGAAACAGGGGCGGATTGGGGCCGGGAGCCGGCCCGGGCTCCCGTGTCGGAGCGGCCACTTGGGAAATTTTAAAAAATGAACCCCAAATATGCGATTTGGTGGCATATCTGATTATAATCACTGTCAAATAATATATCTCATAAATGGATTAATTTAGGCCAAAACCCCGACCTGCAAGTAATTTACAACCATCACCCTGTGAAATTATCATATCGTCATATTATTAATTATCGTATTATCATTGTATCGTCAAGAGTCAAGAGAATTTAACTGGTTAAAAAATGGGACTAGTTGAGAATATTTTGACCATTTGATTAGTTAGGAATATTGAATAAGTAGGAATATTTTCATTGAAAAATGTCCCATTTTTGTTGTCGGGAGCGCTAGTTGATTCCTCCTATGATGGTAGGCCACGAGACAAATTGGTACAGAGTGACGAAAGTGAAATTCGTGAAAGCTGCTTTTTGAATTTTGGATTTTTTGTTTCAGGTAAATTATTTTACCTTGACTCCGAACTTATGAACATTTGACACACTACATAGCATTAGTTCAGATAATGAATATTCGAGTATAAGGCCAGTCCCGACATCCCAATTCTGTATTTTCATCTCTGAAAATAACGAGTTAATAAAAATATCAAGGAATGTTTAACACCAGCCTCAGGAAATCGTCTCGCCCTCATATTCAGCCAGGAGACCAGCTATCATCAAATTTTGCTGAGGCCTTAAAATTTAATTTTTTTCGGAGTTACGAACCATCGTCAGACGTTTCTTGCGTATCCCCACAAACAGGGTGCAGGTGACTTGATAATTAGTAAATTTGCGGGCGACAGTGTCGGGTGAATCCGATAAAATTTTCGGATGGAATTCGGAATCCCCATTGCAGGATTCCGAATTCCGGCCCACACCCAGCGCACCCGGCCCAGAAAGTCTATTATACCAGCCCATTCCAGACTCCAGTGATGGCGTGGCGGCCCGTTATAGCCACCGGCCACATACAACATGATCATCATCGCTGCATGGCCGGTCAAATCCCCCCCCCCCCACACATTTAATGTTCAGCAGAAAAAGTTTTTTTAGACGAATTTGACAAAATTATTTTTTTCATTTTTTGTTCGACCGGCCCAATCCGCCCCTGCCCTGAAACAAGGCTTGTAAGAAAGCGGATACACCGAATTCCAACTGTGAGGGGATCTCTTACGTGAACTCCAATGTGCATATGGGATCTCGGTTTTTTCGTCCCATCTGTACAACTATACGCTGTCCCTCCGTCACTGACAAGCAATCCCGATGAACTTGCTCGGCCATCACCGGGACAGTACACGGGACCTCCAGGTTAGCGATCCAACTTCTTATACTCACTGGGACGTTAAACCCCATTTCATTTCTTTTTCTTATGCCCCCGCCAGACCGGGGTGGCGTCCTTAGTGCACTGCTGCAACCGTACGGCGACCAGAAAATGCACAAGGTCGCCGGCAAACGTTAATCAGAGCGATAAAATGTCCCAAGAAATTACAAACTTGAAAAACTCTACGTTCTCACAGTTTTCCGTGTCAGCAGAACCTTATTGGCGTTTGCTTTGAACATAGCCTACTCGGCGATCATTTGCGACCATGGAGACCACGCACAACAGGGTAACTGGCGTCTCCACCACGGTTAAAATTATGGCGATCTTGACGCATTCTGCGACCATTTTCTGTCGCCGTAATACAGCACAGTAATGACGCCACCCCTGTCTCATGGTGCAGAAAAGCAAAACATTCAATTAAACCCCAATTTCATTTGTTTTTCGTCAATCAGCGGTTCCACTTTGTATCTAAACCAACTGATACCTTAATAATAAAAATTAGCCCCTGTCTGTAAGAATCTTACTATAATTATGTTTCGGGTAAAATTCTAGACGCCTTTAATTTGCTCTACTTACCGATTCGGGCTTCCCAAGGGCCGTTGCAATCAGCGTTGACGCTTGAGTTAGAAAATCTGCAGGTATTTTTCCTTTAGACAGGTTTGTGATCAAATAAAAACTCGGCATGATGATAAGCGTGTGTTCGTGTGGCTTCTGTTAACTGAAAGTAGAATGAGAAGGTCCCTTAAAACAATAAACATTTTTAGTTATCTCCCTTTAGGTTTAATAGAGGATGTAAGCGACTATTATTTCAGAATCATAATATTTTGCAAAATGCAAAATGACAAATGCAGATTACAGCATCGATGATGCCTTTGATTCTGATGAAGAGGATAAAATAAAACTTTATGGGGCTACATCTGATTCTTCTTCAGCCAGGGGCCCAAAGATAAGGCCAAAAGAGATACCAAATTTTCCAGACGGCATTGAAGATGTAAATGGTAGTGGTGGTGGAAGCATTCCACTTCAAGAATTTCAGGTTGAATAAAAACTACCCCATTCTAATAAATATATTTATTAATTTTTTTTAAAAAATAATGTTCTTTATTTATTTAGAAGTTATAAAAAAAAATTAACATTTGTAATAGGTGTGTATTGAATAGAATATATTTTTTATCATCTTGTTAAAAACAGGCTATACTATAGGACTATAGCTGTGTAGGCCTATGACGGATGTATTGTAAAATTTAAAAATATAAATTATTAAATTAATCTTATTGTTGTTGATAATGACGGATGTGCTCATGAGCAGGCCTGTAGCCAGAGTCGGGACCATTGGGGGGCAAGCAAACAAGGGACTACTGAACTTGATGATCTTTAAATTAATTAATCACGGTTGTTGAGACTGTTAATAAAAGATTAATACTGCTAGTTGTCTTTTGTTTTGTTTAATCGGTGACTTTTGAACTTGACAGTAACTCACCAAAACTGTTTAATGATATTTCTTTGCACATCCTACAATAACATCATGATTATCGGTAAATCGGCTTTAATTATCCCTCTTTGATCGTTGCCATTAAATTCATCAGTTACTTATTTTATATTTAGTATACAAATATACTATACATATAAAGAAATAAAACGTTATTTGCGTAAACATTCAACATTGGAAATTGCCGTTCCTTCATTAAGAGGCCTATACAGTGTTTGTTCCACATGCTGTACTTGATGACGAACGGTAAATTTCATCTGCATGTTATTTTTATAAAATAAATTTATTTGACGATTGTGTTTAACCTTTCCTTTCAAGTTAATCCAATGTCCGGAATGTCGCCTACACGAGACCGAAATGTCACCTTTCCAAGGCTATATTTGAGTCTGAAAGTCTGAAATGTCCCGTAATCGGGGAGACAACACCCTTTACAGACCACAGAACTGAGGGTAGCAAGAAACATATTATATTATTTTTTTGTAGACACAGAGGATACTCAATTGTCAGACTAGAACGTCCTGAATTAACAGAATTGCAATTGACATAGCTTTCTTGTCAGTCCTGACAGTAGAAATTGTTTGAGTAGAGTCGTGAACCAATTAAACAAATCTATTTCAGCTGTCATGGTTGGTTGAAATATTTACTTATTCAGTCAACACCTCCACCTTTTCACTCAATCGTCACTACTTTTGAGATTGAGAGAATTCAATTCCGGAATGTTCAATCGCTAAGTATCCCCAATCCTGCCATATATGCAGTCTCTTGGATATATTTGTATTTTTCAGATTCATCATGGTCAAAATGCACCACTTATCAAGAAAGAAGATAGAAAATCAAAACAGTATGTTCTTAATCATTTATATTTCATATGCTAGAAATTTACCATGGCAGCTACATCTACTGTTCCATAGAGAAAAGTGATATTACTAAGGCTTGAATTTTACAAGGTACAATTTTATGGATACACAATTACTGAATTGTTTATCCAGGAAATTACACCTTGTAACTCTTAATTGATATGTTCCGAATTTTAAAAGTGGATTATGGAAATCTTTGTTTGGGTATCTACCATCACATCTTATTGTTATCTTTTAATCCAAGTATAGCCATTTAGAATAGTTTGTTCATCAAAGACCCTATACTGTATGTTTTATTTCTAGTAGTAGTTTTTATCCTGGTCTACATGGTGCTACATCCAGTCATTCATTAGCTACAACATGGTCAAGTGAAACTATTGTCTCAACAAAGTCTTTTGGAAGCTATGACAGGTAAAAGTGACAAACTTTTTTATTCTTTCAAAATTGAAAAATAAAAGAAATGGGGTTTAATGTCTAATGAAGACGGGCATATGCCATACAGTATGCTATAAAGGAAATTTTGCCCGGACAGCGGCGCTATGCCCTACTCTTATATCAAATTCCAACTGCCATATGTTCTTTTACTTGCACACCCATGTGTGCACAGGACCTCTATTTTTAATTCCATCCAAATGACTATATGTTGTGTCTTGCCAGACCCTCGTCCTACACCACTGACAAGGCACAACCACGCCGGAAAATCCTGATGAGCTTTCTCAGCAAATACTGGGATCGAACCTCCAGGTTAGCGGGCCAACATCTGACTCAGCCACTGTGGAATAGAATAAACCTTTATTGCATCAAAACATCTTTAGACAACAGCATAGAATATACAAAAGTGTAAAATAAATGTACAAAAATCATGCACAAATTCAAATTTATAGCACTCACATAACCATGGGTAAACCCCTCCTATAATTATAAGATTCATGATATTTAAATATTTTAAACTATTTAATATATGTTAGTATCAGACACCGGTGTTGCTGCTTCCTTTTCAAAATTTTGTATTTCTAACCCAGTTACTATAGTCACTGTACTGATGTATGACTACTAAAATAGACTAATAAATAATTGAGTTTTTTCAAGACTAATCCCGATAGTGACAAAAATATGTCATTTGGGAAGTATTTGAATCAAAATGGATTCACACTTTAAGAACTTTTGCAATGGATGGCTCAACGTTAAGATTTTGTCCTAAAGTTTCCCCCCACCCTCTTTGTTCACATTATTATTTATGATTATTTTCAGTTGGTTACGACACCCTAAAGTACGAGAAAATTGGCGGTTAGTCGTGGGTTCTATAGCTTTAACCATTATAGGTATAGGTAAGTATAATAATATCTCTTAATGTAAGTACATGTAGTGACAGGTGTCATGGACAAGGCCGGGTATGCATAATCTTTTTATAGCTCAGGATACTACTTCTTTGATTATATATTTTTTATGTATTATTCACTGTTTAAATGTGCATGGTATTAATGGATACGTTGAATTATAAAACATAAACATTTAAGAAAGGTAATTTTGTTTTCATAGCTAACAACTTGAAGCATAGAAAGTTTTCCCAATAGCCCATGCTGACATCTGTCAAACTAAGACTAAGAGGCAAAATGATACTGACTATATAATAGGTAGAAGACTCAGTTATCTAAAATATTAATAGACAGTGCACTAATTGCTCAACAGAATATCACATATAAAGCTTGGTCCACGGAAAGACATTCCTCACTTTGAATGGACGAAACCCGAATTTTTGGACCAAACCCAACCCTAACACGTGGTGCGTGTCAGTGTTGCTAAAAATAAACCATCCTCTCGTTTATCAACACGAGATTTAGTCAATTCACCACGGCCGGTGTTGTGAGGAATGTCTCCTTGTGCAAAATTTCACAGATAATTGAAAATGTCAAAGTTAGTGGCATAAATGATATCGATCATAAGATATTTAAATTTGATTTATTTTAATTTTTCAGCCCTTATAATATCTGGAGTAGGAATATTAGCTTCTTCCAACAGAGGTAAATTTAGTTAATATTAGTTGTTGAATAAGTTTTATTTATTTGTAACAAACATTCTATATTTTTCCAGGTGATATAGAACATTAATTGATAGCAGATTGGCATGAAACCACAAATAAAATGTTTTGTTTTTTTTTCTTCTCATTGTTCATATATTATTCTGTTAAAACTCCAAAATGAACAATTGGATCCTTTGTGTATTCTAAGTCATACCTGAAAATGTCTTGATATAGCTCATACAGTACTCAGTACAGCACAGCCCAGGAATAAATTCTATTGTGATATTACCAAGGGATTGAAGTGTGAAGAAAGTCCTGCCATAACACTAGGCTTTTTTTTAGATACTTACCTGTAGCCATCAATTATGTTTAGAAATCCCAAATATTGTTTTACTCTCAATTAATCATCATTAATGTGGGGTGGGTGACTGAAAGGGTTTACAGGTGCACTTTAGATCATAAGATATGTCATTGATTCCAGTGGTGTGGTTCTGATTCCACACTTGTATGTGACAGGGAGTTAGCCCGCCTGTCCAACCTTGTGGGTTTTTTCCGGTTTCCCCCCAAAGCTGGAGACCCGAAGTGGATCATGTGTTAGCAGAATTAAAGTGGCAATGATAAATCTGATTTGATTAAAAAATTTAATGTTCATAATATTTTAATTTCAGGTATCCATTGCCTTGTTTTCTTTGTAATAGGATTGATCTGTTTTATACCTGGTGGTAAGTTTCTTCTAAATATATTATCTCTAGACCTGGCATCAGATGTCAAAGTTTTTCAAATGTTTTACCAAATATCTGTGCAATGCCTTTCATGTGTCCTACCAATTTGTACACTAGGCCTGTTTAATTTCATTCCGACAAAATAGTTGGACACACTTCCATTATAGCTCCATGGGCATTACTTTTGAGTGGAGACCAGGCTTAAAAAATTGTGGAGGTTCAAGGATTTCCAATAATTACTGCCAGAGTTATGGCCCTTGATTACTACGAAAAATATTGCAGATGCTCTACAGGCATAGTGATCATTCGATTGACTTTAGATTGATACGCAGAGTTTAAGGTCTTGAGATGAACAAGTATATTGATTTTCAATGAATTTTGATAACTTGAACAGCTAACTCCATCAACTAGAAGTCAAACAAATTCTAATGATTTTCTGATAATTACTTTTAAACATACATTATGCAAGAGCTAAATCTTCCTATTGCAGGTCTTTCTTTAGGCCTGAAATGTTATCTAAATTATTAATTAGACATTAATTAACCTATCCAGACCATAATTAACTCTCGATGCCATCGCTAGCCTGCGATATTTAGTGCATTGGAATACATTTTTTGAAAAATAATTAAACGTAAAAATGGATAATCAAGACTTTGTTTTTATCGTACCGATTTTAGTAATGATGATTGAGGCTAGCCTAAACTTCAAAAGCTAATATCTCGGTTCAGAGTGGAGCAGTTTAACTGAAATTTTCAGCATATTCTGTTTACGTTATCTATTTTTTTTAACTATTATAGCGAGAACTGTCAACTCTTTATCTAATCTCCAATAGTTCTCCTTTAAGTAATTATCAGAAAATCATTAAAATGAGTTGTTACGGTACTCTTAATCAGATTTTAGTGTATTATAAATGTTTCATTACCTACAAAGAAAAAATATCCTTGACTAATGGTGGGTTGAGTTTCTTTCTGGCATGACCACTACACAGTGCCATGTTGGATACAAACTATATCAATCTTAATTACAACATTTTCTTCTTTTTTTCCAGTATATCATTTGGTAATAATCTGTTTTGCTGTACAAGGACGGCCTGGTTATAGTTTTTATAATCTACCTACGTTTAAGTGAAACCATTGTTAAATGTGATTATGACAGTGAAAATGTCAGTCCCAGTATACAGTGGTATGTGAAAGAAAGATGCGTGTTGATTGATATTTTATAGTTTGTTATGATTTCTTACAGAATCTCATTGCATTCATTGAAGAACTTTTTCTTCAGGATATATTTAGCAAGGGTTTAATGAATAATTATTTCCTTGACAATTGTTAGGGCTTATGATTTTCAAATACTTTGATATAATTTTGAAACTGAATTCCATGGGAACACATTTTTGAAAACAATAACAATTGGTGAAAACATAAAAATATCAGTCAAGAGTTCTTGTCAGATGTTTTTGTATCTCTCGTTTAACACTATTCACTAACAATTGACAATCAACAGATCATTTATTAGGCAAACTGCATGCATTGTATTTTTCGGCCATGATGGTCTCATTCTGTCGTTGAGTGGAATATTTACCCTACTTTACAACAAACATACAATTGCATTCTTCCGATAAAGTTTCATAAATTTCAATGTTTATAAATGAAATAGTTATCTAGATTTTGTTAGTTAATCATTTTAATCGATGTCAGTAACTGCATAATATTATATATGTCAAAAACAGAAACTATACTTTTCTGAAATGGACCCCACCCCCAAATATTTATCTTTTTCCTAAAATAGAAAAAAAACCAGTCTTTAATTGTATATACTAGAATATTTTACTTTCCATGTTTTTAGGGATAGTTAGTCTTTATCTAAAGAATTTAGCACATATCATTTTTGATGTTTTTATTTCTGTTTTCTTTACTCAAAATTTCAAAGATATGAAAATAAATTCCCGTGATAGCAAAAAGTTAAAGGTCAAAGATATTGAAAACATATCAAAGCCCCCCTCAAAAGAGTTTAGAAAATGGTCAAGAAAGATTCCAATCTTTGTTTTTTTTAGGCAACTATGCATGTAAGTGAGTGTATGAATAATATCAAGGATTTCTACCATAGGTTCAATAATATACATTCTTTTTGTTAATCAGACTAATTTGTTATCGACCTGGCCTTACAAAAATGATAAAAAGTAGGAACTTATTATGCTGCAATAGAACAGAAAACCCCAGAACCACATTTTGTTTTAGATTTACTTTACATGGAAATTAGGAAAGCAATGTACAGTTTTGTTACTTATTATAAATTCAAGAAAAACTGTTGGTGGGTGCTTGATGGAGTCAAGCGATTGTTATATCAAATACACTACTTTAATGTTTTTAACTGCATATTGATATAATTTTGGCTTTAAAAACTAAAATTATGTTTTATTTTATTGTTGTACTGCATATATTAGTGTATCTTTTATATAGATTACATAGTGGACTACATATGAGATATATATATATATATATATATATATATATATATATATATATATATATATATATATATATATATATATATATATATATATATATATGTCATACTTATACAGAACTGTAATATCATATGTAGTCCACTATATGTCATACTTATATAGAACTGTAATATCATATGTAGTCCACTATATGTCATACTTATATAGAACTGTAATATCATATGTAGTCCACTATGTAATCTATATAAAAGATACACTATTATATGCAGTACATATATATATCCATATATATATATCCATAGCTATGTCAGAATATACATATAGTATATTTAATTGCAGCATATGCATGACTGAGAATATAGATAGTGGTCTAAATATGATATTACTATTTCATTTGTGTGTAACATATCCATGGCTTTAGTCAAAATAGAGATAGTGGCCAACATTTGATATTAAAACTGTTTTTAGTTGCATCATATTCATGACTTAGTCAAACTACATATAAATAATTGATTACATATGATATTTGAGTAAATCAAATTATGCGCGGCTAAGTCGGAAATCCTAAATATACAATGTATCTTTTTTTTTTAATTGTTTTACAGGAATTCCTGCGTCTTTACATTTCTGTTTAAATTGTTATTTGTTAAAATAGTTTATGTACGCCTGTTTCTTCTTTACTGTAGTTTAGTAATGTTTTTGTAATGATATTATTGAGATCATCTCAACCTAAAGTGGTAATTTTTATTTTATTGATGTATATATTACTTTGAAGGAATGCGATAATGAAACGTAACATATCAAAATTATCTTGATAATTGTGGAAGTACTACAACGTAATCTGCTCTTGGTATATAGTGCTGATTTATTAGACTTACAGGGATATTCTGTGGTCTCTGATAGAACAAAAAGTCTTTAAAAATTGGACTGCTTTACATCCTTAAAATTTGTGGACCTTAGTATGATGGCTTATTTATTCATGCAGTACTCTCTATTCTGTTAACACAGTTTTCTCGATTCTGTTAACACAGTTTTCTCTATTCTGTTAACACAGTACACAGTTCTATTATTCATTTCACTGTTCACAAAGCACATTTAGCATCAAGTAAGTAATGAAGCCCCTACCCACACACCCCCTCCCCAAAAATAATCCATGGAAACTAACTAAAATATTTATACTTATCCATCCTTGGATGCATTGTATTCCCTAACATGGAGGTCTATGGGCACAGAGTTTGGCCTGGAACTCCACAATTCAGCAGTAATAAGAACTAATTTCCATGATCATGTTTTGAGATCATGTTTCTAGGGCAACCACATTTTTCATCACTCATGGAGTATCATTAAAAGATCAGTGGCTATAACCCTACTTCAGAAAGTGTGGTTAATTTTGGGGGCTATTTTTATAGCAGTAATAAGTTTAAGCTCTGGTACTAAAGTGTTAATGTTGTGGTACTTTTCAAGTGTGAAGATAATATTTATATGTATGAATATATTTTAAATGTATTTCTCGCTTAACCTAAAAAGGACACCTTTACTTTAATGTATGAACAGATATTTTTAAAAATCAATTTAAAGCATGTGAACCATGACGTTTTTATTGTAATTACACATTCCTGACTTAAAATATGACTTGTAACATGATTGGAATGCTATTTTGAAGTTGGAAACTTGCAAAAGACATTACAAGATTCAAAGGAAACATTTTAGCAATCTTTATTATCCTAATAAAAAATAGTTGCTTAGCTTGGTGTAAGCGCTAATGTTTAATTATCATTAAATACTCACAAAAACAATCTAGTCACCACATCAGTCATTCCTAGTTATTTTAGGCCATATAAGAAAAATACTCTGGTTCTCAGATACTTCCTCATCACTTAAAAAAAGATGAATGACCAGTTTTTATTTTAAAAAATGAAAACAGTCTTATTAATTACCACACATATATGTTTTGTTTTTCTGATTACCAGATGTAACTATGTAAAAAATTCAAATGAATCTGTAAATGTACAGTAGGCTCAATTATCAATTATACAACCTTGATACATGTTATTTAAAATCATAATTTGTACTGAATAGTCATACAATCAACGTGATGAGATAAATGAGTGCCTCATAAAGCAGTGATTTTGAGAGGTTATTTAGCCCTGTAGATATTTTGAAAAAATAAAAACAAAAAAGGTAAAAACTTCCACCTCACATCTGATTTTTAGAAAGAGTTGTTTGAGTACCAGAATATATTTTTTGTATGGACATATCATCATCATTGTTAGTAAAACTGATACACATATGTTATAAATGTGTTACTAAATATAGTACATGTATATCAAATACAAATAATATAGAGAATTTTTATATATAAGCAAAAAAACATACATTTAGATGTGTCAAAACAAAAACAGAATGAAGTAGACATGCTAAGGTTTTAAAACTTTGATTACCCACAAAAAAACCCCACAAAAAGCAGCAGGAATTTAATGATGAATGTTTCAACTATTGTGTAAAGAAAAACAGTTGTTGTCATAGTTCTTATTACAATTGATCTATACTTAGTAACTCATTTATTGCTTATTTAATTGGAGGACTTTCAATTTATTGGCCAAAATTCCTTCAAACGAAAGTATCATTTTATCTCAGGGTCATTTTGTTCCACATATCTGTTTTAATTAAGCATTTCATTAAGAATTATATTTGAAATCATCACTATTATGATATGTTATTATGTATTTTTCGTGTATATTTAGTTATCCTAAGAAATGTTATAATGTATATTTAGTTATCATAAGGAATGTTAGTCTATTTTTAGGTATCATATAAGGAATGATATTTGTTGTGTTCACCAGAATCAAATCAGAAAACCATATTTAACCGAATGATTACTCTGTGTAGTGATCCCCCCTTTTACAATATAAAATTGTCATTCAAATATATGTGCACAGTTTGTAAAATGCAATCACATTATAGCTTTTTTTAGTTATGTTCGCTTGTAGCAAACAATATGAAATAGTAATAATGTCAAATTATGTTAAGTTATCAATTTTCCCAAAAAATGAAATAAAATCCAAAATTGTGAGTACAGTGCAGGTAGGCATGGATGGATCTCAGTGATACTAGTAGGATAGACAGTAAGTAATCTTCCAAAATAATCAATATATAGTAATCCACAAGCAACATGCTTGACAAGACTGTATACAATGTAATTGATTTTGTCAAGGATGCTTTCCGCATGGAACAGGTTACATAAAGTAAACAATGAATATGCTCGTGTATTTGTTATAGTATGTGTCCTTATATGTTTGAATTTGTTGAATCCATATTGACTTGTAAACTTAAGCTTTACAAAATAAATGTTTGTTGTGACTCATGTTATTGGAATTTGTGGAGTGAAAGATGTTATTTTTATTTTTTAATTTTGCAAAGTTATATATTTATATGTATACCTCCAATACCATTTATTTTGCTTTATTACTTTATGTAACCAGTTTATAAGTCATTTATCATTTAAAACATTTGTAATATTTATATAGGCAGTACAGTTACATCCTCTGGGGTATTCAAATTAGAATGCAGGCCAATCTGTCGCTTAGACATAAATGTTTTAAGATTTATAACCTGGCATATACATTATATTTGATAGCCTATAGTGGTTTTCAAAGAGTTCATCATTGCTTTACTCCACGTAAACCATTGGTGGTTAGTACAGAATTATTCTTAACATGACATTAAGTAAAATTAATTAGGTTTATTTTAATTTTTGTTTTGTTTTGTTGAAAGTGGTAGTGACTCTTTCATTTGCAAATTACATGTATGTTAGTATTAGTAGAACATGTTTTCATGTTTATTCACAGATCATGGTTACCTAATTTTCTTTACATCAAGTGCAGCCAAAAAACTTCTTTCTAACTGGTATTAGAAAATTTTTGTCATTAGAGATACATTATGGGAGATTAGATAAAGTGTTGGGAGTTCTCACTATAATAGTTAAAAAATAAGATGATGAAAAGGGGACATGCTGAAACTTTCAGTCAAATTACTTCACTCGGAGCCAAGAAAACTTCATTTTAAAAATACTGTAGCCTTGATTGTCATTGTTGCCATGATAATAAAGAAAGTCTTGATTATCCATTGATGCGGTTAATCATCATTGGGCGTTGAACAGCTGATTGGATTCAAATCTAATGAAAATTGGACACATAAGATGGCATCGAGAGTTGATATCATTGTCTAATTTCAGGCCTAAAGAAAAACCTGCAATAAGCAGATTTCAGCTCTTGCATAGTGCATGTTTAAGCGCAGCCAAAAAATATCATTCTAACTGGTGTTAGAAAACACTCATTCAGTTTCAGTTCACTAGTTCTTTTTATTTTTATTACTTACATATTTAATATGTTATATTGCACCTATGATCATATAAAGTTTTACTATTTACCAAGGTCATTCAATGCTACCATTTATTGGAGTACAATTTTCCTTGGTAGCAAGTTATTAAGCAGATGATAAAAAATTTATATTGAAACTTGCTGTCCTCCTCACTCATTACCACAAATTATCAGTCCTTGTAATATGCACAGGTTGATAGTATAGATTTTAAAAAGCAAAAATGAATTTTTGGACAGGATTTTACAATTTACAATTTAAAAAATCTGTACAAACCAAAGATAGGTTTTTGTTAATACAAAGTTGCAATTTATAGGATTTCGCTTTGGTGAAAAATTTGAATATATGTGTGTTCGATTGAAATAAATCTGAAGAAATCTGAATTCGATTTTAGTTTGGCTTTTGCTAATTTTATGTCTAGTCAAATTTGAATTCTAGTTCCGTATACTTTACTAGTCCTGGTTGAAATATTTCAGCACTGATGTGCATATTCTTGAATGTAAATTAAGGAATCCAGATTTGGATAGTGATGAGTCAAACAATCCTTTAATGAAATCCAGATTATCAGCAATCAAACATGTGGTTAAGGAATGATGGTGTTCATACATAAAGAGCAGTAATGTAAACCGCAAAGTAAATTAAAGGAGCTGTCCAGATATATTTTATTCTAGTCTTGTACAACTGTCTGAATCTGTGGCACTTTTAGAAGAAATACACACTTTAATTTTCCACTCTGGAATTTGTTAGGGGTTTTTCTATACAATTCAGCATTTCTCTTAAACCCATTTTTCTCAGCGGGTACACTTTGAAATCTAGGACTACTCCTTTAAGATTTTTTGGGATAAAGTAACAAGTATTAACCTTGGAGTTTAGTTAATATAATTATATGGTGTTAGCCATAGACAATCTATATGTTTATATAAATATCTACAGTGAAATATATGTAAGTTGAGTTTTAATAAATCACCTTTTTTTAATGATAATTGTTATTTTGTTGGGTTTTTTTTGTTCTGACAACTGAAATGTTTTTAGGATCTTCAGTTGTCACAAATAAAAATAAAATGAAATTTAACATCCTACTTTGCAGCACCAACCGGTCTTATGAAGAAAACTATTAACCAGTTTCTGGTTATGGCTAATAACACATCTGGTCAACAACCATAAGTTGTCATTATTTCTATAATCTGGAAATTGATCATCTCAAACATGTCTTTACAAACTTCAACGGCTATCCAGAGAATTTTGTAACAAACACCATCAATAAGACCCTGCCAGCGAGTGCACCTAAACTGAAAAATGACTGCCCCAGTCAGAAACTTCCTTCCTTTCAACGCAAAGTCTCCTACCAAATCAAAAGGCTACTAATGCAACAACCAGAAATAGATTTAACTTTCACAAAAAGCAACAACACCAAAGATATATTAAGAACTAATGGAAAACTAAATCCAACACAAACACTACAACCAAAGGGATATGTTTATCAAAAAGAGTGGAATTTTGGGAATTCGTACATTGGGGAGACCAAACGCCCATTAAATATAAAGATAGATCGATGACCACAAGTCGAAAGTAACAACCAGCAACTGTAGCTGAACACTTGAACTCCAACCCCTGCCACAGAGTCCAAATGTTAAAGCACTATGCAATAATACTAGCAATAGAAGGACAGGGTGTTGTAATTATTGAAACCTGATCAAATCATTGTAAATACTCCACAACAAGTTCTCCATTAATCAGTTTGTGTTAATTTCGGGTAAAGTGGTCTTTATGCATATTGGATGTTGTTATTAGCATTAAACTTTTATAATTACATTACCTTAATTAAGCTAGGTTCCCTTCAAGGTAATTAGAAGAGTGTGTTGTGTACATGTATATATTGTCTTGTTATATTTTCATATTTTATCATTGCTTGACAATCACTAGAGAAGCCAAGCCTAGTCAAACAGTAATAAGCAGTAATTGTATTCCATAAAATTATGATCTGTATATTACAATTTCTAGTTTTAGGTATATGACACATCTTATCAGATTAACCAGTTTTCACAATTTCTGGTTTTAGCTAATAACACATCTAGTCAACATCAACCAGTTGTCACAATTTCTTCTTTTAGCTAATAACACACATTGTCAACCACAACCAGTTGGAAATGAAATGAAATGTGGTTTAACGTCCTACTGTTCTAATGGAGATGGGCATACGCCATAAAGTGTGCTAGGAGGGGAATTTTGCCTGGACAGTGGGACTATGACCTACTCTTATAACGAATTCCAACGAATTATAACGAAGGGATCTTTTATGTGCATGCCAATGTGTACATAGGACCTTGGTTTTTCATCCCATCCAAATGACTAGACAGCTGTCCTTGTCAGGCCATCCATCCTGCACCACTGACAAGGGGAAACCAAGTCGAAAAATCCCGTTAAACTTTCTCCGCCAACACCGAGATCGAACCCATGACCTCCTGGCTAGCGAGCCAGCGTCTTACTCACTGAGCCTCCATCACTCCACAAGCAGTTGGGATTTATAATCATCCAAAGAAGTAGTTCCATACTACATAATTACCCCTTTTCAGGAGGCCATAAATCACAGAGAAATCTTATTTACTATGCGATTTATGTTCATGCATAATTAGGATTCATTAAAATATCCCCCCCCCCCTCCCCACAAAAAAAAAAATTGTACCCTTAAACAGATTTATTCATGTGTTGTGTTCTTACTTTTTAGTTGTGTACTCAGGCATATGATGTTCAGGTTACAAGATATCATCCATGTCATGGGACTATGATGTATATATATATAGTCATGTGCATAACAGAGATGAGGGTGAGTCAGCACATACTTGCCATCATTCCAGTGGTCTTGATTAGGTTTTTAGTTTTATTACTTGTTCCCAGGAGTAACACCTTTGGATTACAGTAAGAATGGTTCTGAACAGTCCCATGATTATGCATTTATCCGTGGAGATGGAGGTGGTGACTTGACTTTCTCGCCCTCCCATTTCCACCATATGCTGGACTACCCTCTAAACAGGACAGGCTCTTCTGGTAAGTATCCTAGGAAACATTTGACTGTGAAATCACCTTTGTTGGAAGTGAACACGATACCGATACCCCTCGATAGTTCTGAACATGTTATATATCCTGTTATAACCTTGTAATGAAATGAAGATATAATTTTATATTAGACTGAACACTTATGGGACAAATATAAGAACATTTATACCAAATGAAAGAATAATTTTTATTTGCACATAATGTATTTGTACTGCACGAAACATAATATTTGGCTGTTAACCACAGTAATTTAAGAAAATTTATAAAAATGGATGTCTTTAAATTACATTTATAAAATATATTACAAGTTCCATTAAGATTACTCTTTTCTGGCTTAGTAATAAGGTTATCCAACAAGGCCCATAACTTTGTAAATTATAACCAAAATACTTAATTTTCAACAAGCCAAATACATCTATATGACAAGTATTATGTCCTCTTATGATTGGACCTTCTCATATACTGTCATTGTAGGAGTTAATTTTGCCACCGCAGTAGCAACCTCTGTGGTTCTTCTAGGCACGGTATATGATCAGGGTTAATAATTTAGACAAGCAATAATATTGAATTTTGAATACACAATTTGCGAAATATATGACATGAACATAAAATAAATTTTACTAATCGATATGTTAAAACCTTATTTTTTTTTTAACACAACAAAATTGGTAACTTAATATGTACACATACATAATATTTTAAATAATAATTAATAATATTTACAAATAAACAACTTATTTGTCTATGCACAATTGTATACGTTAAAAAGATGTGGAAAACAGATTGATCATTTGCATTATTAAAATATTAAACAAATACAAACAGTTGCAGATAGCAAGAGATTATTTCTATTTGGATACAATCTGTTTCAATCAGTTCAATGCCTACCTTTCAAATGATAATCTGTAAAAATGTGGGCTTTATCAATTAATTCTTTGTTGAAATATTGCCATTTGAAAAGCTATCTGGAAAGAAGGTGACTAGCATAAAAAGAAAAATGTTACAACAGGGTAATAGATAAATTAACCTGAAAAGGCATAATAGAAGATTGAAATAATTGATAATGGTTGCCCCTGGTTTCTTTACATTTAAAAACATTTTTTTTAGAAAATCTCAACAACCCTGTCAATCGTGATTTATTCATTAAGAAAGAAAAAACATGAACACAGCCTGACTATAATAAGATAAATTTAGAGGATAACACCCACAATGTAAACAAAAATATATACACTATTGCATTTGGCATAAATAATCACATTAACATACATAATGCCATTTTCTTCTTGATCATTTTAGTTAAAGCTCCAGTGCTTCAGAAGACTAAAAGTCAAATTCCATATTCAATTTGAACAAATATAAGGGCTTAAAAGTGTTTTCTACGGATAGTAATCTAATTCAAAACCTAGTACTAGATGATGCTCATTGGTAGAAACAAGTTATTTTCCAGTAGTTGAAAAATGTTCTGAGACAGTCTGGAATATTGTGTTTTTAAGTGATTTCATTCGTATCAACTAAATTTTCATTCTTCGCAGTGCCTTCATAGGGTGAGTCCATTTGTCTAATTCATTCACAAATTTCTTTATTATGCTCGACTTCCATTCTATTCTACTTTTGTTACAGATGAAATACTCCACTCGGGGTCACTTAAGCTTCTGTCATTGACATTGTTGGAGATATAAAATGAGATTATATATAAATCATTCCATTAAATCTTAGAATATCAGAATAATATTGAGACTAAACTAGAGACCCTCAAATGTAAAATTAGCAACAAGAAAAATACAGTTAATAATAAATACAAAATTCAACAGTAACACCACATAGAAAAACATTCCATTTAATGCTATCATCATCTTCTATTCTGGCTTTTCGATTTCTGAAATGATGAATAAAGAAATATAAATTCAAAATCCATGCCATTCAATTTGATAAATAATATAAACAATAAACGTACAGTTTAAACATTAAAGGGGTATTAGGTAGATTAAATAAGACCTGACAGTTCTCGCTATAATAGTTCAAATATAGATAATGAAAACAGAATATGCTAAAAATTTCAGTCAGATTGCTTCACTCTGAACTTAGATATTAGCGTTTCAATTTTAAGCTAACCTTGATAGTCATTACTATCATTGTTACCATAATAAACAAAGTCTTGATTATCAATTTTTACGATTATTTCATCGACAACAAAGCATATTCTAATCCACTACATAAAGCAGGCTAACAATAGCACTGAAAGTCAAGTATGGTCTTGATTAATTTATGTCTTAGATAATTAATAATTTAGATAACATTCAAGTATTAAAGAAAGACCTGCAATGGGCCAATTTAGCTCTTGCATAACGCATCTTTAACCTGTGAATGTCGAGGATCATCAAAATGACACTGATAATTATCGTTATTTACAATCTAATATCGAGTTACTCACTGTGCCAATCTGTAGCATGCCAAGGGCACGTAACCTTTCATTTTGGGTAAGCCGACGCATATCAAAATTTGTTTTCTGGTCACTAAAACAATTAAACTGATGTTTCCACCCTGGAATTCAATGCCACAATGACTGTAACATTCAAAGTCAGAGTCGTGCAAATCTTGGGTTGGACCCCCATGATGATCCCAAGCATCACCTGCATTCCATGCGGTAGCTATTGGTGCGTTTGGGCGTCACATGTAACTGGAAATGTTTCTTCTGTTAGGTTCTATAGTGACTTTTTTCGTAGTCATTTGCATATTTTAGTATTATGCCCCCAAAATCAAATATCCCCTACTTTTTTTCAATAGTATATTATAGCAAGAACGTCCTGCTCTTTATCTAAATCTTACATAATGCATCTTTAATGGCATACATTTACATTATCAACAAGCGGTTGCCATGCAAGCAAGATACGCCAACATTTTGCAAGAGATGGACAGAGAACGAGATAAAAAAATGTGATTTTTCATACAGGTTATGGTCTGATATGCTTGAATATCACAACAAACCACATATATTTTAAGTTTCATCGAAATCAGGTAAAAATTGTGACCTCTAGAGGGTCCATAACCTTGGTATTACATACTTTTAGACTATTTGCATATGATGAGCGATCATTTTGTCGGGCAGTTTTGGTCTGATTTTCAGAGAATTCAAACTCAACCATGATCAGGGTGTAACAGTGATAAATTTGAATGGTTTTTAAAATCGGATAAAAATAGAGATCTATAATCGAGGGTCCACAAGATAAAAATTTGATTTTTCGTACAATCGGGGGTCATAACCCAGGAAGTTACGGTCCAAAAGGAACCAAGATCTTTGGGTTATTAACATACATTTAAAGTTTCATCAAAATCAGATAAAAATTGTGACCTCTAGTGTCTCTAGAACGTCCAAAAGCTAAAAATGTGATTTATTGTACAATCAGGGGCCATAATCCATGAAGTTATGGTCTGATACATGACAATATCGAAAAGAACTGAGATCTTTTGGATATAAACCTACATTTCAAGTTTCATCAAAAACGGATAAAAATTGTGACCTGTAAAATGTTCACATACAAAATGTGAACAAGGGACGGACAAACAGGAACCACGACCATATACGTCCATATGAAAATGTGGGCATACAAAAATCTAATCAAAAATATATAGTATCAACTGTTCAGTGAAACCAACCAGGCAAGAAAACCAGTGCCTTCATTAACAACACCACTGCTGGATCTTGTTGGTGCTTTGTGAATATGCTTACCGTCGTGGTTTTAGATTTTGGCTGAGAAGCACCAGCTTTATGGTCAGCATTTAATAGATGAGTAGATCTTTGTCTAGTTTGGACTGAACTCTCACCATTGCTTTCTCTATTGTCATCAACAAAATTCCTTGTATTAGTAGATCTAAGATAATAAATTACATGTCATAATTCTATATAGTTTATATTACAAATGTCTGTGTGGGAGTTTGGTGTTTATCTTGTGGGTTTCTGGTAACTGTCCAGACATCAGATCACACAGTGGTATAAAATGGGGGAGAGCAAGGAGAGAGACTGATTTCCCTGATTTTTCAAAAGTGGCACCTTCTCAAGAGTTTTGTAAATCATTAATTAAAATATTTTTATTTTATTATATGGATTTGGAAACAATTTCTGGACTCACCCACATTTTGCAAGAGATAGATAGTGAACAAACTAAAAACAAAAGCGATTTTTTGTACAATCAGGGGCCATAATCATAGAAGTTATGGTCTGAAATGTGCAAATATCGAAAGGGACTGAAATCTTTGGGATATAAAGATATATTTTAAGTTTCATCAAAATCAGATAAAAATGGGCAAATATCGAAAGGAACCAAGATCTTTGGGTTATAAACACGTATTTCAAGTTTCAACAAACTCGGATCAAAATTGTGACCTCTAGAAGGTCCACAACCTTGATAAACCATATTTTTACACTATTTCCATACGAGGGGCGGCCATTTTGTCTGGCAGTTTTAGTCTGATTTTAACAAAATTCGAACTCAACCAACATTGCGGTATAACGGTGATATATTCGAACGTTTTTTTTAAATTGGATAATAATTGTGACCTCTAGAGGGACCACAAGCTAAATACATGATTTTTCGTACAATCAGAGGCCATAATTCATGAAGTTACGATCCGATCTGCGCGAATATCGAAAAGAACCAAGATCTTGGGTTATAAACATGCATATCAAGTTTCATCAAAATCAGATGGAAAATTGTGACCTCTAGAGTATCCACAAGTTAAATCAAAAGGAACCAAGATCTTTGGGAAATAGACCTATATTTCAAGTTTGATCAAAATCGGATAAAAATTATTACCTGTAGAGTGTCCACAACCAAATTGTGGACAGACGGATATTTGACGGACAGGGGCTACAGCATAATAAGTCCACATGAAAATGTGGGCGTATAAAAAGGCATGCTCTCAATCCCTCGAAAAGATATCAGTTGAGTACATTCCGGATGACAAGGTACAATGTATGCAGCAACTAAATAAGTCTAAATAATTTACCAGTGGAAACGACAGATATTATGATCTAAAGGACATGCGTTGGACCATTTGCCCTGCCCTTGCAATCACAGCCCCTTCATATATACGCCTTAGAATTTATAATCAGGAAAATATTATCCCAATAAAATTCATAACTACCTTATCAGAAAACAAGAGCCAAATTGAATGCATAAAATATTAAATATTACCTTTTATTAGGAGTTTTCCTTGAAGCTTCTTTATCTTTTTTCTCTATTTCCTGATAAACCTTTTTAGCAGATACAGAGGTTTTATTCCTTCTCTCTCCTTGAGCACCTACAACACAAAATTACTATGAATTACATATGAATTTATTTTTGAAATTTAAATTATATTCAATGTACATCTACATCTACTATATATCATAGACAGTACATCATATTTGTTTCAAGTGCATAATTTCTCGATTTGTTCAATGTTCATTCAAAGCATCTAAAATGTCAATATAATAGAAATGCCATGAAATACAGTCAACCACTTCTCTTACATGAACAAGTTATTTCTATATTTGTCATGGTTCATTGTGAAGATAAAAAAGAGAAAAAGTTAGGCCTTTATTCAAAACAATTTTGTGATTTCTAGATTAAAGTACTTACCTGCTCCCCCACTTGCACCGGATTCCAAATTTCTTGTACCAACATTTCTACTGGATAATCCAAAAGGCTGGTCTGGATCATCTTTTAATAAGTTTTCTAATGTTTTTTGTGGTTCAGATGTTTTATGTTTAGAAACAGACGTCCGTCTAACTTCTGGTGTTGCATTCATTCTTTTATTGCTACTGGACATTAGATATGATTGATGTGAATGTCCATTAGAGGGTTTATTCATATCGTAGTTAAAACGAGAAAATTGTTCACTAAGTTCGTTGTTATTTTGTAAAGTTTCGTAATCACCGAGATCAGATGGTGCCCCCTGGCGTCTTCTAGATCTGGAGCTATTAAAGTTGTCGTTTCCTAGATAATTAGCGGTATGTGATGTGTTTTTTCTTAGTTTAGGTTTATAGGTACTAACAGGTGTTTGAACTCTAGGTGTAACGGTTGTATTAGCATCACATATGGACTGAAAAATACAAAAATATAATAACTATGCATGTAAATTGTAAATCAAAATATTTCATAAATTTAATCTTCAATTTATGGGCAGCTATAATTTAAAAATCTGCAGTTAGGAATAGAGAAAGAAAAATTATAAATCATCCAACCTAAATTATACAAAAGTCAAAGTTAATCCTACAAGGAGAGTCACATTCAAATGCTGCCGACTTATTTCCTTTCTTATACAAATCTGGAAGTGTTGAAAAGATATAGTATATATGCCTGGTTCTAACCTAGTTACGTGTATGACAGTTGCCATGACAATAGAGAAACTTATAAAAACATATCAAAATCAATCATTTTACTAAAAAGAAAATCATGAGAAAGACTGGACAGGCAGTTGATTACAGTGTTGAATATTATGTACCTACCTGATGAATAACCAACATTTCTGAAGGAAACAGATCAGTACAGAATTCACATGGTAACATAACATCATCACCATAAACATCATCATCGTAAACATTAGCATTAATTATAGTATTCTCAACGCTCTCTACTTCTGGTTCATGTATTACTGGAGATTGCCTGTAAAAAAATACAGGATATTGTTTAGCAAAAGATAAACCAGTAAATCTACACAAAGAGACTTTTAAAATCACTTATAGTGTAGAAGATTCAACAATCCTAAAATTTTATAATTAGAAACCAAATTTGAATACTGATCATTCTCTAAGACAGGTGAGAGCCTAAATACTAGGCTAAAGCATGCTATTGTAAACATAATTTTAATTGAAAATACTGCTAACTTTTCGGGTACCACTAGATGACCTAATTAACAGCAACTTGATTAAAATCAGTTGTTTTTCTTTATTTTCTATATTCTGTTTTTATAGTTTACTTGATTAAATTTTACTTAACAAGTACCAATAGTGCTGGGTATTACCACTGCAGTCATGATGTGATACGTATTGCGATTCATGTGCTACAATACGATTCATAACCAGGTCAATATTTACAAAGAAAACAACAGGATAAATGAATAATTGATATTTTTAGTATTGCTGATGTCAAAGAAATAGAAGTGTTTTATATCACAATATTGATGTGAATCAAAATAAGGACCAAAATAATTCAAGGGTGTTTTTTTTTGTAATTAAGAGTGATAGGTTACTTACTAAAGTCACAAAAAAACATAAAAAATGATCCGCAATACATTGATTCAGAGTCTCGCGATTTGATACTCAAATCGTGAGAAATTTAATCATGATACATCGATTCAACAAGTTTAACGTCCACTCAACACAAACTAGGTCATTTTGGGACTAACTTATGGTTCAATTTTATTTCAATAATTCGCTTGCATGCAGTGGTCTTTAGCAGTGGGATGAAACCGAAGGACCCAGAAAACCCCCACGTTCAAGCGGTAATCAAAACCATACCACTTGATTCAATGACACCTTCTGATCCAACGCGCACGTGTTAACCATTCGGCCAACTATAAGTCTAACATACCATTGTTCTGTGTCGTGTAAGTTGTTAATAACAGGTATAAAAGCTGTAGATCGATGAACTTCAGTTGGAACTTCATTGTTTCTACTTTCTGAAGAATGAGTAGTTATAGCAGGATTTATACTAGACCATTCGCCAGATATCATCATTTCACATCCACTCTATAATAAATAAATATACCATCATTTCACAACCACTCTAATAATAAATATATACCATCATTTCAAAACTACTCTATAATAAATATACCATCATTTCACAACCACTCTAATAATAAGATATACCATCATATTACATCCACTCTATAATGAATAAATATACCATCATTTCGCAACCACTCTAATAATAAATATATACCATCTTATCACATCCACTCAACAGGGCTAGAAATGTTTGTAAAATTTTATATGTCACCTGGTGACATTTCAGGATTTAATATCATTTTATTAGATAAAATAACATTAACAATTTAACACACTCTAACAATATGAATGCCAACAAATATAACTGTAACAGTGTAGGTCAGTTGAATTTTTACCACTGATAAATTTCATGTCTTATAAAAATTATTTTCACTTGTTGGCAACACCATGGATAAAAAAAAACAGTTTTATTTATTGTACACCAAAAAAAATAAATATAAAAAAATACAGACATAACATCCAGTCCCAAATAAACAGAACAGAATCTTGTATACTGTTCAGTAGTCTGGTTAATTAAATATATTATTCCACACATAGTTGTAGGAATGACAGTCGAAGAGTGAGTGACAAGGATTAGACCTGCATTACAAACACAACTTATTTCATAAGCTTTATAAATTTCAGGAGCAATACTAGTTGAGCAAGTCTAGTGATTAAAAATAGAAACATGAAAACCATTCTCAGAGATTGTAAAACATTGACAGCAAAATAAAACAATCTTTTTTTTTCTGAGATTGTAAAAAAATCTATAGAAATTTTCCTTGGTTTTCAAAGACAAGTAGATTTCCTTTTCAAAATTAACTGGATTCGACAAGCAAACAACTTGTGGATAAATCAACACTGTTACAACTATATTAAGAGTACTGGGCTAGTACTGGCTACCTTGACATCTTTAAATAAAGTCAGGTGTAAAACATAAACTTTAAGTTTCCCACAATATACATTGTAACTGGACTCGGATGGTCTTCAATAGAGAGCTATTCTAACTAAACAGGGTAACTGGTATTTACAGAGTGAACCATCCACAAATCACATACCAATTGAAATGGGGGTTAACGTCCTACTGTTCTGCTCCAACTAGGCTGATGAAGACAGGCATCAGGGTGCTATGAGGGAAATTTTGCCCGGACAGCGGCAATGTGGCCTACTCTTATTTTGAATCCTAAATGTCAAGGGTTCTTTAACGTGCACGCTAATATGTACACTGCACCTCAGTTTTTTATACCATCCAAACGACTATACGTTTTTCCTTGCCAGGCCCTCCATAATAAACCAATGACAAGGGGGAACCATGCTGGAAAATCCTAATGAACTTTCTCGGCCAACACAGGGATCGAACACAGTACCTCCAGGTTAGAGAACCAACGTTTCTACTCACTGAGCCACAATGGTTCCCAAATCACATACCAGGCTTGAAGAGAAAGCCAGAAATCGGACCATATGATTTATTGCCATTAAATATAAATGATGAGAGTATTGATAATAATCTTATTAACCAACCTGATGTTGAATAATATCAGTAGGAGGGAATAGATCACCACAAAATTCACATGGTAACTGATCTTCAGCTAAAATCAAAATTTTATCAAGATTTTAAATATATGTAAAAATATACTGTTCTCAATTTAGTAGGGGAGAAAGAAAACAGATGGAGGTTTGTCAGGCCACATATATGCCCAACTCAAGCAAAGCTGGCTATACAAATTCTAAAATCATTGTCAATAACTACCACACAGTAAGTGGTAACAAATATATTATAAACTCTGTGCTATGCTTTAAAAGTAAAAATATAAAACCGCCACAGTTTATTAAGTAAGTTATAATCATGGTTAAAGATGCATTATGTAAGATTTAGATAAAGAGCTGGACGTTCTTGCTATTATAGTTCAAACTTAAATATATAAATGAAGATAGGTTGCCAGGCAACGAAACATACACCCACAGCAGCTAAATCGTCCGGGCAGTCAACAAATGTTGTCGCATATTTTTACTTCTTTCGGTAATGAAACATTTATAATACACTCATGAAGTAATTATCAGAAAACCATAAGAATTTGTTTGGTTTTTAATATCATGGATTTAGGTGTTCAAGTCATAAAAATTCATTGAAAATCAATATACTTGTTCGTCTCAAGCTCTTAAACTCTGTGGCCATAACTCTGGCAGTAGGCCTAATTATCGAAAATCGCTGAAAATGAATAGACTTCTTTGTCTTGACCTTAAACACTGTGTATAAATTTAAATTCAATCAGATATTAACTTTAGCCTCTAGAGCATCCACAAGATTTTTCAAAGTGATCAAGGGCCATAACTCTGGCAGTAATTATCTGAAATCGTTAAAAATCCATAGGATTCATCGTCTCATGACCTTAAACACTGTGTATAAATTTAAAGTCAATCGAATATTAACTTTGACCTGTAGAGCGTCCACAAGATTTTTTGAAGTGATCAAGGGCCATAACTCTGGCAGTAATTATCGGAAATCGCTTAAAATCACTAGACTTCTTCGTCTCATGACCTTAAACACTGTGTATCAATCTGAAGTCAATCGGATATTAACTTTGGCCTGTAGAGCATCCACAAGATTTTTCAAAGTGATCAAGGGCCATAACTCTGGCAGTAATTATTGGAAATCGCTGAAAATCAATAGGCTTCTTCGCTTCATGACCTTAAACACTGTGTATAAATTTAAAGTCAATCGGATATTAACTTTGGCCTTTAGAGCGTCCACAAGATTTTTTGAAGTGATCAAGGGCCATAACTCTGGCAGTAATTATCGGAAATAGCTGAAAATCAATAGGCTTCTTCGTATCATGACCTTAAACACTGTGTATAAATTTAACGTCAATTGGATATTAACTTTGACCTCTAGAGCGTTCACAAGATTTTTTGAAGTGATAAAGGGCCATAACTCTGGCAGTAATTATCGAAAATCGCTGAAAATCAATAGGCTTCTTCGCTTCATGACCTTAAACACTGTGTATAATTTAAAGTCAATCGGATATTAACTTTAGCCTCTAGAGCGTCAACAAGATTTTTTGAAGTGATCAAGGGCCATAACTCTGGCAGTAATTATCGGAAATCGCTGAAAATCAATAGGCTTCTTCGCTTCATGACTTTAAACACTGTGTATAAATTTAAAGTCAATCGGATATTAACTTTAGCCTCTAGAGCGTCCACAAGATTTTTTGAAGTAATCAAGGGCCATAACTCTGGGAGTAATTATCTGAAATCACTGAAAATCAATAGGATTCTTCGTTTCATGGCCTTAAACACTGTATATAAATTTAAAGTCAATCGGATATTAACTTTAGCCTCTAGAGCGTCCACAAGCAATTGTGGACGCCGGACCGACGGACGGACGGGGGCGATAACAATATACGACCACATTTCAATGTGGGCGTATAAAAAATGAATATATTGAAAATTTCATTCAAATTACTTTATTCTGAGCGAAGTTATGACTGATTGAAGATATAGCATAGATCGTTTATTATTGTAGCAATGGTACTTGACAACCAAGACTAAGCCTTGATTGTCAATTTTATCATCAAATTTTTAAATCTCACGGATGTTTAAATCCATTTATATCTCGGCGATCCAATGGTCTACAGAGTTGATTATTGGCTTGTTATGTTAATAAACATCTAAATAATGATTTGAAGCCAAAAAAAGAAAGACGTGCAATAGACAGATTTAGCTCTTACATAATGCATCTTAATACAAACTACATGTTCGTAATCTTCAATTTTCTGGGTATTTTGATACACACCGTTCAAAAAAATTTGGTTCAAGGGTTAGGAAATGAAAAATACTACATGTATAATAATATCTATTCTAAAAACTATATTCTAGAACTACTACAGCATGCCATGACAATATTAAGTCACTGACCATAATATCGGTTGATATTAGAATTACTTCCAGACTCTTCTGTGCCTGATAGTACTGGTGGATTACTTTGTTTCTGAATGGTTTCCACATACTGGGTAAGATCATCTGTAGGGGTTTGTGAGGCACTAAGTAACTGTGACAGCATACTGTCATAATTTGTATTAGGAGGACTATTTGACAACTCTAAATATAAATAATAAAAAAAATTTCAAAGTTTGAATTTTTAAAAATGAGTTCTCATTAGGTAAAGGTTGTGAGAACATGGAGAGAATTAAGCGTCCAGTAGACTCAGTGATCAAACAGTGGAAAACGATGTTGGCAGAGGATAATCCAAGAATTTACTTAGGCTTTGATATTTATGGTAAAGGGACAGCAACTAACGACAAATACAAGCTGAAATGGACTCGATCAATTCAAGTTATAAAAATAAATTATCATGGCAAAGGGAAGTTGTTTTCCGCCAGTTCCGATTAAAATGTTTTGAGAGAGAGAGAGAAATGTGGTTTAACATCCACTCGACACAAATTAGATAATTCCCGGACTAACATATAGTTCAATTTTATTTCAATAATTCACTTGTGCATAGGGGGTCTTTAGCAGTGGGAGGAAACCGGAGTACCCGGACAAAACCCCCGCGGTTGGGCAGGTGACCCTACTCCCTGTCACATACAACCGGGGAATTGAAACCATGTCAGCTAACTCAATGACAGACCCTATGATACAACACGCATGCTCTAACCATTCGGCCATCCAACGCCCCCATGTTATGAGAGTGATTTGAAGCAAACTCTTGATAGATAAATTAGTATGAATATGTTTTTAGTGCAAATATATAATCAACAAAAATTGTTAGCTATGTGAACTTTCTAAAATATTGGATGAGACATCAGGTGTTCAAGAATGAGAAAGCACATACTGCATAGGGTATAACATACACCGCTACTTAAAACTCATTGGAGCGAAGATGTGAGTAAGAAATATGCCAAGTTTTAGTTTTCAAAAAATCAATTCACTTTATTGTATCATATTTAGTCTTAATACCAGATGTCAACTATTGGATAACTATTGATTTACTACTCTAACTAACAAATTTTTTTTTTTTATTAAATTTCAAACTATAATAAAGATCAGTTAGAATATTAAAACACTGCACTTTACAAAATAAAACATGTACAGCAAAGCTTAGTATACACAAGGCAAATATTATACACTTTCAAACAGTCTCTGGTGATGAAAACATAAATAGATTGGAGCTTATAGCATGGAAAATCTGTTACATAAAATAATTAAGTTCAGGATAATTATTATGTAAAAAGTCTATCACTATCTTCATATTACTAAAAACGTTATAGTCAAACGAAATGAAATGAAATGGGGTTTAACGTCCTACTGTTTTGCTCCGAAACGTTATAATCAAATTCAGGGGCAAATAACTCACTTCTCAATCGGTTTGTAAATATACTAAAGGCTGCTGCTTTACCGTATTCTTCATAAGATTAGGCACACTAGTTTTTACCAAATACTGAAAATTTAATTCTATCTTGATCCATGCCATCAATGGATAAACAGACAAATTAATTCTACAGAGCACTATGCCTTAGGAGACTATTTTATTCAGCACACAATAATTTAGCAAACAAATGAACTAATATATGTATGTAATACTTATACAAACCATTCTGTCTGTTGACTTCAGATTTTCTGTTTGTTGTATTTTTACGTGTTCTATCAGACGTATTATTTCTTAATCTGTCTCCACGTCTGCCAAAACTTGAAGCACCCACAAATTGGTTATCTGAACCAATCTGTACGAAAGATGGCACCTCAGCATCATCTAAGAATCTATGAATTTCATCGAAAGAGAAAGGATCGTTAAAGTCTGTCATGCGAGTAAGATAGGCGGGTGCCGCAGGCGGAGGTTTAGGTGTTGGGTATTGACATCCACTTTCTAAATGTAGAGTAAAATCTTTAATCATGATGTACTGATCACATGATGCACACGGTTCTGTCCTTGTTCCGCAGTAACTTTCGTGATCTGGTAAATCACACTGAGGCATCTGTAGTTCACAGAAGGCACAATTTTTAGGCTTGCTCATACATTCGCTTTCCTAAAATTTTGCAAATAGAAAAAAAGATAGCTGCATATATCATAGTTTAAATTTACACAGAAAAATAAAATGAAAGATTCAATGAAAACATAACTGACAGCACTTGCTGCAGTGTTAGAATTCCCAGTTTTCTTCCATCAAAATTTTCGTTGATAAAAATAATTTTAGATTGCATATTATGTCAATCCCTTAACAAAACATGTTCTGCTAACTACATTAATGTAACATTCCCAATTACAGCATGGGATGATAATTAAGTTTAAAAATTTGGTACATTAAGTTTAAATTAATTCACCTACCTTATGATGCTCTAATTTATTTTTTTCTACTTTCATTTTACAGAGATCACAACCAATCTCTGCATGAAAACTTTCAAAATGTTCTTCTTCTTCTGATCTTGGAACAGGCTCATTACATTTCTTACATAAAATAATATGTCTCTTACAGTGCATTTCATGCATAACAAAGTTGGTGGAAGCAATATTTTTCTTGCTGAAAAAGACAACAAAGGTACAGTATAAAAATTAAATTTTAAGTTCTGAATGAATTAAAAAAAAACCCAAACAAATAGGCCCTACTAAGCATTACAACCCAAGATAGTAGTAGCTCTGATCAAATCTCTTCTAACTTTGCCACATACACAGCCGTTGTTGTTTGTATTTTAGAGGAGAGCTGAAAAAAGCTCCTCTTAATGAACAAATTGAAAAAATTGCTCCTCTAAAAAAGCTCTCCCAGTTTCGCAGGGCTCTATAAAAGTTGAGTGTGCCTGCGCACACACTTGGAAATGTGCCTGCAGGGTCATACTGAAACACAGGGATGTAGCCAGGATTTGGTGAGTGGTGTAAAAATATATTTGGCAAGCGGAGCGAGGCAAAAATTTTTTGGGAGGGGGGCGTGGTCTTTTATGAAAATTAAACCCTTCTTGGTGTATTTTCAGAGCATCTGCTGCCTTTCGTATTTGGTTCAGTGCAAATCAAATTTCCATTTATATATTCAAATTTTACCAAATTCACTTAATTCTCATCAATGATACAGGGACCTAAAAACTTTTTGACACCACCCGACCGAACATAAAATTTTCCCGCCCCACTCTGTTTCTCTGGATAGATAAGTTGAGGACCTTTCGGTATTTGTTGTTTTGTTGGGTTTTTTTCAAATATTACTTTATTACTTTGAGATTAAAAATTAAAACGATTCTTAAGTTGAGGACCTTTCGGTATTTGTTGTTTTGTTGGTTTTTTTTCAAATATTACTTTATTACTTTGAGATTAAAAATTAAAACGATTCTTAAAACGGTGTTTGTGTTTTATAATTTTATTTGAGTACAACGAATTATGACAACAGGTAGATATTGATAATTAAAACATGTTGTATTATTTGACTTGTTTGTAAAGTTGTTGTACGTGTCTCACGAATATTATTATTATTACGATGGAATGAGAATCAGGTCAGGCAGAAACTGAGAAAGCTCTCATCGTCCTCCTAGTCCTACTCTCGGGCCGTAGCAAATCCACGGTCAACACAGGTAAGAAATAAAATAAGAAACATCGTGAAAATTTGCAGGCACGTGTTGGACAATTGCGACATTCAAACCTTTAACATTGGAGTGCCGTAAATTGGACTGGGTGACCTATTTACGGCAATATAAAGACCGTAGAATAATTGTAAAATGAATATACCTAGGCCTACACATCTTCTAAGTATAAATAAACAAAATACCAATACATCTTTCTTTAAACTAATTTGGGATGATAGGGTCTACTACGGCACACAAAATTAAATTATGCCGTGACAGACATGGTTTGCGTACGTCGGCTTTTACCATGGCTTTGCCGTTTAATTGCCGTGGTAAATTTCGAGCGCCAAGTTTTTTAAAGCAAATGTGCCTGCGCACGCCGTGCGCATGTGCACGGAAATATCGATGCCTGCAGTTTCGATAAGAAGAATGATTTAGAAATTAAGGAGAGTTATGAGAGTGATTAGTTGTGTGTATGGGAAATGGCTCTGAAGATTTATTAAGGGTTGCAAACAGTGGGAAACTTTCCGGAATTTTAAAATCTATTTTTAGAACTGAAAAATAATAAAATTATAATTATTTACTGGAATTTCCTTTTTCTTTTTTACTTTCATCTATATAAACTATAAAACTTATTTGGTCAGGTACAAAACTCGGAAAACTCGGATAGTTCGGAAAATATTTTCCGACTTTTCCCCTCTCCGAGTTTTATGAATTGGCTCGATTGAAAACACAAAACTCGGAAAACTCGGAAAAAATTGTCCGAGTTTTTGTTTCAAACTGAAAAGTCGGAAAATATTTTCCGAGTTTTCTATTCAAACAAAAAAGTCGGACAATTTTTTCCGACCTTTCCGAGTTTTGTGTTTTCAATCGAGTCAAATCATAAAGCTCGGAAAGAGAAAAAGTTGGAAAATTATCAAAAATATTATTTTTTTTAAATTGCCGAAAGTAGTTGTAGTAATACATCTATTTAATAAGTTGGACATAATCTGTAACTTTTCAGTTATATTTTAACCAAAATAATGCAATATGGCAGTTATAATAGAATATCCGAGTTTTCCGAGTTTTGTATTTTGGCCTATACGAAAACACAAAACTCAGAAAACTTGGAAAGTGGTCAAAAGGTATCAAAATAAAATATTTTTCATTGGATATGGTGTGTAAGGGTTGTAATATGTACAAAGGAACTCAACTCGCCTTTACGGAGATAACTTGGGTGAGATCGAAAACTTGGACATCCAAAAGATGAAATGATTTATACGAGGTGTGTATATAATTTCGATTTGACACATGGCCCAGAGGCCGAACCTGCCCCGTTCTCCCATACTATATACGTCGTGTCGAGAATAGGCCTACCTAACTTTTAGAAATAAAATTAGCGAAAGGAGTAACACATCTATTTAATAAGTTGGACATGATCTATAACCTTTTCAGTTAGATTTTAACCAAAATACTGCAATATGGCAGTTATAATTAAATATCTGAGTTTTCTGAGTTTTGTATTTTCGTATAGGCCAAAATACAAAACTCGGAAAACTCGGATATTTAATTATAACTGCCATATTGCATTATTTTGGTTAAAATCTAACTGATAAGGTTATAGATCATGTCCAAATTATTAAATAGATGTGTTACTATCACTTAATTAACCAATTTAGATATTCTCGACACGTAGTAGGCCTACTGCCTGTGATGTCTGTCTCGATGCAACAAAAACTTGAGTGGGCTACACTAAATAACAAGTTATTCCCGTTAAGGAGACATCCGCTGTATAATAATCATAATTATCCAATGAAAAATATTTTATTTTGATATCTTTTTGCCACTTTCCGAGTTTTCCGAGTTTTGTATTTTCGTATAGGCCAAAATACAAAACTTGGAAAACTCGGATATTTAATTATAACTGCCATAGTTATAGTTTTGTGTTTTCAATCAAGCCAATTCATAAAACTCGGAGAGGGGAAAAGTCGGAAAATATTTTCCGAGTTTTCCGAGCTTTCCGAGTTTTGTACCTGACCAACTTATTTAACCATGTTAGTTGTGTTCTAAATGGTAAAACTAACGAGATAAATTTATGTAAATTCTGCTCTCAAAGGTATACAAAAAAATGCCAGTGTTGGGAATTTTCAAATCTATTTTTAGAACTGGAAAGTACTAAAATTATAATTAGTTACTTGAATTTCATATTTTCTCTTTCATTTTCATCTAAATAAACTATTAAAGAACAATATTGGTGCCAGTCATTGTCACATATGTGATAGAACCAATCTGATTAACATACAGATCTATATTTCGTTTCGTTTTTTTATACTTTCGATGGCCTACACTACATGAAGATCTGACAAGTTATAGCGATAGGTCACGTCAGGGGTCAAAAGACCGACTTATGACCTATGACGTCAGACATTTGATTAACCAATCAGCATAGATGTTACTAGTGGATTACCCACAGTTCCGTGAAAAACACGCTTAAAGCTTGCCGTAACAGACCGTTTCATTGGCCTATCCCTGACACCATTCAGAACACGAGTTAAATAACAACTCTTCCAGATCCAAGTGTAGTAAAGACAAGTGAAACGAAATTTTGAACTATAAAAACGAAACGAAATAGGATCTGTGTTTTAACCAGATTGGTGTTAGAGCTGGTTAAACACATTCCAAATATAATTTTAACAGAGAGATCATTGCTACGATAGCTGAGTGATACAGGTTTCCTGAATCGAAAGTGACGAACGCCAAAGGAAAACATGGGTCATCTCTCTGTATAACTGACTGATGTGACGAGTGATAACGGATATACGGGTGAATTTCTGCTCACTAATAATTCCTTCGAAGACCAAAAGTTGTTGTGTGAGATTGTGAGACGATATCTGACAATTCATAAAAAGAATTGACTGCCACTAGATAAGAGAACACAAAAGAAAAACAGAAAAAGTCTGTGCATTACCATGTTTTTATAAGGTATATAATGAACATAAACAAGGGAACGTGCAGACTATTTCTATTTTTCTCGTGTTCTCTTATCTAATGACATTCAATTACTTTATTGAATTGTCAGGTATCCTCTTACAGTCATCCCATATAACATGATATTCATGAGGATTAATCTGAACCTGAAATCTCCCTTTTATCCACCGATGATGATGTAGATAATGATTTTGAAGATGATGAAATGGCAGAATTACCTAACTTTGAGCATTAATTATAGAATGTGTAACCTGTGTATGAACAATTTAACAGAACTATCTCATTATTAGTTATTAGATTTTAGTATATATGACATATCAGATAATATGTTTTGTATCTTTTAGTTATTAAAATATTACTGTCACTTGCAACTCATTAATAGTGACACAGGTTTCAATTTATGACACCAAATTGAAAATTCCCAAAATTCCCGGGAAATTTACCCTGTTTGAAAATTCCAGGGAATTTTGCAACCTACTGAAGAACAATAACAGTATGTTAGGTGGTCATTCCTGGATTCATAAATGGTAATAAACCCCCAATGACTTTGTAAAGGAGAGCCATTTTCAATTTTAAGGAGAGCGAGAAAAACCTCCCCTCGGTCGACATTCAGGTGAGCGGCAGGCGCTTGAGAGCGATCGCTCGTCTTAAAAAACAATGACTGCATACATGTAACTGACAGATGCCAATATGAGTTTTCTTTAATGTTACAAAAAGTAAGAATACATATAGGAACATTCCAGAATTAAATCGTATCAAAGCAACAATGGAATCGAAACTTTAAACAAAATCAATTACTCTTGTTTCAATCTTTTATACATCACAATTCTACTCATAATGGTAGCAGTACTATGACTGAGGTTAACAGAACTGTGACAAAATCCATTTTTGTGTTATTAGATTACAATTCTGTCAATTCTCAACATTCCGTATTCACACTCAAATACTCCTAACTTATGTGCAGTACAATTTTCACATGTAACATGTAGGTGAAAGAGATATATACTTTAATATGTTCAAAAAGTTTGACAAGCACCATGTTGCTCAACAACACTATCATATCACATGGATACAAAAACAATCCCAATTAATCTTATCTTGATTTTGCCATTATAAAATATCTCTTTCAAAAAGAATTAATTACCAATTATTGCAATACTGTTCATCTTCAGACATCTTAGGTTTTTTTTTCACCTTGTTCTAGTATATAACTGCTACCTCCTTGTTCTTTAAACACTCTGAAAAATCAAACATAAGCATGGGTAAACTAGTTGTTCGCAAATTAGTGGTGATCTAGGCCTACTTCGAGGTTGTATTAGAATCTGTCCATCAATTTGCGTTAAAGTAGCTACATCTCTAACTCAATATCATCCAAAGTCTTGGACATTGAAAACATGTACTATTTGTCAATTTAAATCAACATTGATGTTGTGATCTTACCAGGAAAAGATGGGCTTCTGATATCCAACATTTAAGACACAATAAACATTTTACCATTGGTACACGAATCGTGTACCATAATGCATTTCAGTGCTATTTGTAACAAGAGACCCGAAGAATGAGGCTAGACACATTCCACAAGTCATGTCAAACGGTGACCACATTTTCTCATCTGGAGAGTACCGGTATGCGCAATAAATGCTATCAGACTGGACTGGAATAACCAGACGCTATAAATTAGCATTCGATTGAGACTTCTGGCGTAGTTCGCCAAACATAACTGATTAGAAATTAGATTAAAAACAGAAACGATTGAATGTTAATCAGTTTATATACATTCGTATTACATCATTATGTTGCGACCCATTTGTCACTTGTGTCAATTTCTAGCTCCTTTAACAACATACATTATCGGTACTTTACCCGAGGTTATATTACACCGATGTTCATTTTATAGCCTGAATGAGTGATGAACAGATCTAGCCCTAAATTATAGGAAAAATTCAGTTTACTAATATTTGCTTGAATATGATCGACTACACTAGATCTCGATGTCGGGTAGTCATCCCATGATTTCTTAATTTCAAATTGAAAGACACCTTGGTATATTTCAGCAATATTGCTTGATTTGTCCACCATCTAAAATTACAAAATTTTCTTTACCAGTATGCAAATAAGTCATACCAGAATTAAACAAAATTGACAAGTCATTATTATATCCTGTCTACTTTCAGTTTCGGAAAATTCCCCTAAAAAATTTCTTTAACTTTTTGGACAAATATTCTTAACAAATTACAACAAAAATACAGTAATTTTGTTTATCATTATTAATATTTGTTTCGGAAAGAGTTTAATAATCTAGGTTATAGATCTCCAAGAAGAGTAGGCCTACCAACAAATAAAACTAAATACCAACAAACATTTAATATTGACATGACAGCCAGCATAACTTCCTGTTAATCAGGAGATATCAACCAATTTCATATAAAACAATTCTATTGGTTGATATTTCACTATTAGTCTAAGCTTGCTATTGATTGGTACCGACTAAAGAAGAACAGATAACTGATTTGTACTTCCTGTGGAATTCACGTGTATTCAGAATTTTAAGATTTTATTTTTTATTCAAAATAAATAGCAAAAAATCAAACAGCTTGTATGGCATCCCCAAACTTGAATGATGCCCAGTTAAAACTGGTGACAGACTTAGAGCTGGAGATGATGGCTGATATGTATAATAGGTATAAAAACAACAAAAATAGTTTTGCGTGGACTACTTTCGGTTTAGCATTGACATTGGTGAAAAATCTTTAGGTTAGGTTGTATAAAGTCTGATCTGAACCTAAAATAAATTGATCAAATTCATGATTTTTTAGCTAAAATTACTAATTATGTATCAATGGAGTCCCTGTGTTATTTATATAAGTGCATTGATTAAACTTTTATAACTGGTCAATGTCAATCTCAGACTCAATGAATGAATGATGTAATTTGAATTTATTGTCCGTCCCTAGTTAGTAACTGTCCATCCGGCTGTCACACTTTTTGGGACACAATAACTCTCCTTCTAATTGAGATAGAATGTTCAAACTTGGTGTTTATAGGTGAATACCTTGATGGATTTCGATGAATACGATTGACTAAGTTCGATCATGAGCATGTTCTGCTTAGGGTAAGCAGATCAGAGCGATAGGTAATTTGATTGGTCATGGTTTTGGAACACAATAACTCTCCTTCTAGTTCTAATTGAGGTACAATGTTCAAACTTGGTGTAGGCGTTCATTAGGTGAATGTCTGGATGGAGTTCGACAATATAAGCCATTTGATTGGCTGATGCTTTGGAACACGATCACTTTAATTCTAATTAAGTGAGAGTGACAAAACTTAGTGTATAGTTTCATTACATCAATACCTTGACTAAGTTCGATAATGAGCATTTTCTGCTTAGGGTAAGCAGAGTGATAAGCAATTTGATTGGTTGAGACTTTGGAACACAATAACTCTCCTTCTAATTGAGGTACAATGTTTAGACTTGGTGTAGTCGTTCATTAGGTGAATGCCTTGATGGAGTTCGACGATGTGGATTTTCTGCTTAGGGTAAGCAGAGATAAGCCATTTGATTGGTTGATGCTTTTGAATAACTTCATTTCTAATTAAGTGAGAGTGATGATTCGATAATGTGCATTTTCTGCTTAGGGTAAGCAGAGCGATAAGCAATTTGATTGCTTGAGACTTTGGAACACAATAACTCTCCTTTTAATTGTGGTACAATGTTCAAACTTGGTGTAGGCATTCATTAGGTGAATGCCTTGATGGAGTTCGATGATGAACATTGTCTGCTTACGGTAGGCAGAGATAAGCAATCTGATTGGTTGATGCTTTGGGACACGATAACTTTAAGTCTAATTAAGTGAGAGTAATGAAACAGTGTCTAGTTTCATTACATCAATACCTTGACTAAGTTTGATAATGAGCATTTTCTGGTTAGGGTAAGCAGAGTGATAAGCAGTTTGATTGGTGGAGACTTTGGAACACAATAACTCTCCTTCTAATTGAGATAGAATGTTCTCATTAGGTGAATGTCTTGACCGAGTTCATTGATTAACATTTCCCACTAAAACTAATCAGAGCTAAGCAATTTGATTGGTGGATGCTTTGGGATAACTTTGATTCTAACTGATGGAGAGTGATGAAATTTAGTGTATAGTTTCACTAATGGGTACTTCAAATTTTTGACTGAGTTTGATCATGAATATTTTATACTTAGACTAAGTATAGATAATCAGTTTGATTGCTCAATATTGAATATTCCGGAATTATCTTCTGTCTAACCCAAAAATAGTGACAATCTAGTGAAAATGGGGATTTGGGGCTAGAACACATGCACCAACTGCATGAGAAAATGTTTCAACCAACCATGACAGCTGAAGGATATTAGTTGAGTTTGTTATGTATCGATTCGGGGGGTTGGATGGCCGAATGGGTAGCATGCGCGCGCTGTATCATACGGTCTTTCATTAAGTCAACTGGCGGGGTTTCGATTCCCCGGTTGTAGGGTCGCCTGTCCAACCTCGTGGGTTTTCTCTGGGTCCTCCGGTTTCCTCCCACTGCTCAAGACCCCTATACGCGCAAGCGAATTATTGAAATAAAATTGAACCATGTGTTAGTCCCGAAATGACCTAGTTTGTGTCGAGTGGACGTTAAACCCCATTTCTCTCTCTCTCTCATGTATCGATTCTACTCACACCAACAACATTGTCGGGACTGAGAGGGCTGAATTCCTTGTCACTTGATTGCAATTCTGTCAATTCTGAATGTTCTGGACTGACAGTCGCGCATCCCCTTAATGATATCTATAAACATTGATCTTCGGTAAGTTAAAGGAGTCCAGCCTCACTGGCTCCAGAGTCTACCACATATATGGTACTTCTCAAAATAAAGGAGATATCTCAGATGTATCAGTGAGTAAAACTGATTAATTTTGGAAACCAACTTATTGACTTACTAGCAATAGAAAGTTACATTTAGTGACATCTTTCCACTATACTTTTGTTTTTGCAGCCGAGGTGGCTCAGTGAGTAAGATGTTGGCTTACTAAACTGGAGGTCCCGTCTTTCGCTCCCGATGTTGGCCAAGAACATTCATCAGGATTTTCCGGTGGGGTTCACCCATGTTATTAGCGTGCACGTGAAAGAACTATTTACAGTTGGAATTCGAAATATGAGTAGGCCATAGTGCCGCTATCTAGGCAAATTTCCCTTATAGCACACTGTATGATGTAAGACGATCTTCCTTAGCCCAGTCAGTGCAGAACAGTAAGACATTAAACCCCATTTCAATTCATTTCATTTTTGTTTTTTTCCATCGGACAGTAAATAGTATTTGCTGGTTATTGCTGTGTTCTAATTTGGCAAAGTTTACAAACTCTACTGAATGGTCGTGTTTATCAGATCACTCAATGAAACACTGATTAGTTTGAGAACTGGTTCAACGCCACCTACATGTAGATAGATCTAAATCATAATAGTTATTTTTGTATATTTCAGAATGACTAATGCTTGTCAGAAGAAATGTATACCACCAAAGTATAAAGATCCAGAATTATCAAAAGGAGAAGCTGTTTGTCTAGATCGATGTGTCGCAAAATATTTAGAAATTCACGATAGAATTGGCAAAAAATTAACAAACTTATCTCAACAAGATGAAGCAACAATGAAAACTATGCAGCAAGCTCAAGGACCATCTTAGTAATAATTTTGTAAATTTAGGTTGTTGAATATCATTTATATAGTTGCAGTCAGCTGAGTATCATATAAAAGTGACCATTTAAGATATTATTAATTATAGAAATAATACATTACACATTGCACATCATAATTTTACAAAGATAATTTGTTAATCATTTTAAACAATGATGTTTGTCATAAAACACAAGACCTTCAACAAGTATAAGTTAACTTCTTTATTTGAAATCGTGACATGTTCGCATAGATTAAGTACTATAATTAATTAAAAATTATCAGCATAATAACTCATTTTACAAAAAGTGAATATATTGGAGTTCATTTTAAACTTTCGTATTTTTACATTTTACAGTAGGCCATTATTAGTTTCAAAATGTAAAAATGCATTATAATTTTTTGACAGGCAAAATTTAGCCGTATTATTTTAGATATGTTTTTAGGATATTGAATTCTAATATAATTGTAATATTGATAATTGTAAAAAGATGTTTAGAATATGAATCACTATGTAGATTTGTGTGAGTTTATATAAAACTTATTCTTTCCTAATTTTATTCAATTTAATTAATGTCTCATTTTCAGATATTTAACAAAAATTAAAATACTGAATCTTTTCAGTCTGTTATCAATATGATTTTGATTAGTCTGTCATCTAATTAATCACCTTTGATTATTGTGTTGGGTTGGGTTGAGGGTGGGGGATGGGGGGATGTTTGACAATGCCACTGACTTATGGTATAACTACTCTGTACTTTATTTTATGAGAGAGAACAAGAGAAAGTATAATGTGACTGGTGATAGAACACATTTTACACTGCAGGGTACAAACAAAAATTGTCTGTTCTGTATATGAAGTGTTCTTCTAAGGATTTATTAGCGGAAACATACATGTAGCATAGTTATTGTTCGTATATATGAAGCAAATGTTTTATAGTGCATGAAGTTTGATTTGATGTGAAAATGTGCAAGTATATATTAGAGTAAGATAGATTATATGAAATTAATGGTCAGTATGTATAACAATGTAATAAATCCACAATAGATTATTTTGTTATTTATATTTGGAGGAAACCATTTCACCATAGAAATAGATACTGTTTGATTTAAAATAATGTTCTATCCAAAGATATATCTAACGTAATGTACCAACCAGGCTAATGAAGACAGGCATTTTTTTACGCCCATATGGAAGTGTTGTTGTATATTGCCTCTGTACCTCTGTCTGTCCGTACATTGTCCCCAATTTCTTGTGAATGCTCTACAGACTACATTTATCATGTGATTATTTCAAAATTGATATATGTTGTTTACATCCGTGAGATGAAGAATCGTATTTAATTTCAATAATTTCAGTAAAGTTCTTCTGGAGTTATGGCCCTTGTTTCACTTTGTTGAAAGTTATCATCCGATCTGTATGAAATTTATATGCGTCACTTTAATCAGTGAAACGAAAAAGACTATTGATTTTCAGCAAATTCTGTTAATTATGTCTTGAGTTATGGCCCTTGTTTCACTTTGTTGAATCCTATTTAATTTCTTGTTTCACTTTGTTGAATCCTATTTAATTTCAATAATTTCCGTAAAGTTCTCCTGGAGTTATGGCCCTTGTTTCACTTTGTTGAAAGTTATCATCCGATCTGTATGAAATTGATATGCGTCACTTTAATCAGTAAAACGAAGAATCCTATTCCGTCAATTACTTTTAGAGTTATGGCCATTGTTTCACTTTCTTGGACCTTATGAAAGCCCTTACGACAAAAGTTATCATCGGATCTGTATGACATTTGTATACATCATTTAAATTAGTAAAACAAAGTTTTCTATTGAATTTAGTTATTTCAATTCTAGAACTTCTAGAGTTTTGGCCCTTGTTCCACTTTGATAGACCTTGTGAAAGCTTGAACAACAAAAGTTATCCGATCTGTATGAAATTTATATATGTCATTTAAATTAGTGAAACAGTGAAGCTAATTGAATTTCAGCTATTTCTGTTAATTACTTCCTGAGTAACATGTATGGCCCTTGTTTCACTTTTGTGGACCTTATGAACACTTGAATGACAAAAGTTATGATTCTATCTGTATGAAATTTATATGCATTATTTGAATTAGTAAAATGAAAAAGCCTGTTGAATATCTACAATTTCTGTAAATTACTTCCAGAGTTAACAGGCCCTTGTTTTAAATTGTAGAACCTTGTGAACCCTCAAAGAACGAAAATTATGATCTGTATGAAATTGTCTTAAAAATGCCACCCATTATCCCACACAAGAATAAATATGCGCAACCCTTGTCGGATGTCTGGACAATTTAGCTGCTGTTGGCCTATGTTTTGTTGCCTGGCAACCTATCTTTGCCTACTCTTCATCGAAATCTGTAGCACTACCCTGCTACACATCTATTGTTTTGGCCTGATCATCTAGTGGTTTTATTGGATACTATTGTAACATACTTTTGGACGATACACATATCATATACATGTATGTACTGGAATGACAATAGATTTTTCTACATGTTTTATGTCAAAGCAGTATAAAAACAGTCTACATTACAATACCTAATTAACATGTCTTTCTCTCAACCCCACTCCTATAAAATAAACCAGACCACTACATCCTGGCTCTCTCAGAATAAAATGGTCATCTGATTATTCAAGCCCTGGTTTTGCTCTTTTATAGGTGCCAAATCCCTAATTGCTTATGTCATTGACTGATCACAGTATTAAATTCCCAAAAAGGAATGGACATAAACGATACCTTGCATACCGGTGGGGATTATTATCCAATTTTGTCAACAAAATATGATATGTTTATGACCATGAAAATTGTAAATGACCAACATGTTTATTAATTGTTAGATCATTAATTTTTATGTATCATACATGTATAGCATACATTAATTTTTATATATGCTATATTTCTTGATTATGAGGTCACAATATTGTTACAGTATTGTTAGAAATCCAAACTATCAAACGTTCTTTTATGTGCCCGCCCATGAGTACACAAGTGGGCCTCTTTTTATACGCCCACATTGAAATGTGGTCATATATTGTCGTCACCCCTGTCCATCTGGTGTCCACAATGGCGATGCTCTAAAGGCTTAAGTGAATATCCAATTGACTGTAAATTTATGCACAGTATTTAAGGTCATGAGACGAAAATTTCCGATAATTTCTGCCAGAGTTACGACACAAATTTTATAGAGACGGTCAGCAGCAAAAAATAGTACATTGAACTGCATATACTTTATCACAGATATAAAGACATAGAATATTGTATGTACTGTTTATTGTTAGCTTTATACATTTAAATTAATATACAGGGGCCTATCAAATGATTCTAGTAAAGAGTATAGTTGGCAGGCTTGTTTTGATTACATATGTATATCCTGTTTATGTCATCTGCAGAGAATGTTGCGAAATTTTCAGTTCATCATTTTTGGACTGATATTTCTTTAGAGATTCGATATATATACAATATTGTAGTTGGCCAACGATGATCTAAGGCTACAAATCTGATCTGATCGTAACATTGTTTTGTCGAGGAAGTGTTATTAAAGTGTATTAATGAATATCACATTTTTACAACAGTAGGTCCTTTATGGTCATAAAAGTCTAGTCCAATACGCTGAGAAATATTTGAATCACAGAGAGGATAAACTTGTTCACTGGGCGTAAATATTTTCCACAGCCCTTCTCTTAATAACACTTCATGTTCTTGATGAACAAATTCGGTAATGTCCTCTATTTTCACCAACCAATCACTTGATAATTTACGTAATGTCTGTAAATGAAAATTAAAGAAAACATTTAGAAATTAATGTGGTTGTGGGTATTGATAGGGGTGATTTTAGGAGCTTGCAATTCAGTCAAACAATATAATAGGTAAGTAAAACGTTATATTAAAGATACATTATGGGAGATTAGATAAAGAGCTGGCAGTTCTCACTATAGGCCTAATAGTTAAAACTAGATTATTTAAAGGGAATTTGCTGAAAATTTCAGTCAAATTGATCCATTCTGAACCGAGAATTTAGCGATTGAATTTCAGGCCTAGCGTCGATCATTACTAAAATTACTAAAGTCGGTATGACAAAAACATAGTCTTGATTATCTATTTTTTGATTTAATCATCAATGGGCGTCGAGCAGCAGATCAGATTCCAATCCAGTAAATATCGCAGGCTAGTGATGACATCGAGAGTTGATTATGGCCTGGATAAGTTAATTAATGTCTATTTAATAATTTGGATAACATTTCAGGCCTAAAGAAAGACCTGCAATAGGCAGATGTAGCTCTTGTGTAATGTATGTTTAAGCCATTGATGAAAAGTTGTGGTTTGCCAAAATGTTGCATGGTCTCAAATCAGACGAGTATAAGTATTATATACTCTTCAAAAAAAAAGTAGGGGATATTGAAATGCAAATACCTATGCAGGTTGTGATATGATAAATAGTCATGGACACTTGACATGCTTTGAGAGTATGTTCACAGATGAAGAACTTATCGCCCCAACAGAACCACTGAGCTGCCCATGCGACACGCAATAGCACTATACACGCGTGGGAGGTGTTCATTGTCAAATTTGACACTTCAAGGAAGGGTTGATGAAAACTGTCGCTTGCTGGTTTATCCTATCCATGTTTGCTTTCCGAACGGTTCTTGCATAAGATTTACTGTTTAGCGTATCTTTGCTTTAGTGTGTTACGTTTAATTTGATCGGGAAACGTGTTCATCGACGTCACCGACAACACTGCAAGAATTGGCTGTGGAACTGCAAGAGGGGTGGGTCAGATTGACCCAAATCGTGATTGGACGGTTGATTAGGAGCATGCCACGACAAATTGCTGGATGTCTGAGGATTGGTGGAGCAATTAATCATTATTAAGACCAAAATCAAAAATGTCCATTTTCACTTTTGACGGTGTATCTCTTTGTGAGTGAAATGGGGCCGTCAGATAAGTCGCCCATATGAACTGTTTATGTTCATGTGTAGGCAATTAGCCTGTTATTAACATACACTAGTAACCTCTAATAAACACAGCAGTGCATTTTCGCAGTTTTGTATTGTTTCTGAATATCCCCTACTTTTTGAAGAGTATATATCATAACGCAGCAAAGTATAAAAGTGAACTGTTTATTTTGTTCAGTAACAATTACAATTGAAAATACTAACATTTTACTTTGTGATTAGTTAAACAAAAGGGCATAGAGTTTAATGTGATATTGTAGCCAAATTTATTATGGATGTTTATTTAAAAATAGAAATGCGTTCATGCTCACTTCTCCTTTAAGACCGAGTTGAATCGCTCGTCTTCCAAGTTCCTTTTCTCCTGTCGGAAGATGATCTGGATCCCATTGTAATCTAACTTCTATCTTATCTGATTCCAAACCTTTAGATTTCTGTAACTGAAAATGAAAATTAAAAATGTTCATGTTTTCAAAGCATTAGGTGTCTATGAGCTTATACACACCATACTGTTGGCTTTAGTACTCTCTGAACAGGGAGCCACAGTGACTCAGTGAGTAAGAAAAAGAACTGAAATGGGCTTTAAGGTCCTAATAAATATGGGCTTATGCCATACAGTGTGGTGGTGTTGATGCGGTTTTAAACGCTACAATCGTTATAATGCTCAACCTGTGTCAAACATATACCCTGGTTAAGATACGCTACAAATTCTCTCTAGCATCCTCCACACACCCAAAATTTCTCCACTGATCACACAACGAAATCAACATTAAGTGTATGTGTCATTGTGTGTCTATGGTACCCTGTTCCTCATGCAAAAACATGTGTCTCCACGGACTTGGAATGTTTCAAGCTATCTCCCAAATAAAGGACTAGTTTAATTAAACACCCATATGTAAATACAATTCCTCATAAAATGATATACAGTACCTTGGCTGTGTAAGCTTGTGATAAAATTTCTTCAAAACCGGTTCTAGAAATAGTTATAGCTAACACCCTTTGTTGGTTGACTTTTTTCGCCCATCCACACCTATACATCATCCATAAAAAGTTTGTTTTAATCCAAGACATTCTTGTAAAACTGTAGTCGGGGCCTCCAAAGCTATCAATGAAAAAAGACAAAACTGTGAATTGAAGTTGAAAATATGTAAAATCATCAACTCCGCAGCCCCCCCCCCCCATCAAACTCTAGACAAGCCCCTAGCTCCCTGAGAGAGAGAGAGAAATGGGGTTTAACGTCCACTCGACACAAACAAGGTCATTTTGGGACTAACATATGGTTCAGTTTTATTTCAATAATTCGCTTGCGCATAAGGGTCTTTAGCAGTGGGAGGAACCGGAGGACATGGAGAAAACCCATGAAGTTGGACAGGTGACCCTCTTGTCATGGGGAATCAAAACCACACCAGTTGACTCAATAACAGAACTCATGATACAGCGTGCACGTGCTAACCATTCGGCCATCCACCCCCCCACCCTAGCTCGCTGTAGTATTAATACTACACTACCCAACCAATGATATGTAACAATACTGTAGTTGTGGTTAGATAGTAATACTGTGATTCCGGGAAGATGAGTCTAGCATGTGTCTCAAAAACCTCTGATTTTTTGCGTCTCGTCAGAATGGCTATCTCGGCATAAATGGTTTAAATGTGTATGTTAGATCACAATTTAAGGTCTGTCATTTAGTAAAGTGGCTCGGTTTCGATTACCCGCTTGTACCTGACAAGGAGTAGGTCTACGGGTATTTCGGTTTCCTCAAACAGCTAAAGACCCTTTAATTACTAGTTACTTTAGCATATTTGCGTTACTAAAGTAACTATTTAATTACATGCAGGCGAATTATTGACATGAACATAAACACTGTGAAGGGGTATTACATGATATAAAATAAAATGTCAAAATGTGGTTTATGACTGTTTTTTTGCATCCCATTTCAAGTCGGTCAGGTTTTTTTTAACTGATCAAGGGTGATAACTCAGATCGAAATTATGCACATAGTCAGAGGAGGTGACAACAATAAACGATCCTATTTTTAATGTGCAGGGCGAATAAAATCTGACTTGCAATATTTCCTACCTTTTAAAAACAAATGAAGTAAGCTAGCTACTTACGTTTGATGATTGACAGCATATTTTGCAATTGATGGATTAAAAGCTTGATAAACAACAATGGTTTCTTGGTCAAACTGAGCTAAAATATGCTTTCCTTCAGTAGGCCAGATTCGTTTTTGTTCAGCATATAACTGGATCTTCAAGCTGGTTTTACTTTTTCTAGTCTCAATATCTGAGTTTTTATCAACGTCGTCTGCTTTTTGAACTATACCACCCTGTCGATCTAACCCAGAACATGCCATAACTAGTTCAGTATTATTTGAAGATCCGATTTTACAAAACTTCAAATAAGCTTAGGCACGCTTCTGATGTACAAAAATGAAATGAAATAGTTGACGTCGGGGTTTTTGTTAAAATATATTATTACACAGAAACGTGAAATCGCCGCACTTAAAAGTGCAAGATTGGGCTGTGTTACTAAATTTAGCGATGACATGAATTTCGCTGTGTATGGAAATAATCCCAACAGACGAGGCTACACCTTTGTTCTTCTGTGAATACCTCTCTTGAGCACATTGTTTGTCTTAATAGTGGTCAGGCTACACCAAAAGTCGGCTATCAAAGGGTAAAGAGAAAGGCTGAGAATCCGTTTTTTTCTACTCTAGTTATTATTGTAGCCCAGCGCAGACATGTGTTTTCTAGTTTATTTACGTCACGTGGTATTGCTATTAATAAACAGCTGATGACGCGAGATTTGTAAAAGCCTGCGAGATCTACTAGCAAAATGGCGTCGCGTAGCCATGTGGATGTCAATGAAAGAAGATTAAGACCGATTTATGGTAAATTTAACACCAAATGACTATTGAAAAACCCTAATTTAGTGCCAACGTTCTGTAAATTAAAAAAGGAGTATCAGGTTACCCCCTAGCATATTGTTAAGAGTTAATGAAATTAGTTTTTTCTTGCAAACACTGACAAAAAAGTATCTGATTTTTTTTTATTTCGACAATTAAATTTGCTTATCATGTTTTTGTAAATGGACTCGAGTGAGATCAAGTCAAGACCTCAACTGTTATGTCTACCAGTTTAATATAGGTTGATGAAGGATAACAGTTGTAATACACATATCTTCGTTTATAAAGCATAACGGTCGTTAGGATTTTACTCTTTTGACAGATCTGTAAAATAAACCCTCTCCATGCGCTCCAGAACTAGAAGCAAAACTTTAAACTAAATTAAATAGTAAATGAAGTTCCAATCGGAACGTTCTCTAGAGGGACAAAGTCCCAGTCCTTCACATTTGTAAAATTGTGCAGGAGCCATAAAAAGCTCCTGCCAATTTCAGAAATGAGAAAACAACCCCCGTAAAAAACTCTTCTTAATTTGCAGGAGTCTTTAATGACTCCTGTGAAGGAATGTTGAGCCTAAGGTGTGTCGGGAGGACCAGGAGCGAAAGCGCACCTTTAATGTGAAGGACTGAAGTCCTTTGACCGCTCCTTTGACCGTTACTTTTCACCACAAAAAAGCTTTTTTTAGCTCTACATATACCGGTTACAAAATAAGATCATCCTTCATCAAAAATTAATATATTTAATCAATAATTTAATACATGAATTACCTATTCCAAAAAAAGGGCGTCTCACTGTTGCATTGTGGGAGATCGGTGAGCAAACTCACTCGTAGACCGCCATTACTTTGCATTGGATTTCTCTGACCAAATTTCGAAAAACGCCGATTTTACGTTAATTGTAGTGATGGGGGATATTTCATATGATGTGATAGAGACACAGATGGTTGATGCACGTAAAGAATACCTCAGAAAGCACATTTTGAAGTATACAGATCGCAAAAAGGTAAAATTAAAACTTCAAAACAAACAGCTGTCAAAACTTAACCATACAACAAGACTAATAATAGTAATTAATATTAAAATATATAAATGAATAATACTGAACGTAATAAACATGGTTTTTATTAAGCATTCTTAATGTACCCTGTGCTATTTATTTCTATGCAACACTGTACACTCACAGTTTGAGTATTGACCTGCTAAATGTGACAGCGATCAGCTGATTGATAGGAAGGTTAAGTTTTGACAGCTGTTTGTTTTGGAGTTTTCATTTTACCTTTTTGCGATCTGTATACTGCAGAATGTGCTTTCTGAGGTATTCTTTACGTGCATCAACCATCTGTGTCTCTATCACATCATATGAAATATCCCCCATCACTAAAATTAACGTAGAATCTGCGTTTTTCGGAATTTGGTCAGAGAAATTCAATGCAAAGTAATGGCGGCCTACGATTGAGTTTGTTCACCGATCTCCCACAATGCAACAGCGACACGCCCTTTTTTTTGGAATGGGTGATTCATGTATACCATAAATGCATAAACAGCAAAATATAAAAGAATGATCAATCATGATCATGCACTACTAAAATTAAAAGTATAATACAATACAGTTAAACAAATCAGCAGATACATTTAATTAAACATTGTTCAATAATAACAACACATGAAAAATAAAAATGACATTTTTGCCAGCTGGCACGTTATGCTGGTGTCATAATATGTGTTTTATGAATTCCTAGTTTCCTGCTATAAATTATATATCTTTTTATCAAGATTGTTGTTATTATGTCATCGGTGGAGATAAGTTTAACTTCATTGCTGTTGTCAGTTGTGAGAGAAGTCGTACTGCCGTTACGGGACTTGTGCTCGTAATGGCAGACAAATTAAAATACAAAAGATGTTCTGAAAATAGTGATACATGTGTATGTATACTGTACTTAAGTTTTGAAGTCAGTGTCACATTATATACAGATGAATTACTTAACCAAAATCTACTTCTCCATTTATATCATGGATGCATGGATTTGTTGATACTTTGTACATGTAGGTGGTAATTAAGAAGAAAGATGTCTCCTTAAACATGTATTGTGCAAGAGCTAAATCTGCCTATTACAGGTCTTTCTTTGGGCCTGAAATGTTGTCTAAATTATTAATTGGACATTGATTAACTTATCCAAGCTATCAATATTTACTGAATTTGAATACATTTTGTGATGGATAATTTATCGTAAAATCGTTAATCGAGATTGTATCATACCAATGTCAGTAATGACGACCTAAACTAGCCTAAATTCAATGGTTAATATCTTGTTCAAAGTGAAGCAATTTGACTGAAATTTTCAGCATGTTTTGTTTTCAATCTCTATTTTTTAACTTTAGCAAGAACTGTCAAATGTCCCTTGAATTTGAAATTTATAGTTAATTTAAAGAGTATTGTTTTTGTTATCTGTATTTTTTTTTTATATCCCTTCCACAAATAATTTAAAGGGGCATATCAACATCCCTAGGTAGTTTAATTACGAGTATCAATGGAAAAGATGAGTTATAAACAATGCTTTAAGATAACCTATAACATTCCTAAATTACAGCTAATACAGCTAAATGTTTGTTTTTTTCTTTCTTCTCTATTTTTAGATAGCTTAGATAATGGTAACAATAAGAAGGCTATTCAAGAAGCTGAAAAGGTTTTAAAGAAACAAAAAGATTTCCAATGTGCTAAGGTAATAAAGAAGAAAATAATTTGAATTTATCTTCTAGATAATAGGTTTAATATCGGAAAAAAAAACATGAATTAAATAACTAAGCTTATACTTTAAATTGCCCTCAAAGGAGAGCAACCATTCACTCACATTAGACATGGTACAAACCAGAATAACTGACAGAGTCTCGTTTAACATGGTGACTAGGGGGCGCCGCCGCCGTGCCCTGCCAAACTGTGCCGTCTACTGAGCCCAAAAGTTGAAGACTGGGCGGCAACATACATACGTTTTGAAAATCGCTGACACGGTTTTTCTCATGTGCCAATACTATATCATGGTGCGTAGGTTTACAAAATCGTCTTTCTGATTGTTTTATGGGTATATTTCTGTCTGTGGGTCTGCTGTTTTGATCTCGATTTTACAGGGTATTAATCAATCCATGGTTTAACAAGATGCCAAAACTAATAGTGTATCAAATCTCCGAAACTATTTTATAAGTGCTCAGAAATCGATGTTTTCGTGGGTCGGGCTGCGTCCGATATTACCGCGCACAACCAAATCCTTGGGCGAGGCTCTGATAACTTATACAAACTTCGTTAACTGGATGCTTGTCTACTTGGCTCCAAATAAAATTTTGGAAGACTGATTCCTTCCTCTCCTCAAATTTTATAATGGTAAAATTGAAATGTCCAAACTTCTGACTAATCAAAACGTGTACAATCTGCACTGCTCAAGTTATTGCCCTTTGTAAATAGGTCAGTGTTTATGAGATATTTGGGTCGCCTGTCCAACCTTGTGGGTTTTCTCCGGGTCCTCTGGTTTCCTCCCACTGCTAAAAACCCCTACGCGCAAACGAATTATTGAAATAAAATTAACCATATGTTAGTCCCGAAATGACCTAGTTTGTGTCGAGTGGACGTTAAACCCCATTTCTCTCTCTCTCTTATGAGATATTTGATATCAACTTGCCATGTGTTGAACTAGTCATATAGAGTTCGACATTCTGTGACACATATTTTTCACTGTAATTGCTCTTTTCAGAGAAGCTTTAAAGCTTCTGACAAATTTGCTGAGATTGTTCAAAAGGTTTTGAGGGAGAACTGCTAAAACATACTGGTTTTTATTAAGTGATAAGTTTATGCTGGAGAAATTTTCTGTTTTTGGAAAGTTCATGCAACTTGCAATTGGCTGCTATTGTATTATGTTGGATGTAATTTTTCATGCCTGGTCCAATAATTACCTATCTTATTTATTTTCTTAGGTTTTAAAAGCCTTGGCTTTATTAAGATTGAATCGTCATGAAGAAAGCTCTGTTATTTTACAAGAGGTTCATGCCCAACACCCCACAGAAGATTCAACATTACAGGCTATGTCTATTTGCTATAGAGAAGTACATAAATGTAAGTCTGTATATTTCAAGTGTATTTCAACTTTTAAGCAGTGACTTAACATAGTAGCTGCATTTAAAGATACTTTCCCCGCGTACAAACTGTGTGATTTGATGATATATTTGGACTAAAAACATGTTCAAACTAATTAATCTATCAAAAATTTGATTAAAATCCCTCTCAAAACATTGAATTCGAATTAGCAGCATTTTTCCCTGCGTACAAATTGTGTGATTTGATGAAATATTTGGACTAAAAAAATGTTCAAACTAATTAACCTATTAAAAATTTGCCCTCTCATAACATTGAATTCATTGGGAGATACTGCAAACTATAAATAAACTGTTGTTGGATGCCATGCCATGTCAGTCGGCTCAATTCATTGAGGGAGGGTCCATTTTTTTAGAATGTATTTTTCGTTACTTACCCTCTATTTATCATACATATTGAGGCCTAAGTAAATTCTTAATTGTTTTCTGTTAACTACTTTTTCTGAGGTCTTTTGTACATTTTTTTAGAATGTATTTTTCTTTACTTACCCTCCATTTATCATACATATTGAGGCCTAAGTAAATTCTTAATTGTTTTCTGTTAACTACTTTTTCTGAGGTCTTTTGTACATTGACACCCCTCAATGTTCCCAAAACTGCCTAATCATTTGATAAAGAAATAACAAGCGCTCCCTCAGTCAAGCTAGCACACAATAAGCCGGCAGACAACAGTCGGGTTGCCAGTTAGTGATACCCTGACATTTTTGCCCAGTGCTTGCCCCATTGGTTTTTTTCGGATTATCCAGTATTTTTCTAGTAAGATTGGGCATCTATACTTCCATATACAGTAGAATCTGTATTAAGCAGCCACTCAAGGGAATTGTCATGACTTGTCGCTTAACGGGAGTGACCTCTTAATAAAATCACAGTGTTTGTTAATGCTGACATCAAGTAAATTATTACGCTTGGATGCATTGGGAGCAAACATCAATACTTGCATCAGTAGATTTGGCCGTCGATGAAACTTTCTTAGAACAAAAATTCTCAGATATATCTTCTGTAAACATTTCATTTTGTACCATCATTGATACTAATGTATAATTGTGATGTATTCAATTCAATAATATTTATCCATTTTTGTGAACGCTTACAAGGAATTGTCGCTGAATAGGATTGGCTGCTCATACAGATTCTACTGTATACCAAATTTGCCATACTTTTATTGGAAATAACCGCCTGATAAATACTTTCAGGACAATGTATCTTTAACATGTATGGTCAATTATTTCTTAGTACCAGTACCTCAAGTGTTACGAAACATTATCAACCCAATGAAATTAATGTCATAATCATTGTATATAGATAATACAGGTCATTTTATCATGTTGTTCAGATTTTAATTTGAATCTGTACAAATTAAATCAACACAGAACCATTTGTCTGATACTCTAAAACTTTACTTTTCAGTGGATCTTATAGCAGATTTGTATCAGAATGCTTTCAGTGGTAAACCTGATAATGAAGATATATTGTCAGCCCTATTTATGGCACATGTACGTCTCGGTGATTATAAAAAACAACAGCAAACAGCCATGCAATTACACAAACTCAAACCACATAAGAACCCATATTATTTCTGGGCTGTTATGAGTATAGTCATGCAGGTAAGATAATTAATGACGACATATCAGATATATAAGGGGTTAGTTATGTTTTTGTGAAAGTCTTTTAGAAATCAAATCTTTGACTGGTCCTAAAAAATAAACGAAGCTCTTTGGTACATTTTTTAGAAAATACAGACTTCCAATTTTCTTAGATGTCATGGTGATAAGTTCCGCACTGTTTTCAATTGACTAGATACCCATGTCTACATGCTTGCCTAAGTAACGGTGGTAAATGATCATCACGATTATCATATTACTCATGCAGTCAATAGATTTACTTAAATGTGGTTATGTAACCCTTTTAAGCAAATTCCAGCCATTGTTTCAGGCAATCTACATGTATTTGGGTTTTTTTTTTGTACATTTGATATGTATAGTTTACTTAGACTCACTTTATCAACAGCTTCTTTAAATGGATCATGTATTGACAATAATATTAACAGTTTTGTCGTGGTTTTTGACTGATAATGCAGTGGAGTCAGGTTTTTCATATAATCATTCTGTATGATCGCGAAATGAATTTGATTGTGGATTATTTTTTTTAGGCTCATACCTCACCAGATAAAAAATTATCAGAAAAAATGTACCTACCATTAGCTGAGAGAATGACAGAAAAATATATTAAAGATGATAATATTGAAGCTGAAGCAGGTACGGTATATCAAACAAGTCTCCAGATTGGACATTTCGATAAAACTGAAAACTGAAATAATTCTTCGGTAATGTCGATGATATTGGTTTAACTTTGAGTGAATTATTTTTTCTGTTCCTTTTCAGAGGTGATGCTATATCTAATTATTTTGGAATTGTTAGGCAAATGGCAAGAAGCTGTTAATCTTTTGGAAGGTCCCCTAGGAGGTATGGTTAAATTATAAGTTTTTCCCCTTAATTTTTATGGTTGATGAATGTTGAAGCTAAAATTATTCCTGGTAAAATCATAAAGTCATTTGATTTTGTGTTTTTATGTAATAATAGATTGTGGGCTTTTTTTCAGGAAAGTTTGTAAGTGAATTTAATTTAAAGGATATAAAACTAGCCGAGTTATATAGTAAGTTAGAGAACTGGTCTAAAGCTAATATCATCTATAAAAGATTACTTCAATACAGGTACAGAATTTAATCTTATGTACTATTCTACATGCCCCATTATCTGCAGGTTTTCCTTTGTGAATTATTATATGTGACCCGTGCTGGAAAACTGTGTCGCAATAGTTTATTTTCTTGATTATCAAAGAAGCAGTCACAAGATTGAATTAAAATAAGGATTTGCGTGTACAATAGTCTATTTTTATTTTCAAGTACCGTACCGATATCAAAATATGAATTCCTGATAGACTGATAGAATGATAGAAATTTCAATTTCATTTGTAAGAAATGCTTATGTTCACTTTCATGCATTTAGGCGGCGGTGTAATGACACAAATAATGTCAGACTCTATCAGTAAGATTTTCTTCGAAAAGAAAATTATTGGCTATTTGGTTTCCATTTATATTAGGGTCTATAAATTATTTTTTTTTTAAGACTAAACGAGGTATCAAATAATCACCGCTTGTATTGATTATTTGGAATAATGATTTGTCAACGGCCTTATCATTGGTAATTATCAATCATCTAATCATTAATCTGTGACAATTGATTAGTATTACACAATGACACGATCCGAGACTTGCATGTACCCCAAAAAAATTATTGCCAAAAACAAATTTCTATCGTCAGCTTGAGCCTTGAGACAGCCATGATACCATAATACATGATATTTTTCTTCAGGTATATATGATCAATTGTATTAAACTATGATAATATTTACTCATTTTTAAAGATATTTCACACTAATCTATAATGTTCAGAAATAGAATGGAATAAATTGTCTGTAGGACTTTTAAATTCCATAATGTATGTTATTAAGAGAGCATTAGTAAATATTTATCTGAAACTACTGAAAAACTGAAGTTTATTTGGGTTACCACTCACCCATAAAATAATGTTTATGTTGTTAAAAAGTATCCCAGGGCTTCAGATAGTTCACAAGATTGGGATAAGAGTTTGCAAGAGTCATTCACCAGAATTAACCAGTTTTACTTTCTATAATATATGTGATCTGCTCCTACAAAATCAGGCTCTTGGCCATTTTTATAAAAATAGAGCTGGCAGCATATTTGAATAGTCCACACCCAAGACTTTCAAAAAATGCAATTCTTTTTAAATTTGTGTTATCATCTGGAGTTGAGTTCGGCTCATTCACAACAACAAGAATGCATACAGTTTATGCTTTTGTGCCCGTAGTACAAAATGAAGTTGTGCGACCTTTGCCTAGTTTCGTGTGAGCGGGTCACATATGTAGGACTTCTCCTTTGATTGTATCTTGTTTGTTTTTGTATTTCAGTCCTGATCACTGGCAATATTGGTTAGATTATTTAAAGTCTGCTCTAGCTCTCATAGAGTCTAATGATCAAATAGAAAATCAAAATGGGTAAGATTTATTTAGAGGAATTTTAATATGAGGCACTTGTAAAATTATATGCTGTGTTTTGTCATAGTTTGTAAATTGGTTAGGTGCTAATGGTAAAAGAATACGACTGCTTTGATCTAAGTAAAAAAAGTTAAATTTGATGCATCGGTAGAATTGCTTGTATCTGTTTGGTTAATTGTTTGGCACATTTACAGAATTTATATCAGAGATCTGCAGTTAGTTCTTTTTGTTCAAATAGTCATTTTTGTTGACCGTCTAATTTAACAATGAGGGTATGGCTGTTCGATACTTGTATGTGTAATATTTTACAAATTGATCGGACCCAGGACCTATTCCAAATTACCTTCCATAATTTGGTTTTAAATTTTGTTTACAGAAAGGACGAAAATGAAGAAACGGCTGATGATTCTGTTGAAAAGATTTTAGAATTAATTGAAGAATTATCTACCAAAGGTTGTAGTCCAGACCATTATAATCGAGGGCCATTCTTAGCTAGAATAAAACTAATTAGTTTATTAGAGAAAAAAGACCCAGAAAAAAGTCAAGATGTGGGTAAGTTAGAATCTCATTTCTGATTTGAACTGATTACTTTGAAATAAAAAGGAATTGGAATAGTTACTCCCCTACCGAAGGGTGATATAGGTTTGTTCTGTCTATCTTCCAAATTCTCGGAACAAATAAAAAGAGATAAGTGAATGAATCCTGTGATGTAGTGAATCAAATATATTTTTCATCAGATTCAAAGTGGTCGACATACTGTCAGAACTACAATTATGGCTTGTTTTTGTTTTGATATTATGCTTCTGTTTATAGTCTATTATCTAAATGTATCTTAACTGAAATGCCAAAAAAACCCAAAAAAACTCTTTTTCCAGGTTCTACTTTGCAATTGTTAATAGAACATTTTGAGAGATTTGGTGATCGTTCTTGTTGTTTTGGTGATTTTACTTTGTTTTTAGATCAACTTACCGATTCTCAAAAACTTCAGGTAATAATTACATCTGTCATTATATACAGCCATATCCTAGTCTCTACATATATAACTAGTTAGTCTTCATCAAGTATTGTTGTTTTGATCCATGCTTGTAGGTGACAAAAAGTTAGGTTACCTGCCTAACCTTATGCTAAAGAGTCCTACATGTAAACAAATTACTTAGTTAAACAGATGTTAACTTCAAAGGCTGGAAATCAAAATTGCATTTTTCTCAGTCAGTACTGAAGCAGCTTAGCTCGGATGAATTTAAAGATTATTAAAAACATAATACAACTAGATTAAAACGAAATAAAGAAAAGTCAGTGGCATTATGTCTGTGATAATTAAAGTGTTTAGTCATACTATCTAAAATTTTGGTTGATGAAAGAGTAAATTATCTCATATTAGACGTTTTATGTTATTCTTGAAGTAGGAATGATCAGTGCAGGAGTTATTTTTCTGAATTATTTCAGTTTTTCAACAGTATTAAAGAGTCAATTCCTCTAAATGGAAAACCCAAAGAGCATGCACAGGATGTAAGTATCATTTAAAACCTTATGTCTTAATTAACAGATTTTGAAATCCGTAATGAATATGTATTTTAAACATTTACAGCTTCATACTTTGCAACTGGATAATCTAGTCTTTTCTTCTAATTGAGTCAGAGTATAAGCAGTAAGCAAGATGATTCACAACTAACTCAAAAGTAGGGCAAGGCTCCAATTAAGCTGAATATTTCTTTTATCAGAAATTGATAGTAAAAATATAATGTTCAAAAAGAATATAACTAAACTACAATTTCTTGATCATATTCAGACTTTAATATTGGGTTTAATATATCATTTGTTTATATCACAATGCTAGTTTAATATATCATTTGTTTATATCACAATGCTAGTTTAATATATCATTTGTTTATATCACAAGGCTAGTTTAATATATTATTTGTTTATATTACAGGTTAAGTTATTACAGAGACATCTAATAGTGTTACAAGTAGAGAGATATTTAGGTTATTTAGATCCCCTACCTATACCAGATAAATTAACATTAATACATGATCTTATAGATAGATATAGACAAGGTTTACAACTTAGTAAGTACACTTTTCTTTACATAATTTAAAATGGTTTTAGTTCTTGCTGTGATTTAACAGGACTACCTTGGAGTTTTATGAGTTGTCAGTTGGTACAATGGAACTTGATCTGTTTCAAGGGTGAAAATGGGATAACATATCAGATTTTTGACATTGCTATATTTATTGTTACTTATATAATTATTGATAATTGCATGATTTTCCTAGATCTGTATACATGTATCAACATGGTTGTGTGTATTCATTTTGATTTTTTCTTATCATCATTGTGTCTACTTTTATATTTCGGTGTAAAAAAGTGCACTTGTCTTTGGGATGATGTTTACCTTGTGGCAAATGCTGTAGTATTTGCATAATAGCAGTTACAGCAAAAGTATGAAATACTAATTTTTGGATCATAAGTCAGTGTGTCGGGTCAAAGGTCAGCCCATTGAGTCAAAGGTCAGTAGTGGGTCAAAGGTCAATAATAGGTCAAAGGTTATTTGCATAATTACTTAATTATGTCTTTATATTTTAAATCTAGTCATATATTTATATACTTCTATATGTTGTTTACAGGTCAAGATTTATTAATAACAGATTTACAGCATAGTGATAATTATCTTCTATTAGCTGTTCATTTATTGGTGGATTTATGGCGGGAAACTAGTAAGTATGTTTTTGTTGGGTAATTTGTAGGTGTTGTTTTGTTCACAGTATTTTTACTGTGTTTCATGTTTTGTCAGTCACAGGTCAACTGAGTATGAAACAGACTCAATCACTGTGGCTGAGATAGTTCCTCACAATTTTACAGTTTGATTTCCACTTGTCAGTGGTACAGGATGAAGGAAAATCATCCTGTTTACTGGATGAGATGAAAAAATCGAACTCCCATGTATGCTATTGGAATAGTGTGGCTGTATTATAACAATAGAACAATCTTTGTTTTTTTCCTTGTAGATAAAGATGAATATATCTGGCAAGCTCAGGTTCAGTTAGAACAGTGTATTAAAAAGAGCCCTTCAAACTTCCAAGCTAAATTAATTTTAATTCGTCTCTATTGTACTATGGGTAGGTAATTATTAATATTCACTTAGAACCGTTTACTATTAAGTTTAGAAGAAAAACATTAAGTTAATTAATGTCTAATTAATAATTTAGATAACATTTCAGGCCTAATGAAAGACCTGCAATAGGCAGATTTAGCTCTTGCATAATGTATGTTTAAAAGGTCATTGTTGTGAGCTAGTTTTAATTCCAATCTCAAATCTTTTCAAATGTTGTTTCTATGACTGCTGATTATTGTGTGGAACATACTGCTTTATTAACGTTTGTATTATTATTGTTAACACGGTTATTGTTTGATGTTTTCAGGTGTATTTGGACCATGTCCATCCTTATATGACAGTATAGAAATTAAACATATAATGAATGATTCTTTAGGGTAGGTATTAGTCACTGATACAGGTATTTATTTTGATATCCTTGGCACAGTTTATTTATAAAATTTGTAACATTCCCATAAATTTTTATTTGTCATTACCACTAATACCAGTGCATAATTATTTTTTTGTTTTTGCACTATGATTAAGTGGCCTTCATATATCTCAGAAGGTACCTGTTCATTACAGTCATGCTGCCTGAATAGGAAAAAATTGCCCAGTTTCCTTGTCTGAAGGTTTCAATTCAAAATATGATCGCTAGGTTTGCTCAACAGGTTATGTAACTCATTTTAAGAATTTCATTGTTTAGTTATGTGACTAATGATCATGGCGATCAGTTTGCACAGTAACTTTGTAAAGTATATAGGTATCCACTCATTTGAGATATTCAAACTTTCTGTTCTTTTTAAATTAGGAATGGTTTTTGAGAAAAAAATTTTTTTTCGTAAATGGACTGTGTTAGTAGACCTATTTTATTTGAATATATTGTTATATATATTGTGTATTTTATTTATTTTTTACAGACATATAGTATTTAATCATGTAGCTAGATTAGGGCATTTTGTGGCAGCATGTGCAATGTACGGTACTATGTTACGTTTCTTTACTGTTAACCATAAAGAGGTGGGTTTCTTTTATTTTGGTTTAATTAATTTATTGTCCATTTTGATATCTAATGATTGTTGGTATTATCAGAGTATTATATTCTATGTTAGGGATGATTTAAAAGGCCAGATTAGTCTTGATTTACATGTTTGTTGTTCTAAAATCGGATTACATTCAATTTCTATTTAAATAAAATAAGTTAGATTAGTTCAGGAGTCAGCTGAGAAAAATGCTGTTTTGTACATATATTTATAATTGTTGAAATATCGCTGAATGTTTGATGTTGTAAATATGAAATATGATATTAATTAAGAACAATATTGTATGTACATCTGTCAACTAATCATATGATATTTCAGACAACAGAATACCTCATTTCATCTTATAAATATGGCTCCTTCAGTAAGGTAGGTATTCCTGGCGACATTCCTAAAAGTTCTAAACGATGGAAAAATATTTACCAATCCTAGTTGAGTGAATGGAGAGGCACCATAATGAGCTATAAATATACAAGAAGCTAACAATCATTATACTAGCTAAAATGAGTCATATTAATCCGGTCTCCTGTAGTTTGCAATGTATTCCTAATTTAATTAAAAGAAGTTACTATTCATCCATGTATAGTTGGATTTTATGATTAGTTTCACTATCAAATGAATTAAATTATTAATATTGTTATATCTCTTATGCTCATTTATATTCTTGTAGATATATGAATTTGTAAAGTTTCGAGAAAGATTGCAGAATTCTTTACAGTTTGCTAGTGCTACAGCGGAACGTTTATTACTTGATCTCATCTTTGAAACAAATAGGTAAGATTTACCCAAATATCAGATTATAAAGTTGGATCAAATCACTTGTTAAAGATATGATATGAATTTTTTAAAAGTTTGCTGGGAGACCAAGATACAAGTAAAACCGATTAAAATGCAATACGACCAGATTCTACATACCTCATGTTATGTGGATAATCGGCGAGAATCCAATCTAAAGAGCGGTTTCAGTCTACACCTCGAGCCAAAAAACAAAACACCGAAACACATTTTGATGAATATTGAAAATGCTTTTGATGTTTTCTTTTTAAATTACATCTAAATAATGTGCAGAAATTGTGTAGAATGTGGTTGTGTGTGTATACTAGGTATTTATAATAACTTCATTGATCGTATACGGTTTGTACTTATTTTTTTTTTTATTTTCAGTCATTCAGTTACGGAACAAATGATAATATATATGGAAATTAGTCCTGAAGATGGTAAGGATTATTAATATTTTCTTCAAACACAATTTCTCTACTACAGGATGACTACAGACATGCATTGTGTTTGGGTGGAAGATTTATTGATTTCACACTGCCATTTCTAATTTCTTAGACCATCAGTCAACTACTGAAAATAACTCATCCACAGTGTGGTCGCCCCCGTCCTTCAGATGAACCTATCTTTATCCATGAACAGTGTTTTGTTTTTATCATCTATATTACTGTCCAAGGAATATATTTTGACTTTTGTTTTTGTTAAATTTGAATATCAAAAATGATTATTGTTAGCCCCTTGGTTTTATGTAATGCAATATGTGTGTGTAAAGAATATGTACTGTTCATTTCAGATAAAACTAATTTTGATGAACTAAGAGATAATCGTGATTATAAAGTAATGCTCAACTGGGATAATCCCTCAAAGTAAGTATTTATTCAAAATTACAGTTTGAGTTTTTTAAATGTCCTAGATTAGCTTTAAGATACTTTCCCACAAAAGTATTTATTGGGTTGTTTTTTTCCAGTAGAAGTATGTCATCTTTGGTATATACAAATACAATGTTTTTGAGAAGGATTTGAAGCAAAATTTTGATAGATTAAAAATTAGTTTGAATATGTTCTAGTCCAAATATATCATCAAATCACCCAGTTTGTACGCGGGAAGGTATGAGCAGATTTTAAGCGAGTTACTTTAATCCATTTTGGGAGACCGGTTTTCGAAAAGAAACATTTAACTATTTAATGAAATAGTAGACATTGGGTAGTGTTCACAATTTTCACACCTCCTGTCAAATTTTTATAAACCATAGCCTTGAAACAAAACAAGATGTCTCTATGAGAATATCAAAGATACTAGTTCTTTGTATAAAAAATGTAACTTTTAGGGGACACCCTCATCTTATGTGATTGTTTTGTTAGTATTATACATTTTTATGTTTTTACAGATTCAATGTAGAAGAATTACAAGACAAATCTTTTGAAGAAGAGGTTGGTATTAATATGTAGGACTACTTTTACAATACTAATAGTTTGGTTTAGTTACTTTTGACTGTCAATATTACAAATGTGACTGATGGCAGCTGTCTTACATTAGCTAAATGTCTTTGATTTAGATCAAAGTAAAGTGTCTAATTGGGTTAATCTGATGTCCTAATTTGATTACTGTTAAATTTGAGCTTACTGTACTGGTAGAATTCAAAATCTGTTGAATTTATCTGGCTTTATCTATAGACGTAAAATTTTCAGTGAAGACAGATGCAGTGGACATCATACGGGATCGATACGATATGTCGGATTAAGCAGAATGTCGGAATACTCAGTTTTCTCAAATCCGGAAGTATTTTTGTAACTTCGACAACCGGAAGTATTATTATTATAATGTAGCTTCGAATCCCCAGAACGTTATTCCCTTCAAAAATGATAAACCTTTCTGTACATTTAAAATTTTATTACATTCATTTTTAGTTCATTTAACATGCGTAGGCATTTTGAATAGGTCATGTCTGTCGTTAATTTATCTTTTTCATCGTCTTCAGTTGATCGCACACTTGTCTTTGGTGTCACGTGTTTATTGATAATCTGTCGTTCTATGTCCAGGTCATCGTCACACGGTTCTGATAGATCCGCAGGGTGAACAACCTTAAGTATTCAGGTTCAATCGGCATGCGCAACGAATGTTGCCAACAGGTGCTAGGAATATTTTTACGACTGAATAATTCGTGGGTATTCTTGAGTATTTGTCATAACTGTCTTACAAGTGATTATAAAATTATCAAAATAATCAAGAAAGACCTGTGCGAGCGAGTTTTAATCTCACCGGTGATTGCTTGTTAACCTTTTGTGGCTTCACACACCGATTGAAGGCCAGATTATACAGTGTTGATTCAATGGAAATCATGTGACGGGACGACTGATGTCGTAATTCGGAATATTCAGAGTACTGATTACTCATAGATTATTTTATTGAAATAATATGGAATTAAATCGGGACATGAAAATGATGTCGGATTTCAAAGAGTGCCTGAGTATTCAGAGGTCGGATGTGACAGAGTCCACTGTACATAACAAATCAACATATTATTATAAACCCTTTTTTGTTATACCTAATTCGAAAAGGTCTAAGTTTGGGAGTTCTCCTGAAGTACAATTCTCAACATATTTTTCATTATGTATAACTTGCATTTCCTGGATTTTGTTCATTTTCAGAAATGTTGGTTACGTGTGCGGAATTATTTACTAAGGATATTAGCAGCAGCAGTTTTGATTGGTCAGGAAGCTGGAACAGATGGTAAAATGAATGGTGTGACAGAAATAGAAAAGGAACCTATGACACAGACATTACAAGAACTTTCTGCTAAACTAGAGAATCATATAGATGATTGTGTTATGTATAAAGAACAATATCAGGTATATATTGTCATCATTGTTGACTTTTGGATTTAATCAAGAACCTTCTAGTTTATTCAGTACCTCCGTTTGAACTTGGCAGGGGTGATGACTACAAGACTGAAATGAAATGGGGTTTAACGTGACTACAAGACTGAAAATAGGGTTTATTCATTGATGGCATGAAATTACAGATCTGATGAATTAATTGATAGTGCACGTAATTTGAAGTAGACTAGATCTATTGGCTGACCATTGGCAGTGTTAGAACAGATCCCTATTGATCAAAGTTTGCATGTTTTTATCTCCAAGTTGTCCCTGTCCCTAGCATCTTTTACATTTTCTACATTTTCTAAGACTTCTTTTTACATCGAAACATGTTATTACCATTTTGCTACCCTTCACAATGCTGTTGTTAATTACCTAACAACACCAATCTGATTTAAATACAGATCTATATTTCGTTTCGTTTTGTTTTTTTTTATACTTTCGATGGCCTACACTACTTGAAGATCTGACAAGTTGTACTCGAAGGTTGTGTCAGGGTTCGTACAAGCGACTTTCGACCCTATGACGTCAAACATTGATTAATCAATCAGCATTGGCATTTCTAGTGCTTTACCCACAGTTCCTTGCATGGCATGCCAAGAAGTTTTTGTAACAGACTGTTTCATTGGCTTATCCCTCACTTCAACCAAAACGCTGGTAATATAACAACTCTTCCATATCCTAGTGTAGGAAAGACTTTGAACTATAAAAAACGAAACGAAAAAGGATCTTTGTGTTAATCAGATTGTAACAACACTATATATTTGAATTAGATAATAAGAAAACATTGTCCGAGCATGCATAACACATGAGGTGTGGATAATACATATGAACTGTAATTCAGACTTAAATGGTAGAAATGAAAAACAATGGGAAATTGTTAATTGTTTCTTTTATTTCAGGTACCGTATGTGTTACAAGCTCCATTTAGAACTCGACTATGTTACTACCTCATAAATGACCATCATAGAGTACTAATAGAGATGGTGGATGCTGTTTTATATACACATAAATTACAACAAAATAATCTAGGTAAATTAAAATAACCAGCTTGTTATAATATCTTTAAGCCATTGTTAATACCACAATATTAGTGTTGATTATAGCAATTTTATTCCTTCAGACAAAACACCACCATCAACCGCATATCCATTCGCACTTTCCGGTCACTCGATTCCATTCCGTGGCACATACTCTCCCAAATAACTCACTTTACATCATAGACATTAATGATTTACGTTACATCATAGGCAATACTTAAACATCAACACAGATAATTATTAACAGCCATAAGATTACTGAGGATATTTCAACTTTTTTTTTTCCACTTGTCAGTGGATGTAGAACAGAGGACCTTGTCAGTGGGTGTAGAATTTGAAGTGTAGGTGAAAAATGAAATGAAATGGGGTTTACTGTCCCGCTGTTCTGCTCCGACTGGACTAATGAAGACGGGTATAAGCCATACAGTTTGCTATGAGGGAAATTTTGCACAGACAGCGGTGCTACGGCCTACTCTTATATCAAATTCCAACTGTCAAGGGATCTTTTGAGTGCACCCCAATGTGTACATGGGACCTCCGTTTTTCGTCCCATCTGGATGACTAGACAGTTGTCCTTGTCAGTACCTCTGTCCTGCATCACTGACAAAGGGAACCACACTGGAAAATCTCAGCCAATGCAGGTATCGAACACCCAACCTCCAGGCTAGCGCCCCAGTGTCTTACGCAGTTAGCCACCATGACCCCTGAAGAGTAGGTGGAAACTTCGCTGTCTGAGCATGGCGTATTAACCTAGTTGGTGCAGAAAACCAAATAAAAAACCCAAACGACAAATAAAATTCTCAAAAGATTAAATAATTTATTATTTTTCACTATAAAAGATGATACGATGTTATATTTGCACTTTATTATAAGACAGGGCAAGTCACTTGCTATAGGCAACATAGGTACATCTATATATATATATTTGAGACTGTCGTTTGTCTGTCTGTCTGTTCGGGGATGGCGGCTACACTAGGTCTGCCCCGAGTCTGAAATTTGGGGTATAGGGGTAGCTCGGATCGGGGAGGAACATAGGCCAGGTGGCGTTAGTCTACCACTTCTGGTTTCGGAGTTATGACCCCCGAGCGACCAAGGTCTGTTTGGGGTTGGCGGCTACACTAGGTCTGTCCTGAGTCTGAAATTTGGGGTATAGGGGTAACTCGGACCGGGGAGTAACATAGGCCAGGTGGCGTTAGTCTACCACTTCCGGTTTCGGAGTTATGACCCCCGAGCGAAATCTGTCTGTTCGGGGTTGGCGGCTACATCTGCCCCGATTCTGAAATTTGGGGTATAGGGGTAGCTCGGACCGAGGAGTAACATAGACCAGGTGGCGTTAGTCTACCACTTCCGGTTTCAGAGTTATGACCCCCGAGCGAAGTCTGTCTGTTCGGGGTTGGCGGCTACACTAGGTCTGCCCCGAGTCTGAAATTTTGGGTATAGGGGTAGCTCGGACCGGGGAGTAGCATAGGCCAGGTGGCGTTAGTCTAACACTTCCAGTTTTGGAGTTATGACCCCCGAGCGAAGCCTGGTATCCTGCTAGTAGAATATAAATCATCATGCCATGATTGTAGTACAACAGAAAATATGATTACATACAAGAAACACAATTAATAGGAACACACAAGCTTGCGTCTATAGTAAGTTCGGGGGGACTGCACCACACATAATTTACACAAAACAAATCTACGGACAAGACACAATATGCAGAAATCACAAACAAACGTATATATCAAATTAAGTGAATGGATCCGGGGGCTAGCTGTAAGCATCCACTGTGCTGTACAGTCCATCATCCAATTTTGCTTTTATTTACATCTGTGTTAAATTGTGACCTCTAAATCACAGCTTGTGCCGGCTCTACAACATTCGAAGGACCTTCAGTTGAGGAATGTAGCAAAAGTTATCATGTCCCGTTTTGTAGATGGTACCTGTTAAGTTGATATTAAAATTGAAAAAAATTCAAATAGCTTTAGACATAAAACATTAATTTCATTGCACAAATACTGTCAACTAAAATTTATACTATTTCAACAAATAGATACATTGGTTACTTGATAAAAGAATGCAACTGTTTTATCACACATTATTTTGATCTTTTACAGAACTGAATGATGTTGAAGAAGACAGAATCAAGTCTGCTATACCTAAATTAGTTGCTGGTAAATATCTATTAGTATATTCTAAATATATTACAGAAAATAACTTATTACTCATGGCTAAATGAGATTAGTAATAGTACCTTTAGTACCGACAATAATTTTGAGTTTGGTTCACCTTATCTTATGATGTCCGATTGGGTATATTCGCAGTCAGACTTTGACCAATCCACATAGAATATGTACGACATGTGAATGAAACAGAATCCCATATAGAAATATGTTTTTTTTCACCTTATTTAGTTTATCATCTTGTATCAGTTAATAAAGGATAATCTATTACAGCACTAGTGAATACAGTTGAAATATCAGATAATGGAAGCACCAATCTCAGTTCTTCAGTTATAGAAAATTTAGTTCTTTGTGCAGAGGTTAGTAAAGTCGAGGTTTCTGAAAGTATGATATATATATATATATATATGTGTTTTAAGATTTTTTCCCTCTCTAAAATCGAGATCCTAAATATATGTAACTATTGATTTGAAAATATAATCAGATAATAGTATGTTTGTTGTTAGAAACTGTAGTCCTTGTGAGATATTTCCAGACAGCCATTCAATTTATCATCATTAGGTCCTGTCACTGAGCTAAGTTGCGTGGTTTCAATCCCATGCTTGTACGTGACAACCTCATGTTTTTTCTCTGGGTCCTCTGGGTTGTTCACTGCTAAAGACCTCTATGAGTAAATGAATTATTGAAATAAAATTGAACCCTATATTAGTACTGAAATGACCTAGTTTGTATTGAGTGGATGTGAAACAAACCCCTTTTCTCTCTCTCACAATTTATCTTGACATGTCACTCTAATTGTAAGTCAGGGAGTGAATGACATGCTACAGTAGTGGAATTATATTAAGTGGCTGCACTGACATTTACTGTGTAATTTACTTTGTTAATTTATTTAGGTCCAATCATGTAATTGTGTCTATAATTTCTATTTTTCCTGATCGTTAGAAATATACTTTCAGGTAAAGATAAGTATTGTGTGTTGAAATAATAACCTAATTATGTTCAAAGGAAAACATCTTTAAAGAAAATTAAACGAAGTCCTAATATAGATACTCTTCTATTGCAGACATTTTCATTTACAATCATATTAGCAGGGGTGTGCAATAGATTTCTTAAGCCATTGAAAATTGCACAAACAAAGAAATTGAAGAAAAAGAAAAGTCCATTAACAGAACTTGTAAGTATTTTATTTAAATAATTCATCTGAATTTGCTATGATGAATTTTAGCTATAAAACTGATGTATTAATAGACAATGCAATTGACAGAGCCAAACTATTCTATAAAACTTAAAGGAGCTAAATCACTAATATTTGGGACCTAGAAATTGACCCGAATGGGTTGCAACGCATATAATAATGTAATCTGACTGTATATGAACTGATTTACATTCAATTGTTTCCGTTTTGACTCAAATTTCAAATCAGTTAGGTCCAGCGAAATATGGCATGAGTCTCAATCGAATAGAAATTTCTAGCGTCTGTTTATTCCAGTCTATTGCGCATGCTCTCCAGATAAGTTATGGCGTCGCCGTATGACTTGAGTTGTAGAATATGTCTAGCCTCGCTCTTTCTGGTCATTTGTTACAAATGACGATGAAATGCACTATGGTACACGATTCGTGTACCAATGGTAAAATGTTTATTTTGTCTTAAATATTGGATATCAGAAGCCTACCTTTTCCTGGTAAGATAACAACATCAATGTTGATTTGAATTGACAAATAATTTGTGTTTTCAACGTGTAAGACTTTGGATGATATTGAGTTAGACTTCGCTACTTTAAAGAACAATAGCATACACTCAGTAAGCAATTAGTAAGGTCCAAAATGTCAAATGAAATGAAATGAAATGAAATGAAATGAAATGAAATGAAATGGGGTTTAACGTCCTACTGTTCTAAAACCTATACTGGGCTAATGAAGACGGGCTTACGCCATACAGTGTGCTATGAGGGAAATTTTGCCCGGGCAGCGGCACTATCGCCTACTCTTATATCGAATTCCAACTGCCAAGGGATCTTTTATGTGCATTCCAATGTATACACGGGACCTCGATTTTTTATCTCATCCGAAGGACTAGACAGCTGTCCTTGTCAGGCCCTCTGTTCTGCACCACTGACAAGGGGAATCCACGTCCGAAAATCCAGATGAACTGTCTCGGCCAATGCAGGGATCGAACACCTGACCTCCAAAAGGAATTTGAGCTGTCCCTTTTCAATGAGCTTATAGTTTTGGATAGTATAAGAATAGTCTGAGTCATGCATGACACTCATCCTCATGCATTAACCACATCATGTGTAATACTTACACAAATATATTCAAATAGGTATTCAATACGTTATTCAATGTCAGTTAAAACTAAAGGACTTTGATCTGTTTCTTACTTCTGAAATATTAAATAACATTTGAACTATTAAATCAACGAGTATTCAAATATAACCAAACTGATCAAGGAAAATAGATTGATTTGAAATATTTATAGTTTCTAGAAATCTGAAAATGTTTCAAAACATCCAATGATTTTAGTATTTAGGAATATGTTCTTTCTTCTTTTTTAGCTACCAACATTTGAAAATTTTAATGAATTATTAAAATGTTTAGAAAAGGGTGTAGCATGTCTTCATCTTGCCTGTAAACAGATAAATCCGGGTTATTTAGAGCTTGATATGTCGAAACTTAATCTCTCTCAACCACTCACAGATCATGCAGTAAGTTCATAAATCCACATTGTCAAATGTCCTTATATTTAATGTTGCTTTATGCTACAGAACATATTCTGTGATTGGTCAATTCTCCACAACATTGACTATAATTCAAACCGTCACTGAAAAACAATTTTTAGAATTGATCCTTTACCAATAATCCAATGATAGTATGGTTGGGATGGCAAAATGTGCCAGCAACCTTTTAGTGGTGTAAAAATATGGTTGGTATATTGCAACATGCCCTGTCTTTATATACAAACGACTACCAGAAAAAACACTTTCACCTTCAGTTCACTCCTTGAAGATCAGTATGTAATGTTAAGCTTAAAGCAGAATGTTTATGATATAAGAAAATTAATATTTAGTAATCATTTGCTCTTTACTTCCAGGATGATGCTATTTATGAATCTGAAATGTGGAAAAAGGTGGAGAAAAGCTACGAACAAGCTGCACAGGAAATTTCAGAACTTTTGCATAATAAACTTCAGTACCTCCATACCTTAAGGTTATGATGAGATGAACTTTGAACCTTGAATAATGTCTATATAGTGTATATATAGTCACCTACTGTATTATAAGAACAACATCAACATGGTGCAGTCATGTGAACGAAATCCAACATTGTGTGTGTGTATTTATCCTTCAAATGACAATCGGCTATATGGCTAAAAAAAACAACCTTGTCTTGTGAATCCAGAACGTTCTGAATTGAGAGAATTGCAATCAATTGAAAATAATTCAGTTCAGTCATAGTTTCACTAGTCCCGATAACTGACATACTGTTTGTAGAATCGTGATGTAAACAAATACAGCATAGTTTCAGCTGTCATGATTGGTTAAATATTGCTGGTTTGAGCTTTGTTGTTCAAAGTCCTCTTTTTCTCTCATTTGTTACTATTCGTGAGATTGTGAGAATTTTACTTACAGAACATTCAATGGAGTATCCCCAGTGTTCTAGCTGAGGTGAAGTCTAGCTGATTAGAAGGTTAATTTAAGTTAATTTGTGAGAGTTATAAAATAGGAATAGACTGTACTGAACAGATAATACAGTTACGAGATCTAAAAATATACGTTTCATATAATTATCATTAAATTTATAAGAGCAATAGTTGATCTTTTTTAAATGCTAAATATAAATGTGGATTTAATCCAAATCTTCAATTTATTGTTTTGTTTCTGTTCTAAAAACAATCACTGTTTTGATACCAAATAATGCATTTTGTTTTTAAAATATCAAATCATCTTAAAATGCCAGTGTTGGGCTAAAATTCGTTTTTGGGGTGAGTTAGTTGAACCTGTTGGGTTACAGTTACTCCTTATTATATTTTGGAATTAATCTGATCTCATATCTTGGGCTTTTTAAATTTTATTACAAATCTGAACTAATTTTATGTTCTTTGTAACAAGATGATTTGAATTTTGTAAACTCTTTGAAAATAAGACTAACATTTAATTGGGACAATTCTATTAATATTTTCATTACAATATATTCAGATGGTCAGTCCATTAACATCTAAGAATATGTATAAGAGAAGTATATTCTGGGTCTGTGACACCATTATAGGCTAATAATACCTTTGACAGTATTTTCCATATCACGATTTTGATTGGTAGGTTGATCTGGAAACAACTAATCACAATCTGCATATCACTGAACACTCCTTGTAAGGATATCTATCTTCATTAGCCTAGTTGGTACAATAAAGTAGGATGTTAAACCCATTTTATTTCCTATAAGGAAATGTTAAAATAAAGTGGAAGGTATAATTTTAGACAATTTAACAACACCTGACCGACAAGACGAGATGATGATATTTATGTAAGTTTATAACATGATGTAATATGACCTGTGCCTGTTGAACATTGTGATAATTTTATAACCTATAGATGTAATAGCTGTTAGATATAATATAGTTTGTGTGTATTTATAATTAATTAACTGTATTATAAAATATTCCAGTTTCCAGTCTACAACCAAAAAATGCAAAACACATACTTTACTCGTTTATAATCTATACTGTTCATAATACAGGTTTTTTTTAGTCATCATTATCACAAATTGAAATGCTTGATTTCATCATTAAATATATTATTTTGAAATAATCTATTTATATAAATGTATTGTGTTAATCTCTTAGTGTCATTTTTCATACGCCCACATTGTCATCCGGACAATTCTTGTAAATAATCTACAGGTTAGTTTTTGAGAGATTCTAACTTGGTGTGATTGTTGGACTAGGTGTAAAGAATCAAACATTAATTTTATGTTGGAGTATTTTAGAGACATTTTGTTTTTGAACTTCGATGTTTGACCAGTCAAAATTCAGTCACTCATTGATGATTCACCTATACTAAGACCATGCTGTTTTTAATATAATGGTAAACAGTATGGTCTGTCCATCATTAAAAAAACCCAGCATCCATATCTATCATCACCTGATTTAAATAGTCATTTTGTTATGGGAAGTTTAGATAATGCTAGTAATTACGATACATAAATTCTCCAGAGTTAAAGATTTCTGAGATCTTCATCTCTGCTTAGCTGCTTTGCTTATGTATTCATCAAGTCATCACAAATTTTTTTGTAAGATTTATTTCAGTTATCACTTTTTGTTGTGTTGAGGATACTAGCATTATTGAATCTCATTTCAGTATGTTGGGCATTCTTTATAATAGCAGAAATTATTGACAAAGAGAGTGTTAAAGTTGCTATAGTGTAGGTATACATAGTTATGCTGGCACATGACTAGACAAAATCAACTATCCGTGATGTGTGATTCATAAAATTGAAGGTCTCAAATCTACAGTTAGTTTTCAGACTAAAAATTGTGCAATGAAAATTAAAATGAAGTCTCTAGTAAACCGGTTTGTGTTTCATCCCAGGTTTGTCTTTGTGCTTATATGGGGGGGGGGCGGCGAATGGTTAGCATGTGCGTGCTGTATCTTAAGGTCCGTCATTGGTATGGTTTCGATTCCCTGGTTGTACATGACAAGGAGTAGGGTCACCTGTCCAACCCTGTGGGTTTTCCCGGGGTTCTCCAGTTTCCTCCCACTGCTAAAGACCTGTATGTGCAAGTGAATTATTGAAATAAAGTTGAACCATGTGTTAGTCCCGAAATGACCTAGTTTGTGTCGAGTGGAGTTAAACCCCATTTCTCTCTCTGTGCTTATACGAAATATTAACTTAGGTGAACAGCCAAAAGGTGTTCGAATTAGATTTCGAACTGTTGTGTTCTAATTTATTTGGAAGGAATTATGGCCAGATGGGTTATTCATTGCCCTCTTAACTTTGAGTCATTCAGTTATAAAATAAAGTTGAGTTGCTGTTGTTCAGGGATTTCATGACTACCGAATAGGTTAAAGACCTCAATAGTCCAATTAATAAATTATAGTCTATTTCTGTATAAAACGAACGCTACCTGCAATACCTCTCTTTTGTCTATAATAAGTGGCTTCATGTAATGTTTACATCAGTAAGATATTTACCACTAATTATTGTATAGTTTCGAGGAGTGTTATGGTTGACAATACTACTGATTGGCGGGATAACTAAACAATACTTTATTTAAGGCGTTTTTATCGACCACTGATTAGCCAAAGTGATTTGCATTCAATCAAATTTTCATCTTTAATCTTCATCTAATTCAAATTGGTTGCCCTAATCAACGAATTTATCGACACCGATTTCCGAAGCGATTACACCAAATCACTTCAGGGTGCGATTTGATCGGGTGATCACGTGTTTTTTTCAACTGTGTCCAGCCACAACAATTGATTACAGCTAATCAGAGCATTTAACGAACTCGCCAAAGTAATTTGAAATCGACTATACTGTCACATGACATCTCCACTAAATTCAAATCGATTTGGCAAGTCGATAAAAAAGCCTTTAATTATATAATTGTCTGGGATATATCACCCTGTTGGAAACAGATTCATAAATAATGATTATGTAAGATTTAGAGTGGTTGTATTTCAAATATATGCTAAATGAATATATTGAAAATTTCACCCAAATTACTTTATTCTGAGCAAATTAGGCACTGTCTGAAGTTTTGACAAGCTGTGGCATAGATTGTTTATTATCGTAACGATATTTGTTATTCTAGACTTGGCCTCGCTTTGTCATTTTTAAATTAAATCTTGAAATGGTGACTATTTTCACCACCCGATGTTCTAGAGAATTGATTATAATAATTTATATAAGATCTGAAACAAAAATAATGACCTGCAATAGGCTCTTACATAATGCATTTTTAAATTAAGCTATATGACCTGATATCACCCTGGTGGAAATGATGTTAAAGCTATATGACACATCATATTGAAATTAATCCAATTAGTAAAAGCCCATGTTAAGTGCATTCATTTCTTGTTTTCAAGTTCGAAATTCTTGGATGCATTTTATTAATACTAATGACCTAAAGATAATTGATAGAATTTATTTTGGCCTAAAGCAGATCAATATTTTTTGTCTAGTTTACTATTTGCAATAAAATTGTAAAAGCCAAGTTTGTTTGCATGTCAGTGTTAATCTAGGTGTGAGGTTTGGAGTGATTTATTTAAATAGTAGTGTTTTATATGAATGAGAAAGATATAGCCATGTTGTATATATTTCTATCATAATAATTAATGCCATTAAGAACAGCTTGGTATAATTTTATGATTTTGTAAATATGTCATCATTGAATGTGCTAAATATTGTATTATAAAACAACTGAAATACATTTTTACTTGTCATAAATGGCTGTTTTTGTTATTATTGGATCATATAGTCTGTTCCATCCCAGCTGTTTCTTGTCCCGTCCAAACAACTAGATACTATTCCTTGCCAGGCCCTCTGTCTTCCACCACATACAATGGGACAGCAAGCCGTAAAATCCAGAGGATCTTTATCAAGATCGAACTCATGATCTCCAGGTGCCAGCACCTTACTAAGTGAGCTGTATAGAAATGACAACAGTTGAGTGACACATCTTCCTCTTTTGTCATTGTGAATCACCATGGTTACTGTACACTTGCCTTTCTAGTATACTTTAATTCCTCCTAGTGTATTCACTATACATTCAGGAAAGTCTTGCTGATTATTTGTGTAGAATGTTGTCATTCTATGGATATGAATTCGGTGGTAAAAACACTCTCTTAAAGTCATAGACATCTTAGTGACAATTATTTGATCAATTTCGTAATTTATACAAAAATATCAGTCTTTTACATGTTAAGCACTACCGGTTTACCTGATGTTGCATGGATATAGGCCTAAGCTGAAAGAAGTATAACTCCGAAAGTGGTATTGCAAGGTCACGGGCCTAAAACTCCATGGCTTGAGCTGTTTTTATACCCCAACTTTCAGCCTCACACTAGTGACTCACAGCAGTCCCAGTCGAACTGCCAAATAACAAATCTAATGGAGATGCCAACCCTTGAACAGACAAATGACAGTCACAAACATATGTATATAAATAATAATAACCACTATAATCAATTATTTTGTCAAATGACACATTTATTAGTTACACCATGTATATGTCTTTGAGCACAAAATTCATTAGCACATTGATACAAATTTACTAGACAAGATTGGCCTAATTAGATTAATGCCCAAGCTAAAAGGTTTAACAAATATATATGGTTATATTAAACAAATGTATAATGTATGCATTTTTTAATTTGCATACTTCAATTACATGATATAAACATTGACATCGTGCTGTATATAAAACACCTAATATATATTGTTATTGTAAATATATATATCTAAATCATATGGCATATTCTTTCCTGAAATTGAAAAAAAACAATTAAATAGTAAACTGTTGCAGGAGGACTGCACCAATAAGGACAACATGAAAATTTGAATATTGTAAGCTGTAACTATCAAATAAAGTGAATATAGTCTTAAGTCACCCTGTAAATGGGTCACATTCAGGTTTTGCAAAACATCCCGATAAAATGTTATATTTCTGAAGGTTATTTGTACATATCAGATTAAATACCGATATCCAGGGTAGAAACACCTAGTGTAAGTTATTAGTATAACTGTTTCGGAAATAATTACATTTAGTGGCTTTGATTTCATAGATCCGACATATTAGATGTTAAGCAATTATTCCGAACAAATATGTAACTAAACATAAAACAAGTCACAAATTTGACTTTTTGAAAGAAAATGTTGTATTTTGACACAGTATCTACAAAACCCTTTTTATTGGCTTAGAAATACAATAACTAGATGAAAAGAATTAATGTCAACTTAAAATGACCCCACCTTGACCATATATGCCTAACAATTAAGGGAGCCGTGTTGGCTCAGTGAGTAAGATGTTGGTTCGCTAACCTGGCATTGACCGAAAAAGTTTATTGGTAATTTCCAGAGTAGTTCCCCCTTGTCAGTAATGAGTTCAAGAACCCTTGACAGTTTGAATTCGAAATAAGACTAGGCTGTAGTGCCCCTGTCGGGGTCAAATTTCCCTCATATCGGTGCAAAACAGTAGGTGGTTAAACCCCATTTCATTTCATTTCTAAAAATCAAATCTGTGTATCTCAAACTGAAGATTTATAACTTGTAGTAAACCTTACTTTTTAATTACATGGAGCCCATCTTAACTGATGGAATGCAAAAGAGATGACATTGCCCAACATGACCAACTGACTGAGAGAAAGGGGTATACTTCCATATCTTCTTTTCTCAGGCTCTATAAAGAAATTAAATTTATTACCATACATTTCTACTCATTCTCAGACTATATAGAAATTAAATTCATTACTGTGTCTTTGGTGAAGGTAACAGTCTCGAATTTAATCAAAAACAGGATTTTGGGAAGATTTAAACATCCAGGTATTCTATTACCAATATGTTGTTTTTTTATGTTATTCAGATTTGTGTAGACATGAAAGACGCTCAGATCCCAATCTCACATACATAAACTACCAAAATAAAATAATTTTCTTCTTTGTATTAAAAAATCAACTGCACTTAGGCTAATGATCAGTCAAACAATTATTGGCTATTAGAACTATGTTCTTGGTTTATTTCCACAATTAAAATTAAATAAACCCTAATATTAATCAAACTATCATTACCTCCTGTGTAGTAACCAATAGCATATGCAACTCTTCCAACTAAATACACCAGACCCGTTGCAGCTGTAATTTTCTGAAACACAATTCAGATAATACTTTAGCATAAAGGAGGTCAACATAAACTATTGAATTGAGTTGATCCAATGTGTTATTTCAATAAATGATGGGACAAGCTCAATACAATTAAATTTTCAAAAGGTTTTTTTCATTTGTAGCATTTCTTACAGAGGAAAAGAACATTGGGTATTTATATCTCAACACTGGTTTTATCTATAGTCATTATTTCAACGGAGAAAAATCCACATAAAATATTCAATGAAATCTACAATCTAAATCTTGTCCCTATATGATTGAGATCTAATCATATTGTAGTTAACTGTAGTTCCTATTATTATCTTTTCAATAACCGATGCTTGTTTATTGCTTAAAGTTACAATTTCATATTTTTTAAGTTATACTTTTAAAATGTATTAAAATAAAGACCCAAAATAGATGGTATCTATAAACAGTCCTACCTTGTTAAAGAATAATCCTATAATTCACTATTGCCAGTTGAGAAATTGGCAAAAGTGTCATTTTCAACTTCAAATTCAAATGGGGAATGGGAAAACAAGGGAGGTAATTGTGTTATTATTTCCGGTGTGAAGATTTTTAAGTGTGAGCAAAATAACCTATGATCGTATAATAGTGAGTTGACAACCTATTGCGCAAAAGACATAGAAATAATTATGTTTTGACTTTCTTAGATTATATGAAATTGTAACTTTAATCAAGTTCATTTGACTGCCACAATGCTAGTTCTAAAGCATTCTACTACCTCTATTTCATATTCGTTATTTACATTTAATATTGATACAATGACAATTAGTTCATTAATAGTTTACTATTAATTAATATTCATGGTTAAATGTGTATAGTGACAACTTTTTTTTATTGAAAGGTCAAGGTCATAAATCAGATGTGTACAAATGAACCGTTATATATGTGGAATTTAGCTATCATGATCTAACAAGACATTTGTCTAAGAATAAGGTTTCTAGCTTTCAGCAGATCTATATCATGTGTCACCTAATATAGTCAGAATAACTAAAACTTAAAACACTGTTTTTATTAAAGATGCATTGTGTTAGATTTAGATAAAGAACTGGGGCCTGTTTCACGAAATTTTAACTAAGATAAAATCCAATTTTTAGTAGTTTGATTGGATAATATTAGATTGATTTTAGTACTTAGCCAATCAAAATTGAAGTATCTACTAAAATTTGGATTTTATCTTTAGTTAAAATTTCGTGAAACAGGCCCCTGGTCGTTCTTGCCATAACAGTTCAAAAATAGACAATGACAAATTAATATATTGGAAATCTAATTCAAATTACTTTAATCTGAGCAAAATTATGTGTGTTGGAAGATTGTAGATTGTTAATTACTGTAGTAATGGTACTGGAGAAACGAGACTAAGTCTCAATTTTCAGTTTTATCGTTAAATTATTGAATCTTGCTGGTGTTCTAATCCATTTAAATCTCTGCCATCCGATGATCTAGAAAGTTGATTATGGGCTGTCTAAATAATAGTTTATATAAATAACATTTGAAGTCAAAAGAAAAACCCGCAATAGGCAGATTAAGCTCCTGAATAATGCATCTTTAATTGAGGTTAATTTAATACACGATATAGTTTATCTAACTTACAGGATACTGGAGTCCACCAACAAACAACAGCAATAAAAACTGTGGGTAACCTTCCAAACTACACAAAATAAATCAAGTAAACAAATTAGACTATCAGTTCATAATTAAGAATAGAAATGAAATGAAATGGGGTTTAACGTCCTACTGTATTAAGAATAGAAGAAATGGAATGTAATATACAGAATCTCTATTCCAATAGAGGATAGTAATATTTGAGTATAATTAAAGAATGATAAGCTTTGTCAATTAATCACTATTACTTATCCTTTGACCTAGGATAATTTCTCTCTGATTAGCTGTGTATCTTTGGCAGAGAATCAAATATTCTTCCAACTAGGTGAGCTTAAACATTAAAAAAAAAAAAAAGAAGAACTTACGTGTTTTGGTGGGCTCTCTGAATACAGTTAAATTCTTTATTTGTTGGGCTGTAAAGTGTTGGGTACTACAAGAAAAGAAAGAAAAACACAGTGACACAACTTACACAAATGGTTTAATCTAGAAAAAGTAAGGTAATAGATAGACTTTATATATAGCTTTCATGTTAATGATCATCCACGAATCTTCTTTCAGTAAACATCAAGATTACCTTCCCTAGTTTAACCCCTATAGTGATTCATAAGGTAATTATATAAAATGCGTGTAATGATTAAGGGTGTCAAGTAGTCTTCACATTGGATCATTGACGTCTATCTAAGTATGACATCAGAAGGAATTCCCTCTACTTATCTATCACGAATGGAACATGGTTGAATTTCTTTCATTGATGTTCAAAGATTACTATTTTTTGAATACATAACATGATTTTGAGTGCGGGAGTAGTGCACTGAAGTAATGATTTACTTTTACATCTGAATTGTAGTATTTTAAATCTTGTTGTGTACATTTTCAAAGAATTAACCCAAAATCACAAAATCTCATTTGAAGGTAAATAATCAACAAAGATTTTAAAATACTTTGAGTTGATATTTTACAAAGTTTTTGGTGTCAAAATTTCGCTTATAACCTCTACTTTTGATTTATGGCGTGGATTATAGATACATGTATCTCTTTTTAGCATGTATTAATTGAATTCCCAAGAAAACTCATTGGGTTTTTTTTTGCATTTCCATGGATACAGCCTGTAGGAAAACATTGTCCTGTAGCTTTTTTGGACTTGCAATTATCATATTTCATGCCAAATTTGATAAAAATTCATGGAGGCATAACTGAGAAAGTTCGACTTTTGTTGTCATCAGCACCCTTAATTATAATATCATTCTCTTGTTAGTAAATAAAATTGCTATTTTTTTGGTTATTAATATGTAGTTTATCTCCCCAAATAACAAAAAAAAAACCGTCATATCTTATCAACAAAAATTACAGTGCTAACATATAAAATGTGCATTTTAGACTGATCAATGTGACTAAAACATGTCTTAAAATTACTTCAATTTCAAACTTCTTTCTTGCACGAACAACATTGATGGCCATCCACATGTTGACAAATACACTTCCAACACCAATTAAAACAACATGACCATAACCCTCAGGTAGAGATTCTGCAAACCTTGACATAACAACCATCTTGATCTGTGTAAATGCTTGTTCTCACTACAACATAGAAACATAGTTTGACAGGCAAAGCAACATACGCCCACCATAAGCTTATAAATAAGCTTCATAAAAAAAATAGTTATGTTTTTCTAACAACATGCACAAGTTTTCAATACTGACCATACAGTAGCCTACTGTAAATAATTATTTTGTGAAAAATGGTTAAACTTGAGTGAGTAGATTAGGCTAATGATTAAAGGTCAGTCATTGACCATAACACCGGATGAATAGTAGTATTCTGAGAACTCTAAAAACTGATCGGAATTAATATGAATTATATTTTTCCCACAACTTACAAGACTATTCCAGAAATTGTTACGGAAATCAGCACGTGAGGTAGTAAACTATGTATAACGAGTAGGCTACAGTACAATTACAATCACATTATTAATATACGGGCATAGCCTCCATCGATCAAAACCCAGATGCAACATCTAGGTAGTAGGTTTAAATGTTAATTATGATGATCATCAATGATGACTGAGTAAGTGTGATCATGAATTGACTTTTTATCAACTCCAAATTCCAATTAAATTTAAAGGTGTATTATTTTTTCCCATATTAAATGACAATCTGAATTTGCCTATTATGTCAACAAATTATTTTTAAAAAACTCTGAAATTCTGTTCCCTTCACTTACGTGTTGATAAATAAAGTGCTAAAGTCTTAAGAAGAAGCTAGGCCTAACGCTTCTCTCACGAGAAATCTGCAAGAAATATTACAGCATTTGCCCTCGACCTTGAACAATCTACCAACTTCCGGTTGTTCAAAGGAGTTATCGTTGATGGATATGGTTGATTGACATTCGGCAAACCTCGACAGATTCGGTTGGTTGATCGATGCGTTGATTCTCTTAAAATATTTATGTCACTAATTTCCTAGTTCTCTAAACCCAATAGGCCTACAATTTAAATTAATTTTCAATATGATTATGACAGGAATCTATTGAAAAGAGGATGTAAATTCTATTATTACCATTATATATTTTTTTTAAAAATAAAATTGCTGTTTATAGGCCTAGTTATTTTGAAGGTGTTTACAAATTGTCATAGCAACTATAATTATTCTATGGTTAAAATGGTAGAGTTACTTCCCCGCATTTAATTCTTCTTACACTAAAAGCAGTTTTCGTGACAACCATGATAAACAGGTGCCACTGAAGTTGGTACACTATTAGATTTTAAACATTTGGATTCGTATACTACAAAAGATATAAAAAAGCGGTTCAATGACTGGCTGCCCGCGATATCATCCTAGGTGGAAACGGACCTGAATCCCCACTGGCTGACTGACTGACTGGTTAAAAATAAAATAAAAAATAAAAACTTAAATACCTAAAAACTCAACCTAGAAGTAGAAAGAGGTTAAGGTACCACAATTTATTATGATGAATTCTTTTATCAAGACAATTGCAAAATATCATAATCAACAATAAAAGTATTGGTTTTAAGTCTATACAAATTAATTACGGAAAAATTATGAATAGAAGCAGGGGTTGGCCGTTAAAACCAAAATTCTTTGGCTGTTATGGTTTAGTGCTGTTATGCCCATAACCCCTTTATAAAGATTCTCACCTGGTCTTTAAAACCAGATGTCAGTAATCAGGATCTAGGCCTATGCAGTATCATGCAACATTTCCATTTTTCTCATTTGATTGTAGCTACCCGTAATATTATGTCACAATCAACCCGGATGAAATTATTTCAGTATTCAGGGGTCTGGAGCATAGAGGGGCCCAGAGTTATACAGAGTAATGTGGTTATTTTTTTAAGATTTAAATATAAATTAATAAAAAAAACAAAAAAACTGATGTATTATAGAAGATCGTTAAGTAGAAGAAAACCGGTGATATTTCTGAATGTGGGTACCTACTATCTATAGTTGTGTGATTAGCATTAGAATTGGATTCTGTCAGTACACTGTTTTTGGAAATATTGGTGAATTATAAACTATAAGCCACCTGCTCGGGCCTTCCGTTTGAATCCAGTTCAACATGATTTTGGGTATTGAAAAAAATAAACGAATAGTTATGTGACGAAGAAATTTTCTTTTTGATATTTTGGCTTCTGATTGTACATTATAAGGTCCATGCAAAAACATAGTAGGCCTACATAACTTTACATGTATTTGGTTTGTCATATGTTGTGTTAAATCTCAGTTGTTTTAGCAAAGTGACCTCCAGTTACCCCAGATATACGCCAAAATGACGTTATAGTGACCATGTACTAGTATCTTTCAAAAATTGTTTAGCCCGGTTGGAGTTGCTTGTTCCAGGGCCCTGAATAAGTCACAAACATTGAGGCATATATACTAATGTCCAAAAGAAAGTATACACTGTGCATTTTGTGCTGCATCGACCAAAGTCGTTTTTCCATGGTATACCGTATTTGGGTAGAATGTCAATTTGTTTCACATTTTTATTTTGCTTAGAAATGTTGAGTTTGGACGCAAGAGACAAACTCAGTAATGCTTTATCAAATGTTTTTAATCTAAACAAAACTTAGTCATACTTTTAGTGTGTATACTTTCTTTTGGACATCAGTATACATATATATATAACCCCCTTTTAACCTGTCATTTCATCGTGCCAGATTTGCCTTTCTTAAAGCTTTTTTATTTCACATATTCAATATATCAGGTACTATATCAATTTTCAGGTACAACTAAAACTTTTAAATAAGAAGCTAAATCGCTAATATTTGGGACCTAGAAATTGACCCAAATGGGTCGCAACACATAAAATAATGTAATCTGATTGTATATAAACTGAATTGTTTCCGTTTTGACTCAAATTTCAAATCAGTTATGTCCAGCAAAATACGACATGAGTCTCAACCGAATGGCAATTTCTAGTGTCTGGTTATTCCAGTCTATTGTGCATGCTCTCCAGATAAGTCTCAACCGAATGGCAATTTCTAGTGTCTGGTTATTCCAGTCTATTGTTCATGCTCTCTAGATAAGATATGGCATCACCGTTTGACATGAGTTGTGGAATATGTCTAGCCTCGTTCTTTCTGGTCACTTGTTACAAATGACACTGAAAGGCACTATGGTACACGATTAGTGTACCAATGGTAAAATGTTTATTTTGTCTTAAATATTGGATGTCAGAAACCTACCTTTTCCCGGTAAAATCACAACATCAATGTTGATTTGAATTGACAAATAATTCGTGTTTTCAAGGTGTAAGACTTTGGATGATAATGAGTTAGAGACTTAGCTACTTTAAGTAATAACTTGTATTATCTTAAAATGAAATTCGAATATCGAATTTCTAATAGAGAACCAATATCATTACCAGAAAAAAATTGTAAGTTGAAAAACTGAAACATCTTTTTTGTTTAACGAAAGGTTCATTCTGCTTTATTTTTTTTATACTTGAATAGGCAACACCAGTCAAGATAAGGTATAGAGTTCATGGATCTGTAATAAAGAAAACAAATAATACAAGTTGACCAAATCAAATGAAAATAATGAATCAGAATTGACGACGCCAGATATGATGATAATTGATATTGACTGAAAAGGAATGGTTATGACAAATTAATTACCGAATATGACTTTATTTTACATCTAAAAGATATTATGTACATTTGGGTTTCTATCGATCGGGACATTAAGATTGCTTCCTTATGGTTGCTTGAAATAAATTCTTTGGAAATCATCTTCAAATTGTCCAAGTATATAAGGAAATAATGCACTCAACTCTACAAAAAATCAAAACAATTAAGACTGCAGATGATATGGCCTACAGGGCATATATGCGGTCGTGTCTTATACTATGACTGCATGCATTAGTTAATTTTGTAATATAGTGGCTGGACAATACTGAGATGATATCAAGACCAGATGGGTTACTAACTAACTGCACAAATGACATCAAACACACCAGGAAATTATTAGGCCTACTGATATTACATATTTTTTTAACAAGCCCTCAGCAAGTGGGCTTTTGTAGATCTTCACAACAAGCTGAACTATAAGCTCCTTGTGAAGTTTTTATATATATTTTTGCTATCAGATGTTTGTCATAAAATGTTGCAAGTGTTGCAGTTTGGAAAAGGTCTATAATTAATCAGATTAATTAGTTTTAACAAAGAGAAACTGTGATACTTAGAAAGGATAACAGACAGCATTACCTATCTAATAAATTTATATCTATTTTTCAGTGCAGTTGTGAACAAATAAAAGTTAGAGGATTCTTCTTGTTTGTGTTAATTGAATTTGGATGTATCAATATTTACCGGTATATATTGGTTTAGCTGTTATTGTTGTAGCAGTTGTGTTGCAACACAAATATCAAATCCTTCAATTTTTGATTTTTCAGGTAAGTTACATAGCTATATTATGTTCAACACAATACAGTTCAATTTTAGCTAGGGCTTTACATTCCACCCTATCTGTCCATCCGTCCGCCTGTCTGACCGTCACACTTTTTGGGACACAATAACTCTCCTTTTAATTGAGCTAGAAGGTTCAAACTTGGTGTAGGTGTTTATTAGGTTGATGCCTTGATGGATTTTGAAGATGCACATTTTCTGCCGAGGGTAAGCAGAGATAAGCAATTTGATTGGTTGATGCTTTGGGACACAATAACTTCAGTTCTGATTAAGTGAGAGTGACCAAACTTGGTGTATAGTTTCATTACATCAATACCTTGACTAAGTTTGATAATGAACATTTTCTGCTCAGGGTAAGCAGAGCAATAAGCAATCTGATTGGCCGAGACTTTGAAACACAATCATTCTCCTTCTAATTGAGGTAGAATGTTCAAACTTGGTGTAGGTGTTCATTAGGTAAATGCTTTGACGGAGTTCGATGATGAACATTGTCTGCTTACGGTAAGCAGAGATAAGCAATTTGGTTGGTTGATGCTTTTGGGCACGATAACTTTGGTTATAATTAAGTGAGAGCTATGAGACTCTGAGTATAGATTCATTATATCATTTACCTTGACCAAGTTTGATGAGAATTTTCTGCTTAGGCTAAGGAGCAATAAGCAATTTGATTGGTCAAGACTTTGGAACATAACAACTCCGCTTTTGATTGAGGTAGAATGTTAAAACTTGATGTTCATTAGGTGAATGTCTTCACTGAGTTCAATGAATAACATTTCCCGCTAAAGCTAAGCAGAACTAAGCAATTTCTTTGACTTTGATTCTGTCTGATAGAGAGTGATGAAACTTAGTGTATAGTTGATAATCAGCTTGATTTCTCGATACGTTTGAAAAAGATAATCATGCAATTAATTAATATGTGTCATCTATTTATTTCGGGATTTCGGCGGGGGACATCAGCCTTACTGTTGGCATGATTAAATACCGTAACGAAAACATAGTGACATACCTGGAATTGTCATCGCGTTGCTATCTTCATCCAGCCTTAGATAAATCAGCTGTAAATAAATATATAAAAAATATTTATCTACATTATCTCCCTTTGGGGAGATACACTTTTTAGCGTATAAAGTTTATGACCTGAAAAATATGGTAATTTGGGGGAATTTGAAAAAGGTACGGGTCGGCAGTAGTCTGTACGCTTTTCTTCTATGGTGTTATGATGTCATGTAATTTTGTAGGAATATTATTGACAAATTTGAATACCATACAGGAATTAAACATGAAAAATAACGAGGTGCACCTATTTTTTTTACTATGTATGAATTTGAATATTTATTTGACATGTGATTCTTAATTGTGGTTCGAAAATGCCTGCTTAAATAACGTCTGCCCCTTTATTTTCGGGAAAAGATGTCCGACAAGAAAAATTTTGAAATCCCATCACTGGTATAAACTGAATAATAATTATCCGATTGACACAGAATCAGCATATGATACACCATGACATCAGCTATAATAATTATTGATACGAACTATTATTTTATCTCAATTTAGCTGATATATCTGGATAGCTCTCGTAAATGAACAGAGCAAGGCAGGAGCCGATTTTTAAATTTCTTCTTCCCGCAAATTTTGATTTAAAAGCTAAAACATAACCATTTTCAAAGTAGGCATAACTTTTACATTTTTTGATATTTTTATTCTAAGCATTCATAAACATGTAGCGCTGATACATGTATATAAGATCAAATGAAAATACATGAATCATTTTGACTTTTGCCATTTCTGTGAAATAGGCAATTTTATGGATGTCACTTTTGATCGATTTTTATTAAAATTTCAACCAGTTGATGCTTACTGCGAAGGTTCATTATATGTACATGTATCCTATTCGTCACCAGAAATGACATCATTTAAATTCCTCTTATCGAATAGCCCAAATCAATGCAAACTTACATATCAAAAGATGGTATGTAACTGTTTACTAGTGCATAGATATACAGTCAGGCAAATATCATAAAATAATTTGTAACTTAGTGCATTGCCGAGAAAAGGCTGACTTCACATTTGTCACATTGTAAGTTTTTCACACGTTAATATGTGTTTCAAAATCAATTCAAATGCTAAGGCTTTGTTTGTTTACTATTTTGTCACCGTAAAACATGTCACAGGATCGTCATCACTGCCACAATGTACCCCCCCCCCCCCCCCTTGCTAAAAAAACAAGCCCCAAGGAAGTGGAGTAAAGCCCAATTTAAATTGAACTGAAGCCTATAGTAGACTAGAATTCATGCCTTTGACCTGTAATATTATAAACTGTATATAAACACCCATTACATATTATACATGTAGTGCCATATTTGTTAGAAGGGGGCGGGAATTAGTCCGTAAGAAATCAAATCTACATTTGGTCTGTAGTACATTGTATGTAATTTCCAAATCCTTAGCCCAAAAGCCTATATTATCCAGTCTTAACATTAATCTCTTGGCCGAATGATCTCATGGCCCATTGATCTCTTGTCTATTAATAGATGAACTTTTCAATCAGATAGTGTGTGATAACAGTGTGTGATTATAAACAATACTGATAAATTTTGTAGTACTACTTCTTTATTGATTAAATAAGTTAGAGATCAATTCCTCTTGATGCAATTTATTTACATAGTTGTCAACAGCAACCAAACCATAATTATGTTATACACCAAAAAAAACAAGGTTACCTTATAGTAGCCCTGATTATCTAGTGATATATATAGTCAGGTCTTAATTGGGGCAATACATGCATGTAGATTAAAGATAAGCCTGCTTAAAATGCCTTCAGATAAGCATGTTATAGCCACAAGAATTTTCATAATAGGAACAGTTAGTGCCCTTTTGTTGGGATATATTTGGAAAAAGGTATAAATTTAACATTGTTTGGAATAGGTGTTTAGACTGAGACACAGTTATTTTGGACTGATAGCTTATACATGAACTTTTTACCTGTATGTCAGAAAAATGAAGCAAATTTGTGTGATGTTTGATTTTTTTTTACATGTTCAGAATGAACTATGTTTTTGTTGTTAATACTGTTGAATGAAATACATCCTTGGTACTATAAATAAGGGTAAGTTTTTGTTCTTAATACTGATACTGTTGAATGAAATACTTCCCCTTGGTAATATGAATAGGGTATAAGTAATGCTTGTTGTCCAGTGTGAGATGATTACAAGTAAGGTATGTGATATAGTTAGTTGTAAAGGAGCAAAACTTGCTTGATATACATTTACAATGTAGGTCAATGTAAAGTATTTTATTGGGTTGATCTGGTCAGTATGAGATTAATGATGAGTGATGGGACACATTCTATACATATAGGATAAAAGCATTTTTTTTCGAAAGATTAAAGATAGGTACATTATTGGAGATTAGAAAAAGAGCTGGCAGTTCTCACTATAAAACTAGATAGTGTAAAGGGAATTTACTGAAAATTTCAGTCAAATTGATCCACCATGAGCCGAGAATTTAACGATTGAATTTTGGGCCTAGCCTCGATCATCATTACTAAAGTTTGTACGATAAGATTAAAAAACATAGTCTTGATTATCCATTTTTTGCTTTAATCAACAGCAGCACACAGGGTTCCAATACAATAAATATCGCAGGCTAGAGATGACATCGAGAGTTGATTATGGTCTGGATAAGTTAATGAAAGTCTAATTAATGATTTAGATAACATTTCAGGCCTAAAGAAAGACCTGCAATTGGCAGATTTAGCTCTTGCATAATGTATGGTTAATAAAGTGTGCTTGTTTACTAATTTTAGTTTCGTTTTTGGCTTACTGTGATACCACATAATCAATAATAATCTCAACATTAGCTTTTGAAAGATTAATTACTGTGTCAGTATAGGAACAAATAATTCATTAAATTTTAAATGAAAATAGATTGTCATTTCATATAAATAGTCTTTGAGTATTAAAATTATCATTTCACAAAGTAAATGAATTCATAATATCCAATAAATTAAAACATCTTAGTTTTGACCCTTGCTATAGGTGTTGTCACTCAATACCATTTCATTTATCTAGTTGTCCCCCGCCTTTCGAAGAAAGCAGGGGACTATTAAAATGAGTTCGTCTGTCCGTCACACTTTTTGGGACACAATAACTCTCCTTCTAATTGACCTAGAATGTTCAAACTTGGTGTAGGTGTTTATTAGTTCAGTGCCTTGATGGAGTTCGAAGGTGGGTTTTTTTCTGCTTAGAGTAAGCACAGATAAGCAATTTGATTGGTTGATGCTTTGGGACACGATAACTTTAGTTCTAATTAAGTGAGAGTGATGAAACTTGGTTTATAGTTTCATTAAATCAATACCTTGACTAAGTTCGATGATGAGAATTGTCTGCTTAGGCTAGGAGCAATAAGCATTTTGATTGGTCAAGACTTTGGAACATAACAACTCTGCTTCTAATTGAGGTAGAATGTTTAAACTTGATGTAGATGTTCGTCTTGACTGAGTTCAATGATTAACATATCGAGCTAAAGCTAAGCAGAGATAAGCAATTTCCTTGGTCGATGCTTTGTGGCAAGATAACTTTGATTCTATCTGGCAGAGAGTGATGAAACTGTATATATTGTTGATAATCAGTTTGATTGCTCGATACTTTTGAAAAAAATAGATGTGCGATTAATTAATATGTTTCATCTATTTATTTGGGGATTTCGGCGGGGGACATCAGCCTCACTGTTGGCTTGTTTAAAGTCCACTTAACATCAAAAATCTAAATTTCATGTATGTATAGCCCATGGTTACTATATCAACTTTACGGCAAGTTCACATCAATCTGATTAGAATTAAGTCCGCTGTTAACGTTTAAGTATCCGACACGCCAAAACGCTTTTCGATTTTTCAATTACGACCTTAATCCGGTTGATTGGCTGGTGATGTCACAGGCACTACACATAGGATATACATTATCTATACAATATCTCACCGTATGTACAA